TGTGTCTACATTCCACAGTGCCAGATATTTTGATAGAGAAAAAGAATTATTAACAGAACGTTATTGCAAATTTAAAAGTTTGTACAAAGTAGTTAGTTCAGGCACAGTACCCGTTTTGACCGGCATACAGTTCACGTACGACTTGATGGCTGAAATTGGCTGAAATTTTCTTTTTCGTCCTGGGAAAAAAGCTTTGTTTTTCACGTTGTAATATTCAAGCAGTTACTGTACCCTAACCCTGCACTTGAAGGAAATTTGTACAGTGCAGCCACACGCACTTGTACGAGGCCTTCACTATTCACATACGCGGCTTGCAGCTAGTGCGCGTTTAAACATGAATTGGTTGAATGTTAATCCGGCTATACAGCACCCGCACCGTGTCGCTCATAGCGTACAAATTTCCTTCAAGTGCAGGGTTAGGATACAGTAATCGTTAGTGCGCCCGCACTACTCTTGCACGTTGGACGTGCCTGCATCGTGCCATTTTTCTACGATATTGTTATAGACGACAGTAAGTACTTGTAGTATTTACTGCGAGCAATTTGGCAGTCATTTTCTATCTTTGTTGGAATAAAATTGAGGAGGCAGAATAGTACTTCAACTTACAAAACGTAAGTACAAAACGTACGTGCAAAACGTTCCTTAGTTTTGAAAGTTGAAATACAATAGTATTTCAACTTACAAAATATGGCTATGATACCGGTGGCCTGCTTTTTTCCGATTAATTTTTATTACTACCGCGATTGCTCCACCAGGCGATATAGATTCCTGATCAACTATACTGCTTCTTCGACACGTACTCGGCACAGATGTGCGAACCGGGCCACGTCTCGGCCGTCCGCTCGCCGAACGTGACCTTTGCGGCTGAGCGCAGCCAGACTACAGCCACGGCCAGTTCCAGGCCACCAACAATCTGGGCGTGGTCGCCATGGACGCCAGTAATACATGTACTGTATAAGCCATCGCTACTGCCTCTTCTATATTTTGTGATGCTGATTTTGTTTATACTAATTTGAGATCTTGCAACAGCCACTAATTACGAGTTTTATTCCATAGGGTGGATAGAAATGACCAAGCGTTTATCGCCGCTGAGGCATCCGTCATCCGGACAGAAACGTCGAGCAAGGGCAAAAGTAATAAGGCAAGTGTAAATATGATTTACACGGTGATTCGCGCCGGTGTGGTGGGAGTAGGCGGGCGTGTCGATACCGTATCGCTTGCAAGAGTAGTAGCAAGAGTAGCGTCCAGTCTCGTCCTGTCGATAATATTATATATATTCTTGTCCTCGATGATATTATATTCTTAATAATCGAGTGCGACATGTCGTACAGCTGCAGGTTTTGTTAGGCATCAACCAATGCACAGGCCACTGCGCAGATTTAAACTAAATAAAATGAATAATTCTTCCACAACTTCCGTTTTTTTTATAAAAGTGTATAGCACATTTTTATGTCGTACGAGTTGTAAACACGGCTTTAATACGTTTTTCCGGCACTTGTCACCAATCCATAAAAGATTATATAACTACAGATAAGAGATAACTGCAATACAGTACTTCTGAAGTATATTGAAACTGTAGAGCAGTGGCCAATGTGTGATTCGATACGCGGTAAGTTGAAATCTTACTGCTAATTTTAAGCCTGACACAACTGAGCGTTCATAATATTATACAAACTCTCTTTCAAGAAAACATTATAAAATGCTTTTTTTTCTTAAATTACCAACTTTCACAAAAGATTTTTAAAAAATTCATTACAAAGAATTTAACCGTAAGTCTGTAACGCACCGATTTTCGCGTGCAGAATGATGTCGTCGATGGCCACGAAGCTGTTGGGCTGAGTGAAGAGACTGGTCAGCTGCAGTTGTCGGCGCGGCGCATTGGGATCGATGCGAATGTTGACCAGCGCCAGATTCCACTGTCCGAACGGTGCCGGGCCGAAATGCGCGCATTCCGTGGTCGCGCTCGGCGCTCCGAAACTGATGGAGCATTCGCGACAGTGTGTAATTTACTGTTCGTATCAACATGTGAAAAATCATAGAAGAACGCCAATGTTGTTTATTATCATATACCGCCACTACCCACCTGTTTGTCCAAATACGGCCACTTTAACAAAATACCTGCTTTCACTAACCACAACCCATTGAAACATCTGGTAAACAAGGGCCACCATTGTCTACAATAACATCGTAGAGAAGCGGCACGATACAAATCGCCAGGGACGAGGAACACCATCAGCCGTAAACGTACCGAACAAAACGAACTGCGCCTGCTGTAGTTTTTTTTAAAAGAAAACTACGGAGATTCGTTTGTGGAAATTCGAAAACTTTGGGCACCTTTCCTCGCTCCTCAATTTTATGGCGATAAATCGCAAATAAGTTCTTAACTTTTTTCGGTAGGATGCAAAATGCAGATACTGGGCTTAAATAGGCTACCGTTCTCGACAGATACGTCAAAAGAGTAAATAAATTTTTTATAAAAATTATTTATTTTTATATAATTTGTATAACAATAAAAGCATTAAAAAAATTAAAAAATTATTTATGAATAAATAAATTATTTTTAAATAAAAATTTATGTAAATTTGTTTTTATTTTATCAAACAAAGCCTATTATCACTATTCACTGCCCATGGCACAACGCGGAAATGCAATAAAGCTATGTAATATGCCACTATTCTACGATAGCATCGCACAAAACGTATGATCTGTAAGTCAGCATTTGTAAGAAGGCTTGGGCTAATGCCACTACAGTTCACAACAAAACACTATTGTCACATCAGTCCACATCACAATTTGGCTAATGACACTACAAAAGGTCATTTGACTTTTTAATTCATGTGCACTACAGTTCGCTAATGGCACTACTGAAGTCAATTGACCAAGGGTTTCACACACTACGCAACGCTAATGATACTACATAAATGATTGGGATAAGTAATATTTATAGCGGAAACGTTAACGTAGAAGATGATGCAGTCTTAATTTGGCATTCTACCGACGACACGAGGAAACGTTCTTATTGAATCGTTCAAGACAGTCCAATCTTGTAGGTGCTTTCTTCATTTTGTACGAGTCAACTTCACAAATGTGCGATCGCTTTCAGACAGTATCTCCGCAGCGAAGTCGATCGCAAATATCCCGCAATCAACCATATTTGACTTCTGCTGGATTTTAAGAATTTTAACCGTCAGTACTTCGCCTTCTTTATGGCAGATATGCCGAATTAAATTGATATCATGCTGAGTGTACAGGAAAAGATTTCCCTAAAATCGTTCTCATGTGGTCAGTAGTTATTGCCGAAGTCCCCGTACATTAGTACAACAGGTGCAGTGTACATGAAGGACGCTACGTACAGTTGTACACATCTTACACACTGTAAAGTATGAAATGTAGTGGTATTAGCACATTTATGGTGGCTGTGTACAATAGTCAATTGCAAATGATTAATTGTAGAGTCATTAGCATTGTGTAGTTTTTCACAAAAAGAGTCAAATGACTCTATTGTAGTGCCATTAGCCAAATTGTGATGTGGACTGATGTGACAATAGTGTCTTGTTGTGAACTGTAGTGGCAATAGCGTTCGCCTTGTAAGAATTCCAGTCATATCGGCAAAACCTAATGATGGACTTTTAGCTCCTCTCTGAGCCTCCGCATAGCAGGTGTAACCAAACTCTCACAAACATTTTATATAAATTGAAAACCATCTTTTCTTATTTCATATATATTTTTTTAAAAAAAAATTCTATTTAATATTTAATATTCTGTCATCTAATCCAAGAATCCATAGTTCTACTTTTTATGCTCGATTTTTTGAAAAACATTTTCATCAGAAGTGACTTTAACAGTCATTTTTATTTATTTGATAAGTATTCCCCTGCCTATTTTCCTGTTTTATTTTCAAAAATACTCCTTTTTTATTTTGTATTCCGAAAAAGATGTGATTCGAATTCGCTATGTTTTAATTGCAACACTAAATAATTACGGACACTAACAGATGCAGTTTTTTTAAATTTTTCCCGTCGTTTCACCGGCTGAAATTGCATTTAAGCTCGAGTACGTGGATTTCGGCATCAGCAGATTAAGAGATAGGTTACCGGTAATTAAAGGTTAAGGCGATCACTGTGTGAGATTTAATAACAGTCTGATAACCTGGCACTTCAATATAATGACGATACAGCTAATGGTAAGAGTATGATACCAATAACAAAACCCATAGAAAAAGGGCTAACGTCGTTTCTGGCCGTTGCCGGTTGCTTCGTTTTAATTATTTGTCATCAACTAGGAACGTACTCGTATTTGCAACCATAATAAATTCCAAAAAGCATTTGAATTTTTTTTTAATAAGCACAATACTTATTTTAACAGTACAGCAACTCATACTTGGAATGTCAGCTGGTGTCAAAAATCGTTGTGCAGCGGCTATAAAATCTAGCACGCTTATAATCTTATTTATAATCTTTATCATTTATCGTATTTATCATATAAATCATCAGCGGCTATAAATACTACGTTATTTCAAATTTGATACACTCGTACTATGCTCCATCCCTTCATTGTTCCCAGGACTGATATTGGATTAAAAAATCTTTTTTGGCAAGTTCTTTTTTCTTTTGGCTACGTAAATGAAAACGGAACCTTTAAGCTTCTTGCTGTACATGTTGCATCAGTACTTCTACATGATATCTATCTATTATTAATCTCTAACATGTGCACATCGATCTATTCGTTAAGAGAAATTTTGAACGGCACATTGCTGTGCGGAATCACATCCGGACATGATTCTGTCTGGATGATCGCGTTTGATCCCTCATCCAACAGGACCACATGGTACTTCTTCTACAACAGACCGATGTAGAAGCCTCGCGAACTGAAGCGCGCTTCAAATGCAAACTGAATAGCCAAAACCTTATTCATTTCGTTGACGTCAGTGATGCCGTAGCCGGGCGGACCGTGGGGAATACGAACCGTGCGCCACCCATCATCAGTCAGCCAGCCGCACGTCTGAAAGTCCTCGAATATATCAAATCGCAGGTGATGCTGGTGGACTGCTGCTGCGAATGATGGCACGGGTCCAGTCGATGGCACCCGAGCCGGCGGCATAGATGGGCGTGGCCGGGAGCTGGTTGAAGGTGGCCAGGTAGACGGCGAGACCGGCAACGCTACGGTCACTTGTTAGGTGGAAAACTACGAAGCGAAATGAATCACAATGAAAAGTATCATCAGAAATATGAAAAATATTTTACCTAGAAATAGTAGCAGACAATCTACACTGGAAAAGATTAAGAAATTTCTGGTAATCTCAAAAATGCGGCAAGTAGCGCAAAAAAATTGTAATTCGTAATTTGAGTCTGAGTAATTTGTAAATCAGCATTTCAGCAGTTTTAGCAGATAATCAGCAACTCTCGGTAGTGATTGGGTACTGCCACAATAATACGATAAATTCGGAGCAGTTAGAGGAGAGTACATTAATAATCCCGTCTCCACCTGGAACACCGCGCTGCCTTTGGTCTGTCCGATGCGAAGAGGCGGACTCCACTGCGGCTGCTCATTATCGGCATTCTGTCAACCACACATGTCCGGATTAATGCCTTTGCCAAAATCGCAGCTGATCGTGCCATGAAAGGGTTGCGCTATAATCATTCGACCAGTCAAAAATTACCGTCAAAACATTTACCAAAAATCTGATATTATTATGAAAAAGTTCCAAAAATTCACGATAAAAACCGTCGTAATTATGGTTAGAGTTGTACAAAGTCATTCGCACGGTCTTAGATATTTTTGAAATGCTGTAACTACATTTTTGTTGTCCCAGCGGATCCCTGCCGGAAAAAAAATCTACCGCTTAAACGAAGAAGTTCTGCGAGAGAACTCCGTGAACATTTTTCTACACAGGTGATTAGGGACGCACTAGGGGAATATTTCGTACAGCGCCTGTTCGTACAAGTTCGGGCTACTGCACTCACATACAAATGCCATGCAGTGCAGCGTTAACACACACGCATTGAGCGCACACATTGAGCGTTGAGCACACAGCCACACATTCGTTCTAACAAACGTGAAGTTCCAACGTCTGCACAACTGATGTTCTGAGTTGGAAATTGGATGTACTGCATATAGCACAAGTGAGGAACGTTATCCTGACATTCGACGCAGGACATCCTTTTGCGGACACCAGTCTAGGAATTGTGCAAGGTAAGTTTCAAGTTTTTTGTAGTCGTAGAACGAAACTGTAGTCTACATGTTTGAACGGGCAGATTACTGGGACCGTAACGCATTGCTGAGTCTCGTCTCATTTTTAGGTGATATCCCGTCTGCGGAGCTCCGCACAGGCTTACTCTTTCCACAACGTGGCGTCATCCGGATCAAGACACAAAAATCAGAAATGAAATGAAAGAGCAACACTAAATAATCTAATAACAAAACTGCCATCAAAATCACGCAAAGTTTTGATTGCATATTAGCGGGCCATTTCGCAAAGAATGTTAGGTTTTTACTGCTGTTCAAATGCTATGTATGCTATTTGATTATTAATTCCACGATTGGGTAGCCTTGCACCAATCGGCGCATTTGCTATCGTTACGCCTAGTGGTTTAATGCAATTGTGGTTGGGTAAAACCGACCACTCACAGAACGGATAGATGCTCGACAAGCCAATGCAAGAGCGGACATACTAACGCGCTCCGTTGATATGACGAGTCATATCAACGCAACACGCTACGAGCCTACTTTTTCCGGGAGGGGATTGCCACACTTCTACGCTCGGATGCACTCGAACAGCATGTCTGATAACATACAGTTAATTAGCAAACACACTGAGCAATTCACAGTTTTAATAAACTTGAACGGTCGCGTTCAACATTCGTGATTACGCTTCAAAATTTGTGGCTTAGTACAGTCTCAGCCTTACGTAAAGCAATGGGTGCCGCAGTGTTGTCGGTCCCGTGGTGAGGCCGGAATCGGTGGTGAAGGGTTGGGAGGTGGTGTGCAGATCCACCGCCGGGCACTGCGACGTGAGCGCGTTTGTGGTCGGGATTCTCGTTCATAATCCCGTGGTCGATGGCCATGTAGATTGTAGAAGCCGCCCACGTTAAATTGCGCTTTAAACACCAGCAACAACAGCAACAATGCATATTAACGGCAAGATTTGTGAGCTATCTCAACATCACAAACAGCTTAAACAATAATAGGACCCGCCTCGATGTCAATCATACTCTGTCAAGTTGTGCAAAAAAAATCATTAACAAATATTTAATCATTTTCGGAATTTGCAAATTTGTACCACATGAAAGGTTTTGTGCAGTCCAAATGTCTGCCCCAACATTACATTCACAGCCCCCGTACCGTGTTATTAAGCTTTACATGCAACGCCTACTCTAGTGGATATAATCAATCTTCAAGTTTTCAATTGCTATTCAACAAATACTATTCACTAACATTTAAAACCAAAACAATTCAGTTTCTTATGCTGTTTTGACCGCAGTAAGTTCTGCAAAAAAATTTCTCAACTAATTCAACATTTTTGAAGTTTTGTTCGTTCTCGGTGTAGTGATAGCATTGATCGTCCCGTTCCGCCTGATGCTGCCATGATACTACGTTTGCAGTCCTGAAACGATATACGAGCATTACGAGGCTTACGAGCACGCTGTAACTGATAAAACGCAATGAGAAATTTCCTAACGGTAGTGAACATAATTAATATTGTTATGTTAACCTTTCGATTTACTGTACTGTGTAGAATCAAAGCATTAACCCGTAATACAACAGAATCGTTGAAGCAGACGGACACCAGCGTGTACAGCCACTCCCTCGACGCATCCCCGGTTTCCCACAGCCACAGCAGGAACCCCTGGTTCCCGGCCTGCTCGCCGTAAGCCGCAGATGCCTGATACCGTGGTCGCCTGGTGGAGCAATGGCGATAGTAATAAAAATTAATCGGAAAAGCAGGCAAGCAGTTGGTATTATTAGCCCAGTTTTGTAAGTTGGAATATGGTATAAAGAGTTTCATTAACAATACCATAGCAAAGTCCGTAGAAACAGGGCTAACGTCGTTTCTAGCCGTTGTCGATTGCTCCCTGTTAGTTATTAATCGCAGGTGACGTTACTGGATTGCGGCTGTGGGATCAGCCGCTTCACAGGATTCTGCGCACACTACAGGACGGTGCCAAACTCAATCGTTGTAGGAAAATATAAAACTGTTTATTAAATTATTCGTAAAGCAATTTGTGCGAAATACTTCTATAATAAATATCTACATAAATAGGAATGTAAATTTTTTTTTTACTTTCATCGATACAAAATCAACTATGAAAACTAGGAAAACACGGATTTAAATCCAGATAGCTGCTTTAAAAAGTTAAATTATTCGTGCAACTGCTGTAATTTGAAGGAATAAAATTAAATTTTTGCGTTGTTAGAGCAGTACCGGCACCTACCCTCTTCACGAAACAAGCCGCTGCACTATAATCCTTCTCCAGCGCTGTAAGCCTCGATTCAACATGGCAACACTCTTAATGGCCTCGAATGTTTGGGAAACCGTTTTTCTCTTGGTAAATTTAACGGATTTTTTATTTAAAGGATGTTAATACAATGCGCACCCATATGTTAAAAGTACTGCAGTAAAGTCACTTAGTCACATAAAACTTACTTGGCCGACCACCAGATCCAGCCCGGGCACAGTCCCACGTCGAAGGAGTAGCGGCCGCATAGACGATGGACAGGGGTTGTTGCACGGTGGCGGCAATGGGTGGCGGGAGAATGCTGCCGTTCTCCCCGGCAAGAATGACGCGGTCCACGACAATCCAGGCGCCGCGCTGGATGTAGCGGCATCCAGGACCAGTTGGATGCGGGAGCTGGAGGGGCGGTCAAAATCGATGACGGCGCGGGTCCAGTAGATGGCGCCCGAGCCGGCGGCCCAGTTGGGCGTGCCCTGGAGTTGGTTGGAGGTGGCGACGCAGACCGCGAGACCGGCGACGTTTCGGCAGCTTGTTCGGTAAAAAAACTGAAAGCTAAATAAATCGCAATCAACAAAATTATCAGAAATATGAGAAATATTAATTTTTACCTACTCTAGAAATGATAGCAAACAACCTACACTGTTCTAGAGTGGAAAGATTAAGAAATTTCTAGTGCCCTCATGAATGAGATACGAGCGCGCAAAAAGGTAGCGCAAGGTAGCCTCGTAAGTAGCGCAAAAAGGAGTACGATTCGTATTATACAATTCGGCATTTTAGTAGTTTTAGCACACATCCATTCAACTTTTAGCAACGGTATTTTCTTTGTGACTGCCACTGTACTACATTCGAAGCAGTAAAAAGAATGTGCAATGCGTAAACCGAATTGATCACCATTATTAACACTTGCCATTACAGTAAATATTGAAAAAACCTGAAATTTTATTTACTGAATAATTTACTGAATAATTATATTTACTTCATCCCCAATAAGAAAGATAAATAATAAGATACCGCACGCTCGCATGAATTTTTAAGACAGCGCTTGTCGATAGAGATTCAGCGGGGTAACGCGGCGTCAGTGCTTGGCACGATGGAAGGGCTGGATAAATTAAATGAGATTTTCTTGTTGTAGTTTGCATGTTTCTTTCTTTACTTTGCCCCCAAGTATGATTTGACCGATAAAAGTACTTCATAAGATACCAGATGTCAAAAACTTACAAAGGTAATATAAGATACAAATCAGTAAGCACATTAGATCATTCACTGGCTAAAAAACTGAGAAGGTAACTGCTGACTTTTGCAATCGACAGCAATAGTACGGCCAACCGTGGAAGAAGCAACAGCGATAGCTTCCTTCGATATCGAAACGGTTGGAGTGCGTCGAGCGGACGGTGTCATTGTCCGTGGTCGCATCGACAGAGAAAGGACCCGGTTCCGCCTGGAACACCGTGCTGACGTTGGTTTATCCGGTGCGAAGTAGTGGTGCCCATTGCGGCTGCAGACTATCGCCGTTCTGCCAGTCGCACTTGTCCAAATTATTGCCTTCGCCAAAATCATAGCTGACCGTGCCGGGGAAAGGTTCCGCTATAAGCATTCGGCCAGTCAAAAATTACCGTCAAAGCGTTTGCCAAAATCGGATAATATAATAAAAACGTTCCAAAAAATCACGTTAAAGGTTCTGGTAATGTTATTTTGTAGTTGCAAAAAAAATACATTACAAAAAGTAACGAATTTCAGCGGTTTTGCAGATTGTAAATGATATGATTCTACAGCTGATATTGTAGAGCATCGGACACCATTATGCCATCTGCCGGTCACAATACTACGTTCAAATGCATTTACAACGAATGATGGTGGATGCAAATAAGTGAAACCACTTACCACAGCGACAAATTCACAATTTTTGTAAACTTGACTGCTCAGTAATCCTTTTACTAGTTAGCATTCGTCATGAACATCACAATTGTGGACTAACGTAGCGCAACGGGCGCCGGTGTGGTCGGTCCCGTGGTCAAGCCGGAATCGGTGCATTTTTATCCACAATAACCACCACAATATCATAGTTAGAAAACGTTTTTGAAATTTAATGCTTTTAATTTACTTACCTTGCGAGTTTAAAAAATTGTTGAACTTTTCCAATACGAAGTTCGTATTACGAATGTATAATTTAATTTATTATCTTGTGCAACGGGACACTGTACCCTCAAGGCATTTGACATTCCAAAAACATGAGAAACAGCAAAGGTCACACAAAAAGAAACACAACATGAGATGGTATATTTAGCGAGAGAGAAAAAACCAGTTCAGTATAACCATACCAATTAAGCGATCGCACTGGTGTCTGTCTATAACGCGGGGCCGTATGGGCGCCACGCGTATCCTCGACAACGAACAGCGGTGAACCCGGATGAGGCTTTATTGCCGAATCTAATGCGCACCGTGGCGCAGCAACACTAACAAGGAAGGATTCTGCAGCCAGTGCAACTGTGCTGCAGATCCGTCAAAACAGCGCAGCAGAAATCCCCAGAAACAGCGAATAGCTACTCAGGAGGGCGGAGCGTCCCGCCCTTACATGTCCATGCGTAAAACCAAAACGCACTTACTGTTATTAGTAGTACAAGTTTTAACAATTTCGAAAACTTTAATAATCTTGCGGGAGAAATGGAAAGCATGGACACTTACGTGCGTAATCGCACTACTGAATTACAAGCCAATATCTGTGTTGCGGTAATTTTCACAAAACTGCTGACCGAACAATCTGACAAAGTGCCGAGCGCGAATGCGCGAGGCTACCTTGTATCTATGTTAACATCCTAGAAAAGCGGCAAAATATTTCCTTGAAGGACCGGTAAGCCGTGTCAGAATCAGTATTCCGGGTACCACGATAAACTGTTCGAACAATCAAGCGGTCGAATATTAACATCCTTTAGTTTTGCAGAAAATTTCGTCTTTGTTTTTATTGTTATTTTTTAGTTTTGCTTAAAACCGTTTAACGAAATTTACTTAATAATTGACGAAATCACACGATAATGGCAGTCGGTGAGTAAAAATCAAAATAACGGATGCTATAGTAAACTGTAGTTTACAAGAAACAGCCTCGGCTTCGCCTCTGCGTTTCTTGTGGCCCACGGCCAATTATTTTTTGAAGCGATATTTAATAGAATAACACCAATATTTCGCCGAAACATGATCGTTGTAATATTATCTCAATAGCGCAAAAACACGGATCTTAAATAAAAATCAAATCATGATTTGATAATTTTAATTATTTTCAATACAAATGTGCCCGCACACCAATGTAAATGTCATCTAGTGACAAAAGAGCCTGAGATACTACAGTAGTAGGCAATGTTCGGTAATCATGAGAATACCTTAATTATATCTCTACTATAAAGCTTAACGTATTTTTTTTATATAGTTACAGATTTTTTTATGTAGTACAGTATTTACATATATGCAATTAAATCTACTGAGAAAAGCATAATTAAAATTGTTGTTTAGTAGTCTGATCTGGCCATTGTCCGTTATCCATATTTGTTGCTCAAATAAACATCCATAAGTAAGAACCGCTTTGAAGTGTCATTTACGAAGAATTCTCGGCCGAGCGAATGCAAAAATAATTGGATCAAGGGCCGTCTGTGCCATCTTAAAAATCCGCCCGGTCAAGTACAAAACACGATTATTGGCCAACACCTTTCCCGACATGAAATAGATGTTGGACACGCTCCAACAGACCGCTACACTAAAGGTCATAAGTGACAGCAAGAAAAATGAACCAGTTGACCTTTTATCCACGATGTGACCATGTCTGCCGGTCTCTGCGTGAGCAACGGCGCTAGGCAATGGGTCAGTATCAGAGGCATTTGCCGCTTTTCTTGCCCCAACGGCAATCTTCCGTCGACGGATGACAAAGTACGGATAACTAATAATAATAATAATTTCCGGCAGCGCATAGAACATCCAGTTATGAAATGGCAGCCAATAGAATTCCGAAGGTACCTCGCGACTATAACTGCACTGCACATTATCCAGGGCATCGCCGTATGAAACCGTATCGACTGTGGTGACCGTTACCGCAAAGACGGTAATCGCTGCCCAGCAGAGAATGCAGATAATAGTTGCTGTCTTTTTTGTGTGTTTGGCTCGGTACGATAACGGCCACTTTACCGCCCACAGGAGGTTGAGAGCGATGGTCATATGGTACAGTGGAGTCAGTGGACCAATGGCCACGGCGAAAAAACGCGGGACAGCGCAGAAGTAGGGGGAATCCTGCTCGGTTAAGAGGCTGTTGATGGCGGGGATAAAGGGATTGAAATTAAACAGGGCTCCGGCGATATTAGCCAGCAAGAGGCTGATAACATATATGTTGAAGGGAGTAAGGAACTCGCGGAGTTTATAAAAGGTGGACAGGAGACTGAGGTTGCCCGTTAAAGTGATAACGGACATAGCGACGGTCAACCAGTGCAGCCAGGTGAATTGGCTGATGGATGCACGCAAGTTCGGTGAAAGAGCGAACGGGTTGATGCGTGTAAGGTTATGGTCATGGGAGACATTGCGTTGCATGATCGGAGTGAATACTACGCGGAGCGCTCGAAAGAAACTGAAGCATGCTAAAGTGGTTATGATGTTCGTTGTGATTTCAGTTATTATAAGACAAATTTATCCGTAGTTTGAAAATTAAATGGACGACGATCCGTGTAAGAATAAGGCAACGAACTGCGGATGGGGAACGTGCTGGTAACTGGGCCAGGATGACGCAATGCTAGCGCGCAGCTTCGACGCAGGATTTCTGGCTTAACCTTATTGCCGATCTATTTTGGTTTCCGCAGGTATTTCCGGAAAACGTGCGTCGAAAACGAAAAATTTCCTGCCACGTGCGTCGTATTGTTTTGATTTTTGAGGACATACCACAACATATAGCATACTTCACAGGATAGCCTACAGTTTTTTACTTCAGAAATTATTCCTTCGAAAGGGGCTGCTAGACGTTTTGCAATGATTTATACATGCATAGTTCGGCAGGAAGGATAATCACGGTAAAGTCCAGCTTACAATAATCACTGGTAAACTGTGAAGTTGTGAACCGCAGTTTACCGTGAATTATTGGAACGTCTCTAACAGCAGTTATCGCATGACATTGTCCCGGTTTGCAACCGTTTGTACTCACGCTATTTTAAGTGTAACGTAACCGTAAATGCTGCGATTAGTAATCCAGCAAATGACAATTTTCGTTCGTTATTTGGGCGCCATGAGTTCTGAAACAGCAAATGTAGCATATTGGAACAGCAGTCGGTTTGACTGGTCACTGCTGCATGTTCTAGTGGATTGGCTAATCCGTCTTGCCACGATTTGCCGACTGGTAGTGTATGGAAGGTAAGACTACTAAGCACGGTCGGCAGCTATGCTAACCGAAGCTGACAAACGTTTGCACGGGTTACAACGGCTAGAATGCACACTGACCCCACTGCGGTGAAGACACGTAACGCAAGGTCATAGCAAGAGTTATTAGAAACTACGCAAGACAAGGTTTAGCAAGCAAAACAAACTGATGAGCAACAAGCGCAAAAACGCGGGGCAGAGGCAATTCGCTAACTGGCAGTTAAAGTTTTAAAATAAAACTACTGAGTAGTTATTATTTTATTTTATCATTTTGACTTAGGGAAACTAATGGTCTACATTTTCTAGGCTAACAAAATTTTTAGCGTAAGCAAATGCTCGCAAGATACTCGTATGCTGCTTATTGCGTCAACCTACTTGCACACAAACTCTTGAGGCTACAGAAAGTCGTAACCGTCACGTGCGTGGTAGGTACCTGGACGCTCTATTTGTCGTAGTGCGGAAATTATCCAGATTCTTGAAGGTGGGATGATCAAGCGAAATGGGGATTTTCAGAGGATAAAGGCAAAAAGTGCGGCAGCATGCGGAACACCATAACTGGACTAATTGTAGTTCTTGGAGGCAGGGGATCAGGTAACTGCACAATGTAATTACATCCGATGTTATTACTGCATGCCCTTTAATAACGGCTGATCGAAATTTCACAGTCACCTGAACCAGCCTCTGAAGACTAACCGGTCAGCTGCTTATTAAAACATCAGATGTTTATTAGAAGTGGGAATGCAACCCGACCCGACATAGAGTTTTGATCGGTCCCCAGTATCACCCCCTTTCATTCACCAATTGACATTAGAGCAAAATACATGGTGTATTGCCATTAGGTTGGCGTATGAAATAAACCCGAAATCTCACGTTCTGTTAGGTGTAAAATTCGAAACAGTGAAAGTGCACTGGATCATTAGTTTGCTGACTCTCCCGCTCACTAGTCATTTCATTGCCACTTTTCACTGGAAAGTTTGTCTGCCCGGTGGTGTATGTCCGGTCAGTTGTGGTAGCTCGATTACTTGCTTATCTAACCGATTCTTTGCACTAGACAGTACTGGTAGTTCAGTGGCCTTCTCACCTAACGAGCTCTGCGCACTGGACGCAGACACCCTGTGAGTCCTGCGAGTCCTATACGCGGTTGTCGACAACCGCGTAGTGACGCCCTTGGGGATGATAGCGGTCTCGTGGACGTAGTTCCAGCGGCCGGGAACGACCGCGATGAAAAGCGAGATCTCGATGGCCGCCTCCAGGTTGTGCACGGCGGCGTCCATGACGATCACGCCCAGGCTGTTGGTGGCGGGGAACTGGCCGTGGCTGTAGTACCAGAAGGAGATGCGGCCCTGGCTGAGCTCAGCCTCAAAGGTCACGTTGGGCGACCGGACGGCCAAGACGTGGCCCGGTCCGCCCTTGTCCGCCGGCTAGCTGTCGGAGAAGCAGTGGTTCACCAGAAAACTGTCGTCTGTGGAGTAATCGCGCTAGTGCGTAATTTACGTTTCGCTTCAACACGCGAAAAATCATACAAGAACGTCAATGTTGTGAAATTATCAAATCCCGCCACTAACCACCTGTTTGTCTAAATACGGCCACATTTTCGCATACCTGATTGTCAGTAACCGCAACATACTGAATCATCTCATAAAAACAACAATCATTATTATGCACAATGACGTCGAGAAATGGCACGATCAACGATGTATATTGCTATCGACATTGAAAGCCATCAGCAGTACTCTATCCGCACTCAACAAAACGAAATGCGTCTATATACTGTTTATTTCTTTTAAAAAGAAAACTACGAAGATCCGTTTGTGAAATCGGAAAACTTGTGGCGCCTTTCATTGCTCCCCAACTGTATGTCGACAAAATCGCAAACAAATTCTGACATTTTCGGTGTGCAAATACGGGAATTGCGCTTGAATAGGCTACCGTTCAATAGCTACATAGAGTGGTTGGTCAAAAGAATTTTCAATATCTGTATTTATAAAAATATTTCATCAAGTATTATATTAAGCTTTTTAATTAAGTATTTCATTAAGCACGGTATATTTATATATGATCACTGCGCACTGCACAACGCGGGAAGACGGAACATATATAACTGTTTTACCGAATGTTTTGTGCCACTACTCTACGAGATCACCGCACAAAATACGGTATACGATCGCTAGTCAGCAGTTTTAAGAATTCCTGTCATGTCGGCAAAACCAAATGACAAACATTTAGACCATATTTCATTCGTGTAGCAAAACTTTCAATATCCACCACTGAAACGAAATTCCCGGCAGCGAATGCGTAACATTTAAAGTCAACACAACTTCCTGTGCTCCGGTCTCATTGTGCGACGGTGCCGGTACACTGCTGTAATCCGCCGACGTCTCCTATCCGTTAATCGTTAACGTACATGTCACCAGCTCCCATCGACCAAACAGTCCTTCCTGCAAATCGCACTCCGCAGCCACTTCGTCCAACGCTTGAAAAATTAGATCATCTACGCGCAGGAGCTCGCACGCTTAGACCTGACCTTTTTTAAAAATGAAATCTTTTTTGGCAAATGGAAATTCCAGAAATATTCAAAGTCAACGTGCCGGTATTCGCATGTAACATGATGCTGTCGATGGCGACGAAGCTGTTGGGTGGTATAAAGAGACTGGTCAGCTACAGTCGCCGGCGCGGTGCAGGGGATCGATGCGGATTCCACTGTCCGAGCGGTGCCGGACCGAAAAGAGCGTATTCTGGAGGTGCGACCACTGACGCGATAATAAACTGCAGTATAATAAAATTATTACGGACATTGGGAGTAGCAGTTTATTTCCGCATCATTACCGGCTTAAAATTACACTTTACAGCTTTAGCTGAACTGCATGTCATCCACGATTTAAAAAATAAGTTAATTATTTGCAATTTGCAATGGCCAACGCGGTAACTGTGACATTTGGCAATATTAATTTATAGGCTGACACTTCCATAATGAAGATGAACCTCCATTACAACGATATCATAGGCTTCACAGCAAAACCGTAGAAAATTGGCTGATATGTACCCGAGTAAAACAGCTTGAAAAAAAACGTCAGTTGAATGTGTTATTGCCTCAAAGGGAACGGATGTGTTCGAATTTTGTCCTTTAACTAACGTTCAGCAGTCAGCTCATGGTTTTTTTATAAACTGTTTTACTGGGGATATCTATACAGATGTACGCTAATGATTGCTTCTATATAAATATTAAGGTCAGTTATTTACAACAACTTAGCTTTTTCAACAATACCAAATTCGAAAACAGTGGAGGTTTGTGTAATAGATACTTACTTAAGTTTTAGCAGTGTAGCAAACTAATAATTAAGATCCTGGAAATATTTTATGTACAGAAAGATCATAGTGCAAATGCTTTGTCATTTCTAGCCACCCTGTTAAATACACTAATATTTTGCTACACAAGCACGACTAACTAATGTCCTCAGATTAAATTACAGATTAAACCATGTACTATGTAAAATTAGTCTTTTCCGCAAATTTTTCTGTTGAATACTTATACGAAAATCGGTTGCAGGATGAGCAATTCAAGAAGGAAAGTATCGTTCGTCGTAGCGAAATTTAAAACTGCGTATCCAATTACGCGTTAAACAATCAATAAAAAATACTTTTAAACAATGTAAAATATAAATCACTGCTTTAAAAAGTTAATTACAGTTCTAATATCCCAAGAAATGATTAAATTATCTATTTCTTAACGCAGTGTCGACAAGAAATCGTCGTATACGCAAGAGAAGCAGCCAGAAGAAAGCCGCTGCACTATGGTCCTTCTCCAGCGCTTAATTATCGAGCGCGCTCGAGCCGGCGGCCCAAATGGGCGTGGCCGGGAGTTAGTTGGAGGTGGCCACGTACACTGCGAGACCGGCTACGTTACGGCCGCTTGTTCGGTAGAAAAACTACACAGCGAAATAAATCATAATGAAAAGACTTATCAGATTTTCCAGTACCCTCATGAATGGGTTAAGTACGCAAAAGAAGAGTAGTTCATACATAATTCAATAATTAAGCAATTTTGGCAAATTGTCAGCACCTCTTGGCAGTGATTAACCTAGTGAATGCCACAATACTACATCAGGAGCAGTAACAGGAACGAACAATGCGTAAGCGGCCATTAACCACCATTATTAACACACTGCCATTAATGAGTGGACAAATATGAAATATTATTTATTTGAAATTTTATTTATTACTGAATAAAGTGTTAGGCTTCGTTACCAATAAAAAAAACCAACAATAAAATATCAAACGTCCAAATCTTAAGAAGATGAAAAGACAGAAAATTGTAAGCACGCGAGTACAATAATTAATGGACAAACTGAGAAGGTAACTGCCGGCATTTTGCAATACAGATAGACAGCCAACTGTGGATTCCACTGCGATTTCACTGCGACTGCTGACTGCCGGGAAAAGTTCCGCTATAACCATTCGACCAGTCAAAAATAAACTTCAAAACTTCTGCCAGAAATCGGATATTATTACAAAAATCACGATAAAAACTTATTAATAAATTATTGTTTTTAAAGTTACTTATTCGCGTGATCTTAGCTATTTTTGAAATGTTGCAACTGAATTTTTGTTTTCGCTGCAGACTGCCACAATTCTACGTTCGCATGCACTAGAACAGCATGTTTGATAAGTGATAACATACTGCTAATTACGCAAATAGTACAATGAGCAATTCACAGTTTTAGTAGCAATGTCAACCACACTCGGTCCAGTTGCATGTCCAGTTGTAACCACTATGATTTAACAATGTTTTGTACTGACTGTAGAATGCTTGGGTGTTATGTTTACAGATATGTGGAGAACGTTTAGGGCGTACCTGATGGAGCATCCGCGGCACCGGTCACCACGACGTTTTCCTTCCAGTGTCCTTACTTTCTATACATCGAAAGTGATGGTGAACAGCGAGATGCCAATGGAACCGCGATCACTGACGCGATAACAGAACTACAACACCACCAAATAATTGCGGACACTGACAGAATGCAGTTTTTTTCCAAAGCTTAACGATGAAATGAATTTTCAACAACAACAAATTAAGAAATAAATTATTTATCTGCAACATGCTGTAACGTGGGGCCTTATGGGCGCCCACGTACCTTCGACGGCGAAGCAGCGGAGAACCCGGATTGAGGCTTCAATGCCGAAATCTAAGGTGCGCACCGTGGCGCAGCAAACACCGACTAATGAGATCGGATCCTACAGCCAGCGCAGCTGTGCTGTACGTCCGTCAAACACCACAGAAATGTGTGGGATGGAAATCCCCAGAAACAGCGAAACACAACGGCGAATGGCCAATCGTGAAGGCGGAGCTATCGGCCTTCACAATGCAGGTAACGCTAGTATAACAGTGATCTTTCACAACATCCTATACACCTGCATTTTTACAAAGACGATGGGATTAAACTGACAACATCATAATGACACCAAAAGAAAACCGTAGAAAAATGGCTGTTGCACGGCCGCAATAGTGGCTCAGTGTCTGTTATGTGCAATAAACCAACTATTCTGCAACACTAAGTAACTCGAACACAAATAATTTTTTGCAGTGAGTTATTAATTACTTGCTGCAGATTATCAGATTAGATTACGGTTAAAAGGATTTCTGCCAATTCCTTGCAGTAAGTCATTATACCTGGATTGTCAGCTGGTGTCCGTGTCCGGCCGGTGTGGCCGCAGGGCGTGGCCATGTAGTTGCCAGCGTGGGCGGAGGCGTTATTGTGCGAGGCGGCCACCGTCCACAGGCTGGCGTCTAGCTAGGTTGTGCCAGGCTCACAGGTTATTGGCTTCAAACCTGCAGGAAACCTCTCCGCCGAATGCCACAGCTGAAACACACGTACCACTTCAGATTGTTTTTCTTTCCGTCAGCAGTACGCGACATAATTACTAAGTAATAATTGCTTATACTGATGCTTTTCAGGTTGCACGCATAGAAATTGAATTTCCAAAAAACATGCAGCACAAGTACGAGTACTACGTACGTAAACAGATCAATCGTAGTGCAGCGGCGATACCTCATGTCGTTCCACGTTCCTGTCATTTGTTAATCGTATAGTAGGCTTGTGGCATTACTGTGCGCAGACTTACTTAAATTTCGATTCAACTTAAAAGGATCTTCTCCCTTCCATTTTTTTTACTCAATCACAAAAAAATAAACCAAATCTATCGGTACTATCTTGATGCTTCAAATACTTATACATCCGTTTAAACAAGGTCACTACCGACGCGTGGGGAGAAGATTCTTTGTCAAGCACTATCCTTACTGACCGTGCACAGTTTTAGCTCGTCACAAAACTTCGGATTACATTAATTTTATTTATGCACGTTGAAGCGCTACGAACGGCTAAAGCTCAGAAGGCAACCAAGCAGAGTACCCAGAGGTTCTGTGGGGGCCAAGCCGGAGGGTATAGGGTTGGTACATAATTAAATCAAGGAACCTTGGCGGAATCGTCGAAAGATAAGGGCGCCACGTCGTTGACCTAGAGCTGTTTGAAATTGTCGGCTTCCCACAGGAGGGAACGCTCATATGCCCGGATGCTGTTGCGGATAAGGATGGCGGCGGGCTGGTTGAGAGTGGGCAGGGAGCTGCTGCTGACCAGCATATAACTCTCCTTGACATCGCTGATGTCGTAGCCGGGCGGATAGTGAGTCCCCCCACCGGACGCCAGTCATCTGTGCACTGCCAGCCGCTTGTCTGAAAGTCTTCAAAATCGTAGGTCACGCTGGTGGATTGGGCCTGTGGGATGAGCAGTTCAAAAAGGAAAGTGTCATTCATCGCAAATAATTTTAAAACTGCGTATCCAGTTGCTCGTTTAGCGATTAATACGAAATACTTTCGAAAAATACGATACACAACCAAAACAAACAATACAAAATCCTGCTTTAAAAAATTAATTTAGAATTTTGAAACCGTGAGGAATGATTGCATTTTCATTTCTTAAAGCAGTATCGGCAAGCTAAGGAGTAGTAGAAAGCCGCCGCACTACGGTTCTTCCACAGCGCTGAGTGTTAGTCTCGATTCAACATGGCAACAACACACACAGTGTAGAATTAGCAAGTTATTATTTATTCGAAGTGTCTCGGGGTCATGCTCCTGGATGGAGGTCATGAAAATATCAAGCTATATGCTGAGTTATCGCTTGTGCTGTACGCGGTGGTATAATAAATAAGTTCCAGGCTCGGGGCAGCAAAGTATTGCAATTCAGTACATACAAAGTATTCCAGTACAAAATATTGCAATTCCAATAAAAACGGTTGCGCCGAGACACTTCGGCTAACTACGTAATAGTAATAGTAACAAGATCTTAATGAAGTGCGAAAAAATTTCAAAGTCTGTAATGTCAAGAAAATATGAGCGGGTAAAGCAGCAACGGTCTAAGCTTTTACCTTTCTAAACGCTAAGGAGTTTCTAAAGCCATTTCCAAAAATACAACCTGTGCACACGGTCAGTGCCCGTGTTTTACCGTGTATCCAGCATTGACCGAATCGTTATTGTACTGAACCAAGAGTTGAGCCACTTTTCTAAGTTTCCTTTAAATTAGTCCACATGAAAAATGCTAGAACCATGGTTCTGGGTAAAAACGATCTTCGTGATTATTTCAGTACGTTTTTATACGACCACCTCGTATATATTACAGTATTTGATGCGGACAGGATCGGAATCCTAACGAGACCCCTGGTGCCCGTCTTTGCGTCCGAAATCTTATTTTACTCATGACTCCCCAACTGGATATAGCGCAAATAACGGTTGCGCTTTATCATTTCACACAATTCAATAAAACAACTCAAAAAATTGTTAACGTTAGCAGTTGTGAAAGCGCAAACTCTTTTAAATGCTCACGAATTTATAAGAGTTGTACGTTACGGCCCGTTTCCCTTGAAACGATATTTAAAATTTTGTAACGTATGTTAACAATTTAAATAGAACGTATCTTGATATTTAAGGTTAATGCCTGGGGAAAGCCTGCAGTGCAGAATGACATTTTCGTCATGCTCACTTGTAGGAAACAGTAGCAAAGAGTCTGCATAATCAGAACGACGAGCTCTAAATTCACAAGCTCAAGGTCAATGCATTAAGTGTCTGCAAAGTGTTGCAAAAGTCGGTAATCCAATTTCATAGCATCAGTAATAAATTAAATTACCGGCTCGAGTTTACCGTAACGACGGTAAACATGTTGAAATTCGTGCTTTCACTTAATATTCATGTCGTAAAAATGTCATTATGAATTGTGTAATTACTGTTGATAGGGTCGTTTAAACGAACTCGTTACACTTACAGCTACAGATATTATAGCAGTTTAAAGAGGTAATACGAAACCGCGTTAGTGATACAACAAGGATTACTGGGTGTGCTATACAAGCCTAATGTTCCAAAATTCGCATTCGTTGTGATTTTGCTCTAATTAACTTGAGGCGCTTTTGTTCTACAGTCAAACCGTTAACCTTCATTCTACACTAATCAAGGTTATGCAAAGCTGCGGAAGTTAACGCGCTCGCCAAGTTCGAATCGAGGTAGTACAGGTTGGCTCCATATAAAAGAACTGCGGATCCGGTGAAATAACCAGCAGTAACGTTCAAGCAGCCTAATTACCAGCAACTTTTTTCTGGGCATTAACGTTGATATTTTAACCGTCGCCATGAAATCCGTCCTGGTTCTTCTTGCCGTGGTCGCAGTGGCATCTGCTGCCAGCCTTAAGGTAAACTGTTACCACAGTTTTTTTAAACACGTTTTCATGAACACCTAACAATGTTTAATTCACTTCCCCTTTTTGCATGCAGGCCAAGCGCGCTGTGAAGACCCAGAATCCGTTGGCTTTTGCTGCACTGGACCAACTGCGCGGAAAATCCCGATTGAGCGTGCCCGACCAGTACAACCTGATCGCCACCGCCCAGGCCGGTCAAGACTACCCCAACAACGCTGTGATCGAGCAGGGATCTTTCGACTGCAGCAGCACCCATCAGCCCGGTTTCTATGCTGATCCTTCCGCGACTTCCCGATGCCAGAGTAAGTCTACCATGTGATTCTCTACAACAAATGTGCCGTTTAACAACTCTCTGTATTGCAGTCTTCCACCGCTGCGATGTCAACGGCAATCTGACGTCGTACCTGTGCCCCAACATGACTGTACGCCACCGCGCGCTCTCATTGGCTGACTGAATTCTGACGATCTGTCTTTGTTTACAGGTATTCAACCAGATCACCCTGGTCTGCAACTGGTGGTTCGACGTGGACTGCAGCAAGGCCGCCTCTTTCTACGACTACTCCAACAGCCGTCTTTACCAGGGCGCCAATGTGCCGCTGCTGGATGACGTTGTCCGCAAACTGACCGGGGCTGTTGCTTCCGGAAGTGTGGAGGTCGCCGCGCCGGCTCCGGAGGAAGCCGCGCCTGCCGAGGCCCCGGCTGCTGAAGCAGCTCCGGAAGCGGCACCCGCTGAAGGCGAGGCTGCTGCTCAGTAGATGAGGCGGACGTGACCTTTGGACTGCTTGCTCGCTGAGTCGCTGTCGACCTCCGATCATGCGTTTCCTACATTGCACAGATTTTGTAAAAACGACCTGAAACTTTTGAACAATGAATGTGATCGCTGTACGAATGATGCTTTGAGCTTGATGGAAAAACAAGGAATAAATCAACCGACCAATTGCGGGTTCTCAATGGTTGCAGCTGGCTCGTTTGAGCTCGTTAGTAATTCAAAACAGCGAAGACATAAGCAGAAATCTGAAACCAATGACACCGGCTCATAACTGCCAAGAAATACGATTCTGAAATTGGAAATAACACTACTGACCGTGTAAGTTGTGATTAATGTTTTCGAGAAATATTCATACGATATATATACACAAAATACACTGTAGTTATCTGATAAGAAATACCGCTGTATTCGGCAGCAGACTTCAACGGGCTGTGCTTGCAGAAATTATTTAAAAATTATTGATAACTTAAACAGTTCTGTATGCGCTATGCACGATTTGTAGGATATACTGGGCGACTGACTCGTACGATGGAGTAATAATATCTTTAAGCAAGTACATTTTGCTTTTTTACAGCTGTATACGGAACATACGTATAAATATGCATATGCGTTTATATGTACATATGCATTTTAATTTATATTTTGCATTCAATAAATTTTTCAATTTAAACGCAGTATGAGTAATCCATAACCTGAAATTCCCAGGAACCTCCACGGTACCGTCGACCGGCATAGACTCGACATTTGCCACCGGGAAGTAATATTCTGTCATTTGTCTTCCTGCGAATCCTTGTAAATTCATTAAGACCACAGCAAAAAGTATATACACACGCAGCGTACCGGTCTCGCTTTCGAGACTGATCTCGTCGATGCCGGTCCAGCTGTCGAGGCGGGTGAAGTGGCTCTCCAGGATCAGCTGACAACGGCTGGCGTCGGCCCCGTCCGCCTGTCGGATGCTGATGACCGCACGCTGCCACACGCCGATGTCGCCGTGGCCGGTGTGCCAGACGGAAGTGGTGGGGAAGGCGTCGCTGACAGCCAAATACGAGCTGATACCTGGTACGAATCGTCCGCTAGTTCGGTAGTAAAACTCGATAAAACTAGAGAAAAATACTTATGACTTTGCACGCAACTGTCATGGCCGACCATTAACAGATGAAGTCCCGACAATAATATGCACGTGTAAAATCAGTTTAATTAATTAATTAATTAATGCAATTAGTCAGCCATCCGGAAAGCTCATACATAAATTTGCGCTTTCACAGTAAGAATCTGTTAAATGAACACGTCTATATCCATTTTCTTGCAAATTTACCATTTCATTCATTTCGGATTTACTTATTTCAAATGTCATGGCTGAAAGCTTGCAAATACTGTAGATATATTTACGGTTTTACTGAATATGTAAATTTAAGTTAAGGTCATTCCCAACCACTGCCGGGATGTATGGTGTACCTCAATGTTAAACGGCTGACTGCAGTCGGAATCCAGATTGGCACTCCTCAGACGCGCCACACGGCTGGCGGGGTAGGGAACCGCTTGCGCAAAGAAGCGCCCACGGTAAGCGGCGACGATACAGCTGCCGACGCTCTCCGTCACGAACCTCTGGGATATGTGGGGGTTGGGGTCCAGGTTGCGCCACGACTACGAGCACAGTGTTTTGTTCTCGAAGTCACAGCTGATGGGCCCGTTCCACGCCGGTGCTACATTGAACCGACCAATAAAATAAAGCGGCAAAAAACTGAATTTTCTATTCTTTTAAAATATTTATATCGCACATTGTCTTCATATCAAGCGATGTACATATTATCGTGTTACACGTAATTATCGGCTTGGGCTAGTACGTCACTTCACTACGATATCGCTGTAGAATTTAAATGTAAATGCTCTGTGCAGGCACTTATCGTGTGCGTTTTCGCACTGGCCTTGCTATCATCAGATTTTTTTTATATTTATTTCCGTTCTTAATCAATATTCAAAAAAGATACAGTAGAAACAATTTTTAACCCATATAAATTAAATTATGTGATTTTTTATTTAAAAATTAAAACATTTTAATTCATACTAAGTTACATAACAAAGGGCGGAGTGCGCAGTTCGGCGGTGACGGTGTCGTTGCGCACAGAACGGTCCTTCACTTCATCCAGGTACTGTACATGTAGCCACGACCTGTATTAATGTTAAATATTCATACCCCAGTTTTTGCTAACATACTTTTTAACATTAAGGGAGTTTATATCTGTTTCAGATTAGTTTTCTTCGTCGTTATTATGTCATTCTTTTTACTGCCGAATTTTTCTGATAGATTTTGCAGTGCTTATAACCGGGTTCAGAGTACTAGTGCTAAAGTAGGTTTGTAATGCGTTGGTTTATCATTATGAAAAATGCTGACTGATCAAAAACGCACCTGACTGAGCATCCGTTGGTCCTGAGCATCCGTCGGTTTCAATGTGTTATGCTGAATCACTAACTATCGTCCATACAGTAAATATTACGTACTAAATTTCAATTCTAACATGTTTTTCCGCAGATTTTCTCTTGGCTAAGTAAAGAAGAATGCAATCCATAAATCTGTTGTTGATGTATCAGTGAATGCATTTGCTGAAACAAATTAAAAAAAAGGAATAAAATTGTCTGCCAAACATACAGGGCCGTGAATTTCAACTCGTTCCAAAACTTAGAATCACATTTTAGTTTAGCAAAATAAAACGTTTCGAAGGGATTATTAGCAGGTTAGAAGGCGACTTACGCAGCGTAACCGGAGGTTCCGTGGTGGTCAAGCCGGACGGTGTCGGGCTGGTCAGATAGGGAACAGTGTTGTGCGGAATCGCATCCGGACAGGTTTCTGTCGGGATGATCGCGTCGGATCCCTCGCCCAACAGGACCACATGGTCCAGACCGATGTAGAAAGCTCGCGAATTGAATCACGCTTCAAACGCCAACTAAAACAGCAACAAAAACATTCCAGAATAAAAATGAAAAATAATCACAATAGTAACCAAAATATTCAGTAAAATATTTCAAAAATCACGGAAAGCCGTCGTGACCTTGGCGGGATCGTTGAAACAGAGGGGCGCCACGTCATTAACGCAGAGCTGGTTGAGCTTGTCGGTTTCCCATATCAAAAGCGCTCGTCCGCGCGGATGGCGAATAGTTGCAGCGAGTGGATGCCGTGGCCGTAAGCGCGGTAATAGAAGGTCAAGACGCTGCGGACAGCGCGATACGAGTGATGATGCTGCGAGTGATGAGGGTGGCGGACTGGTTGAGAGAGGGGAGGGAGCTGCTGCTGACCAGCATGTAGCCTTCGTTGTCGTCGGTGATGCCGTAGCCGGGGGGACCGGGCGCCAGCCATCGGTCGACTGCCAGCCGCACGTCTCAAAGTCCTCGAAATCGCAGGTGACGTTGGTGGATTGCGGCTCCGGGATAAGCGGTTCACGGGATTCTGAAACAGTATAAATCAGTGTCATCGTAACTATTGAACTATAAAAGTATCAATAAATTATCAAATTTATTTTTAAAAATTTTTAATGTCCTGGTCGACAAAAGTGTCATAAACAAACTGCCTAAATTAAATTAGAATATAATTTATGCAGTAATAAATGTAATCAAAACAAAAACGGACCGCGCTGTATTAGTGCTTGGCAGTTATAAATTCAAGCAGTAAAAAACTCAACTTATTTCACATTCATTTAGGAAATTACAAAAAACACACTGATATTCAAGCATAAACTTTGAACGACAGTGACAGTACATAAAGCCCGGTAGCTTCTTGAAAAAATACGATTGCTTATGCTATAATTCGAAGCTTCCCTTTTAATATAGCAGAAACCGACGCCGAGGGAAAGCCTACGCACTACAATCTTTCTCCAACGCCTAAACCTCGATTCAACATATTAACGCTTCAAGTGTTTACCATTACGAAAGCCGTTCTTATTTTCTCTGGACTGTTACCACGCATTTTTATTTAGACGATATTTATGACAATGTTTATTTGGGTAGTGTCTTCTTTTTCGTAGTTTCAGTCATAACGCATTGAGATGTTGGCTCATACAGCTGCGTACTGAACACAGCCACATAAAACTTAACTGGCATGCCCTCAGATTTCGTGGAGGCCATTTCATCAGTAGCGGCAAACGAGCCCTCGATACGGTGATTAACATGGCATGGTCTCGTTGCGGCATGGTGATTAGCGTAGTCTCGCTGCGGGGTAGACCGACCTTCTGACGGATGAAGTGCCAGGTCAGGGGGTTCACCAAATCTTCGGCGTTGTTCGTTTCGCACGCCACCCCGACCAATCCGTTCCCGAGAGCTGGTTCGTGAATCTGCAGTTCCAACTGCGTTCCGGCACCCAACAGGTACCAGAAGGTCACCTCTACAGTTGTTTCTTCTCGATCCAGCAGTGATAAAGGTCGGGTGAAGAGTTCCGAGAAGCCCTCGAGGTGTTCGGCGGAGACATAGCCGTTGCCGGCCTGGGCGGCCACTCCGTGGTAGGAGCGGTTGAAGTTCTCGATGAAGTTGACGCCGATCCATCCCGGACACAGGCCCACGTCGAAGGAGCAGGTGGCCGCCTCGACGATGGCCAGGGGCTGTTGGACAGTGGTGGCGATGGTGGGCGGGAGGACGTTGCCGTTCTCGCCGGCCAGGACGACGCGGTCCACGGCGATCTGCAGGCGCCGCGCTGGATGTAGCGGGCTTGGATGATTAACTGGATGCGGGAGCTGGAGGGGCGGTCGAAGTCGATGACGGCGCGGGTCCAGTCGATGGCGCCCGAGCCGGCGGCCCAGATGGGCGGGGCCGGGAGTTGGTTGGAGGTGGCCACGTAGACGGCGACGTTACGGCCGCTTGTTCGGTAGAAAAACTACAAAGGAAATCCAGGTACAGTAAACGAATAAGAAACAAATGCGTGGAAAAAATTTCAATGATTTCATTTACAAGTGTATTTACGACTTTTCCGAATATTTTAGTATCAATGCGATCCATTAATGCGATACTCTCGCCTGCCACAATACTACGTTCGGTGTAGCAGAAGCAGTAATTATTTTGATCTGCGTCACAGACTGCATGCGCTGAATTTATCCATGAATATTCGACATGTTCTAAGTTTAACTTCCATGTCACGACATTTTTTAAGCAAACAAATAAATAAAAGTAGGTTCACTTTTATGCGCCCGGAAATTTTCCGGGCGCATTCCATTTTCTAATTCAACATTACCTACTCAATAACTCCTATGACGGAAATAGTAGCGATGGCTTACTTCGATGTGGAAGTGGTTGGACGAGGCGTTCACGATATTGGCCGAGGCCAAGATTCGCGCTGACCGACCGCGCCGAGCGGACGGTTTCGTTGCCCATGGTGGCGCCGACAAAGAAATTGCCCGGTTCCGCTTCGAACACTATGCTGAAGTTGGTCTGTCCGATGCGAAGGAGCGGTGTGCACGGCGGCTGCACTATCGGCGTTCTGCCAGCCGCACATGTCCGCGTAAGCGCTTCACCGAAATCACAACTGATCGTGCCGGGGATCGGTTCCGCTGCAGGCATTCGAAGTACAAGCAGTCAATAATTATTAATTGCCACCCAAAAAGTTCTACCCACAGCTCAGATATTTTGGAAAACATGTGTTCACAAAAACACGATAAAAATGCTGGTAATTATTTTTGCAGCTGTGCAAAAAATTAATCATAACAAATTTTACGGTATTCTGTAAATTTTAATCTGATGTAGGTTTATAGCTAATGTAGCTGCGCAAAATCTTTAACAGCCACGGTACTACGTTGGAATGCATTAACAGCGCATTTGCTATGTATCTGATAACACATTCCATAACGAGCCGTTCACCATCTTCATAAACTTGATTAATCAGTAATTGCTAATCATTCAGCATTCGATATTGCACTTAACAATATGTAGCTTACGTATAATAATGGGTGCCGGTGTGGTCGGTCCCGTGGTCAACCCGGAATCGGTAGTGATGGTTTGGGAGGTGGAGTACAGATCCAGCGCCGGGCATTGCGAAGTCGGTGCGTTCGTGTCGGGATCCTCGTTCAAGATTACGTGGTCGATGGCCACGTAGATCTACGCCTTAAACACCAACTGTAACCGAAACCGCATATGAACGACAAGATTTGTGGACTATTTCAAAGTCAATAACAGGTCAAACCGTCAAACATTACTAAGGCAGTAAGGCCCAAGGGCCGTCTCAACGCCAAGCTCACCCTTTCTAGTGACAATTAGGCAAACTGTGAAAAAAATATTAAATAACTGACAAATAGACAGACATTTGATAAACTACGGATTCATCAACCAGGAATTCACAGTGACTTTAGACTGTCTGCCACAACACTACGTTTGCTGCAACACTACCTCGTTAATCACAACCAGCAAATTAAGAATTAAAAAACAATAAATTAAAAAAAGCTTAATTTACTTAATTAATCACCGTCATTTTAACATATCGGTCACATGTCAAAAGATCAACTCATACCACAACAGGATCGTTGAAGCAGACGGACACCAGCGTGTACAGCCACTCCCGCGACGCATCCCCAGTTTCCCACAGCAGGAACCGCTGGTTGCCGGCCTGTTCGCCGTACAGTCGCAGATGCTCGATCCCGTATCCGAAGGCGCGGTAGGCGAAGGCCATGCTGCTGTTGACGTGTGGGAATGCTTTGGAGCGCATCTCGAGGGTGTCGGTGATGGTGGTGACGTCCTGGCTGTCCGCCACGAGGTAGCCTTCGCTGTCGTCGTTATACACGGCGTACGGACCGACACCGTACGATCCGTTGATGGCTCACCAGCTGAAGGCCAGCCAACTGGGCGGCTGCCAGCCACAGGTGGCGCCACACTGGAAGCCGCGGTCACACCCGTGTGCCTTCTGCAGGAAATGCAATTCAAATCAGACGGCTGGTGATGCCGGCGATGGCGCCGTCGAAGGGCGCGTCGCGGGAGCGCGCCGTCATGTAGTTATCGACGTCGTCAGGGGCCGATTGGACGTGCCAGTCGATGCCCAGACCGTTGTTGGTCCAGCCCCACAAGTCGCTCTCGAATCGCAGCTGATGGTCGTCGCGGCCTGGCCGGGGCACATGAAGGTGTCGGGCGGGATGGCACCTTCGTCTTCCAGCTCGAGGGCGTCGAAGGCGACGACGTGGTCTGGCAGGATGAAGCCGGCAGAAAATTCCAGCTGTTGAGAATAAAACACTCACTGTATTCAAAGTTCATAATAAAAGTAATAAGTGGAAAATTATCTGCAACTGATTTTTAACAATATTCATACACAGCCATTAGCCGCATAGAAAAATCGTTAGTAAAATAAAAAAATTAACAAAAACTGGTAAAATGAACGAAAAATACATATCAAATACAAGGCATATATTCTACTATTAAATACAACTATACAAGTACTTGCAGTAATAATAATAAATCAAAATTTTTTACGAAACCTTTGTAACCCGCTTTCTGAAATAAGTGTCACCGCACATAGAATTCCGCTGAGTCGCACCAGACAACTTCCGCTCGCTTCCACTGATCGGTATTTCCTCCAGTCTCTTCCCACAACACATTGAACTCCAGTCCATTCATGCCCAATTTCGTCTTGGTCAGTCTGACAAAATCCACTCCGTGTCCGCGTGCATGGTACCAGAAGGAGAATTTTCCGTCGCGCTCCAACTTGACCGCGCCGTTGGCCACCAAGCGGGCCACTTCATCGCTCTTCAGTCGCTGATTGGCCGCGGCATACACGAACCACGTGCCCTGCGCGGCACTGCCGATGACTCCACTGTCAGTAGCTTTCTCCACGGTCTGTGCGCGGCGGAAGCATAGATTTTTTCCCACCTGTAGGTGATAAGTATCATTCTAGTGATAATTATCATAGGATAATGATAATTATCCTTATTCTAGTGATAATTATCACCAGAATAATCTGTGGCAGATTAATCTAACGAATTACGGAATTAATTTTTCTGTGCATAATAATCTCCTAATGAATCAATTTCAGCAAAGAACCCACCAGATTTAATACAGACTTCCAGAAAATACAGTAACTAAAAAAATAATGGAAATTAGGAAAAAAACATCTATTTTAACCATTCCATCACCTAGAGGCTAGAATCTATGTAAAAGTTTTCGAAAACCTATTGAAGAAACATGTATCTTCAAATTTTATTTCATTTCTAATCAAATTTCCTTTCACGTCGTTTCGAAAACGGCACAAACGAGATCTCATTAACTATATAGCTGCCCATAGACTACGGTTGTGGTAACATACGTAGATGGGGCCATAAAACTGCACGTCGATTCGTAGGCTGCGCCACAACTTTTATCTCATTAAATTAAATATTAAATAAAACAATTAAACTTTCGAAATATAATCATGAAAATTTCTAACAGCCTGATAAGGTCATATTTCGTCCAGCAGAGACTTGAGCAAGGGATCTATTTATTATAAGATGAAGCTGAAAATACTTGACCTCGGTGGTCCAGCCGCACATGCCATCCTCAAAATCACAGGTCAAAATGGGCGACGGACACTGCGGACTGAAGCCGGGCGGGGCCGGTTCGATCTCCCCGGTCAACTCGAAATCGTCCACCTGCACACCCGCCACCGTGGACTCGAAGACCAGCTGGTACCCCGGGTCCTGGCAGATGACGACGTCCATCCGCTGCCACGAGGTGGCGTTGCTGCGGGGCGCGTGCCAGATCTCGTGCTCTTCATTGAAGACCTTCACCTTCAGCTTGGGGGTGCCGTGGCCGGCCTCGTGGTTCCCGTAGTAAAAGGACAGGCGGGTGGGGTTGGGCACCTGTTGGTAGCCGTAATTTTCAAACAATTTCGAAACGATCTCAAAAACAAATTAATATAAGTAAAATAAATTCAAAGGTCAGTCGCTGTTGTTCTTCACCAACGATTGCAAGCTTTACGAATCACGAAGCCAAGTTCAATTTTGCCAAGAAAGCAATATGTAACTCTTCGAAGTGTGACTGCAACCCTACCTGCTGGTGGATGGTGTCGGCGATTAAACGGGCAGTGCCGGACAATTCCCAGACGTTGTCGGATTGGGTGGCCATGAAGTAGCTGCCGGCCACGCGGGTGCGTCGCCAGTTGAGGCCGATGGATTCTTCGTCGTGCCAGCCCCAGGTCCCGCTCTCGAACTGCAGGCTTTCGCGGGTGTGCGGTCCCACTGTACGCAACGTGTCAGTATGTTAAAGACCAAATTGCGTACTGCCAGACGATCAGGGCTACATTAAGCATGCACCACTGGGTGCTTAGAACTGTGCATTAATATTACCCAGTCGTCCCATATCCCTCCCGCTGCAATGGGAGGAGCAGAATATTGGAAAATCGCATACTACAATTAATGTATGCTGCTGACAGACAACAATAATATCGTAGAGAAGGGGAGTTACATTTAAGGATATCAGCAGTTGACGTGATCGATGATTACAAATTACGAAACTACATAAATATAAATATGTTCTGTATATGGAATAAACTTTTTCCCTTTCATTATTCTCCAGTTTTACGTTAATAAATTCCCGCCAACCTCTTCGGTAGCCGGAAGGTGGCATAATTTAACTGCGCTTGCACACTCTGTAATTTTTTACGACGAATATTACTCGGTCGTAACGAGCAAAATTATAATTCGTCTCAATTTGAAGCTAACGCTACAAACATATGGATTAGATAGTAAAAAAATCTACTTCCTTTGATCTTACTTCCTTTTGACTCAGATGAAACGAATCACTAAATCAGCAATTACAGTATTGAGTTCTGCATCCTGCAAGGAGGTTTCGTTGCGTTACGGTGCCACCTTTCTACAAAACCGTCTTAACCACAATATTTACTGCTGCGACTTCTGTTAATATGCTTTATTTTGTAATACTGGCTTATCGTTATTGCGCGTGGTGATGACCTCATCCAGTCCGACATGCGCGAAGGTGTTACTGGGGGTGACGCGGAACACCAGGGAGCGGGTGTCTTGGAAGCAGAGGTGCAGTGACCTGGCGCCAGCGTCGCTGGTAGTTGGCGGAGACGCTGTGCGTCACTTTCCAGACGCTGTTCTCCTCCGGCTGGTCGCTCCACCACTCGTCGGCGCTCTTGCTGTACACCTGGAAGGTGGCCGTGCCGTAGCCGAAGTAGTACCAGAAGGACAGTGTCGCCGAGCGGGTGTGGTTGTGGCTAGCGTCGCTGGCGGTGAACGCCGGGGTCTGCAGTTCGGCGAAGCGGCCCTCCGCGCTCAGGATGCCCTCGTTCTCCACGTAGACGAATCCATGACCTGTGATGAGGCGCATTACAGGCCAGGGTCAAATAACAAAAGAATAAGAAAAAATCAAAATTCAAAAAATATCTGTAGGCTGTATGACATGAAATGCTGAGCAAAAACAATTTTAAAAAATCCAGAATAATCAAAACAACAACAATATAAAAATTAACAATTATTAAACCACCAGTTAACGGGAAAATAATTAAATAATTACTGACATGGAGAGACCATAATCTGAATTTATTTCTCCTTAGAACTTTTTCAGTTCACCTGATGGTCTATGTTTTGTTTACAAAGGTTTTATTTGAGAACGCGCAAAAAGTAGTAATAAAAACATTTGCAACTCCGACTGTACCACTTTAAATTAGAAACCGGCAAATTTTCTTGGTTACTGACATCGTAATCTAGGTAATCGACGATCACATTAGACACTGCACTACGACACCAGTACTACAGTCTTTATGGTCCAATGGTAGAAAGTTCCAGGTTTCTGTTTTCGCGACGCTCTACATGCAGCAGTTTTTTGGGGCTATTTTCAAACAGAAAGACAATAAGAAATGGCAAGCCGGAATTAAAGAAAGGGAAAGTTTCGGTAACTGCAAAAATATGCTGCGGTATATTGTTTTTCTAAATTTCCACCAATCTCAAATTTGTATAATTATCTGAGCTGGCAAGGAACAACGATCATTGTGCAAAAGCCAATGGACCACGATAACCGTATTATGGCTTCGTAATTACTACTTTCGGTACCTCAACTTTCGTGGCACTCAGCGCATTTGGGACTATATCGAATAAAAGAAACAAAATCGGCAAGTAAAATTAATGATAGATCTAAAAACTTTCGTATCTGCAAAATACCACCGAGTTTTTGCTAATTATTTCTCGATTAACTTTTCTCTTACGTTATTATTTCAACTTATTTTTTTCCAAGTTAAGTGCTTCACAAGAAACCGGCTAATTATTAAAAAACAGAAAAAGGCAAAAACTGACCTTCTTCAACGGAAACGGAGTCAATGGCCACGGGGGTGCCGCACCGGCTGTGCTCGGCGACGAAGGTCACGTGGAAGCCGATGTCGGCCTCGAAATGCGCTTCGGCGTACCGCCAGCGCCCTGACTGGCCCTGGTCGACGTTCCAGATGACCACGGTGTTGAGGAGGGTGGTCAGGTACACCTGCAGGTACTTGTTGTCGCCGCGGATTTGTTGAAGTAGTATCAAAAGGTCACGCGGCCGTGGAAGGTCTTCCCGTCCTCCACCTGCACATTCGGGCCGTCCAGCTCACTGATCAGCTCCTGGGGTTCGTCGGGAACCGTGGGACGGACGGTGCAGTTGGTCACCGCGTAACCAGAAGCTGGATGACACAAAATACAACGTTACTAATTTTCTCAAATTATTAACTAACTGATTTTTCTACTTTTTAAATATCGCGTCACCGGGTTTCCAATTTTTCGCTTTATACATCTCTCATAGCTTTTTTCAAAAATTGTTTAGGCTTTATTCTGCGCTGTCTCAATTTCCACGTATTCTATCTAATTCGTCAAATATTTACCTTATTAATTTCTTAAATTATCAAGTGATAAAAAATTTTATGTTTTGTTTCTCCATCTTTGAAAATTTAACGTCACCGCGTTTTTAATTTTCAGTTAATAAATCTCCCATAGCTTTTTTAAAAAACGTTTTTAGTTCTTATTTTGTAGTTTTTTAATTTTCCTTATTTAATAATTCGTTAAATTTTGCCTTATTAATTTCATAAATTATTTATATACGTTGTGCATCTCGTTTACTCTGTTTACATTTGATTTTTTATTGTTTTATGATTAATACGGTGTAGTGTTTACATGGTTGGTCGTCGGGAATCCCGGCGCCGGTCTCCACGGGGCCGTTTCCCAAGACGAAGGGCAGGTAGAAACCCAATGACCCCAACCGTCGCAGATGCCCGCGTCGAAGGTGCAAGATGCGCCGGGCAACGGCGACCAGCTGTAGCAGTCACCGTGTGGCTCCGCGGTGACCAGCGGGAAGCGGGTGCTGACCTCGGTGATCACCGGCTCGGCCGTCGGCATGGGGCACACCGGATTGCCCGATGGTTCTGCAGACTTCGTCTACAGTCGGTTTCCTTTTTTTACCAGTGTTGTCATTTCCTGCATAATACCATCCGCAATAAATTCGGCTTTGTTTCAAACGGTAAGCACATATCTAAGATTCTGCATGTGGAACATAAGCCAAACAGCTGATGGGCTTCAAATGTCAGTAGCACTAGCTTTCTAAAGCGGACGGTGTTTCTGGTTTTTGGCTTATCTATCATAATAAGCTGTTGCCACTCGCATGTACGAGATCGTAGTAAGATAATCGTAGCACTCGTAGTAAGATAATCGTAGCACATGGATTTTGAATTCTCACACCACGCGCCTAACAAATGCACTGTAAAATTACGGTAATCGCTTTTGTGTTCAAAACATCTTTTTTATCGACACCAGTTGATTAAAAATTATTTAATTAGTCTCGTTCATTTAATTAATAATTAGTTAGCTCATATATCATCGCACCTTGGTAAAGCTTTCCGACAATATCATCTAACCCCATACTGGTCAGCAAGTCGGAGTGTTCCGCGCGGAACACCAAATGCTCCGGTCCGTTCAAGCAGAAATACGCCTCCTGCTGAATCCACCGATTGGTATCCGTGGCCGGATCCGCGAAGGCGATCTCATCGTGCTCCAGCACCGAGGAGATGGCGTGCACCGAGAAGCGGTAGTGACTGATTGCGTTGGCGTGATTGACCCAAAAGGTCACCTTCCCGTAGGTCAATTCATCCGTCAGCGCGTTGATCTCCTCCGACGTGCGCAGTTTGGCGGCGTACTCTTGCGCTGCCAGCGCCCTCCGATTCCGGATGCGTCCGCCAGCCGCACAAGTCCGTGGCGAAGGAGCAGGTCAAAATGGCGTCAGGGACGGCCGGCTGCGGGGTGGGTGTGCTACGTTGGATGGTGGTGCGCGCGGTCGTCGTTAAGAAAATGGGGCTGTTGTCGTAGACCACCTCGCCCTCCGGTGCGAATGTGATTTCGTCCAGTCCGAAACGGCGGATGCTCATCACACCGGCTCCGATCACAATCTCCAAAAGAAACCCAGTGACGGAAGAAGAAAACAGTAAAAATCCTCAATCACGGAAGACGGATCGAAGGAATTTAGTAATTCGGGAGAACCAAGCCACTCTACACTGAACTATCTATTTAAATTATTTACAGCCACCGTTCTACGCTATCCCTGGAATTTCAGACCATTCGCAAACGAGAGTATCTAGCACGAAAACGACCCTCTACCCTCCGACTTCGCTCCGGCCCTGGATCTATCAAATTTTGTTAAAGATAGACAAATCGAATTGCATTTGTAAAAATTATGAATTCCTCCGTAAAATTATTCCATACTACATTTTCACGTGTGCATAAAACCATAATAAAAGTGCAGGTTTTTTTTGCACCAAACTGCAGGCGATAAATCATTCTGGCATACGAGAACCTTTAAGACAACACTACTGACTAAATTCAGAATTAGTAATTTAATAAAAAGGCTTGACGAACAAATTTTGCGCATGTGTAAAATGAAATCTATATTACAATAATTTACGGTAGAACTTACTTCCTTCATTTAACTCATTAGATCATACCCGGTTAAATGGTTAATTAATTATAAATCGTAGCTTTTATCGGATTCAACGTACGCTGAATTTTCGGTTGAATTTTCAGTTTAGCACGCTGTGCTGAGCCCACTTGTTGAGGGTAGCCGAGTCCAAAACACGTCGAGAAATCGTCACTTGTTCGCCGTCAGCGAAATTCAGGTTAACACAGATTCCATCGCCGGCCGCCGGCGTGGCGTACACGTAGAAGCGCAGAACCGTCCGTGCACGGAGTGTGATTGAACTGGATACCAGACGCGCGCGATCGGCCGTGGTCAAACTCGGTGCCTTGCGCGAACAAGAACCACCCTGCAAAAATTGGTTAGTCCAGCAGTGACATTCAACGATTCTCAGTGATTCTGCGTTTACCATCGGTATCGGGCGGTGCGTTGATGTTCTGTGGCGAGGCAGGGACGGTGTTGACACGCTGCCATTGGAAGGTGTCCGTGGTCTCGGTGGTCCATCCGCACAGATTCTCCGCGAAGGAGCACGTCAGGGGATTGCGTGGGGCAGACGTGGTGGTGGGCAAGGTGGGTGCTCTGGGTTGTGGTGACAGCGGTGGTCGGTAGGGTGTTGGGCGCTCCTATACAAGAACGCGCTCAAATGCTGCGAATAACGATAGATGCTATGCTCTGCAATGCCAATCTGCTAACATGGGAATTTAAGTAAACTGGCACATCCTCTGATTTAAACTGACCATACGATACACAATGTGCTGGGCTGCTTCCTCGGATCATATACCACCCAGTGTACATTTACGGCAGAAAGGAGCAAACCAAAAAAAGCGTAACCGATAAATTGTGGAAGAAAACACTAGAAGGTCCTATTAGAATCTCAATGCGAGATGAATACCATGAGTCCATGCCAAATGCAGTGTGCACTCACTGCACTGTGATGAGCAGCGACTCAGCGAGAGAATTTTTTGTTAGGATTTTGAAGGTAACTGCCGCATCGCCGTAACCGACACATACACATAAGTACTCGTACGCACGTACAGTATGTTGACTTTTTAATGCGTACTTACTTGCAAACTTTTGTCCTTTTAATTGATTGCTAATCGCAGCGCAGTTAATTGATCAGCTGCCAGAAATCGTTCAGTTTTATTCTTTTATTCTAAACATTTCCATCTCCTAGAAAGTTTATTAGGAAATTATAAAGTCTGAGTGTTCAGTGGTTGTCTCGCTTCAGCTCTTACTAGCTGCATATTAAGCAATCGTTTTCCACAGAGATCCAAAGTATTATTATTACTAGTATAACAGCACTATTCTACTCGTACAGACTGTACAGAAGGTATACTAACCGTTTTCGTCACCAGTCCAAACGATTTCGTTGACGGCGATTTGATCCTGCGATTCCTTACTGGCGACGTATTCAAACCAGATCCAAATACAATCATGTTTCGTTATATAAAAGTAGATAACTTTTATTCGGCCTCGGCCAGCATACATAACAATTCGCCTGCGCAGATTTACACTAATTAAAAGAATCAAATTTTTAAGCATTGAAAAAACATCCAAAATCGTTACTATCACGCATGATCTTAGGACGTGCGTTAAGTGTACCCAAAACAGCCGCTGCATTACCACGGACTACCGCTAAAATTAGATCCCCACCAATTCGTTACATATAAAAGTGGATTCGCCGTAATACATAAATACACGGACGGTGCATATGCCACTCGACCATGACTTTACCTCATTGAAACAGCTACTGCGCCTGGTGCCACGTGTCGAATTCGCCGTTAAAAGAGCTCCCAGTGATTGTCAAAACCTTGACTTCCCGCCACGAATTGCAACATTCTCCCCACCAAGGAACCAGTTTCCGATTCGAAGTTATACCATAAACTGATCTGCGTGGTAGCGGTGTATTCGAATGCCAGACGGGAAATGTATCGCAGGGTGGGTGAGTTGCCGACTCGCGTTAGCAGGTGGTTGCTCATCTGTAAACGCACTAATCTTGACCTTTTGTTACACTGAATCAGAATGGTGTGCACGCGTACCGGTCGATGCATCGGTAGCGCCGACGTGGATGACGTTGTCCGCAAGGTAACTGTCGCTGTTGCGTCCGGCCGAGTGGACATCGCCGCTTCCGCTCTAGAGGAAGCCGAGCCGGCCGATGCCCCGGCTGCTGAAGCAGCACCGGAAGCTGCTCCCGCTGAAGCTGCTGCTCAGCAGATCATGGTGTCGTGACCTTTTCACCGTTTGCTCACCAATGACCTCTGATCTGGTATCCTACACTGCTCAGATTTTGTAAAAATGGACTGAAACTTTTGAGCACTGAATGTGATCGCTGTACGAAGGATGCTTTGGGCTGGATGGAAAATCAAGGAATAAATTAACCGACCAATTACGGGTTCTAAATGGTTGCAGCCTTGCAGGCTGCAACCGGCACGTTTGAGTTCGTTGGTAATTCAAAACTGCAAAAGGAGTTGCACCACCTAATAACTGGAAAACAATTTCAAATCTGGAAGTGGACATAACACGACTGACTGTGTAAAATGTAATTAGTGGCTTCTACTAGTAGATACACACAGTACATACAAATGATACAATGTAATTATTTGATAGATGATTAATATCGTTTTTTTCGGCAACAGAGTTCAGCGAGCAGCAACGGGCCGAAATTAATGGCCGGCGCAGGCAGAAATTAATTAAAATTATTCGCAGATTAAGTAGTTAACACTTAACACATATTGCTTGTTACAATTATAAGGTATACTGGGTGACTGATTCGTGCAATGACTAATAATAACTACATACTAAGCAAGTATATGTGGTGAAGGCTCCTCATACCACCTTTCGCCACCTTTGGCTCCTAATACTTTTGCTTTTTACAGCTGTATATCGAATAAAGTTCGTAAGGAGAGCATAATTATGCATTTCGATCTATTTAACCTTCGATAAATTTTTCCACTTAAACGCAATAATTCATCGCCTGAAATAAGGCCGCCTCTGTCGATTGATGCCCAATGAGTGATACAAAGTTTGTAGTTTCCGAAGCTATTGTTAAAAGTACTGTACGAGTACTCGTTTTGTTAGCAATATTTCGTTGAACTGTAATAATAAGTTTGTTTTTGAAAAAAATTCTGAAATTCCCAGGAAACTCCATCGTATCGTGTGCCGGCATGGATTCGACATTCACGTACGACCGGAAGTTATATTCTGCCATTTGTTCTTTTAGGTTACTGTGACTGCCACCGCACTCTACCATAATCGACCTTTAATAGTTTTTCACAGATTTTGTAATAAATTACCGACTAGAAAAATCCAGAAATTCGGGGGACAAATATAAAAAATTAAAAGAAAACTGTCCATTCATCACAGTATACAAATTCCAGAAACACATCCGCTTAAGAGTATCAACAGCCTCTACAGCGTCTCCTCGTCGAAGCCCTTGGTGCGGAAGGCGGCCACCGTCGGCTGCGAGGGCGGCGGCGTGCTCTGGCCGCTGGCGGGCGGCGGTGTTGGGGGTTTGCTGCTGTAGGCCGGCGGTTTGGACATGGTGGAGGTGCGCGTGGACATCTCGGTGAGCGGCGTCTCGGTGACGACGTGCTCCTCGTAGCTGCGGCCCTTGCGCTCGCGGCGCTTGCTGCGCAAGTGCAGCAGCGCGATGACCACGCCCAGCAGGACAAGAGCACCGGCCACCGAGCCCACGCTGATCAGCACGATGTCCTGTGTGCTGTAGGCCTGGGGTGCGCTCGTCGGTCGCACGACGATGGGCGGGGTGGTGGCGTTCGTCGTCGGTACTACACGAAAAAAATCGATTACTGAATACTGATCGCAAAATAAAATTTATTAAAATTCAAACCGAAAATTAATTTCATTAAAAATCAAAATCAAATTATTATTAAATTTGTTTGGACTGCAAAATACACAAAAAAGAGAATAAATAATACAGTTGAAAAAACAAGGAAACAAATCTGGACCGACAACATGGGAACAAAGAGGGTAAGCAAAAATAATAACTGCAAAACCGAAACTGACCAAAGTTTAAAAATCCGGAAAGGTGTTAGCCAAAAATTCGAGTAAATCAATGCAATAGCAGCCGCAAGAAACAAAACGAAAATAACTAATAAAAGCTTTTGAAACAAATAATTAACCGAAAATACGAGTACACCAAGAAAAATAATTACAATCGAAATTCATGGAGAGGGAAAAATTAAGAAAACAAACAGCGGTTAACTGCGCCAAACGATTTTACCATTACTCGAGCATATTCAGACGAAAAAACAAACTATTTTTTGGTGACAATCAATAAACGATTGCATACCGGTTGTGGGAGTCGGCGGCTGTGACGTCACTGATGTTACCGTCGATCCGGAAGTTGCCGTCGGCCCGGATGTTATCGTCGACCCACTGGTGACCGTCGAGCCGGTGGTGACGGGAGGGACGGTGGTGGTCAAATTTTCCAGTTCCGCCACGAAGCCTGCACAGAACCATAACGTTTAGTGCTGTTCCCCGTTTAATCAGCACGTTGCTTACCTTCTTCAGCCGAGTACCACGTGTCCGTCAGCGCGAACAACGCCGGTACGAGTCCCGGCTCCTGACGGTTCTGCACCTCCAGGACACTGACGCGGAACGTCTGCAATGCACAGCACAACCGTCAACTGCCGTCTGCCGGCAAAACCCTTAATCTGTTAAAAACATTCACCGCTACCTCTAATCAAAAATATGCATTTCGGTAACCAGCTCTATAGCTGGACAAGCAAACGCCAATTAAAACAGATTAAAGTTGTGGTGAAGACACTATTTAACTTTTTAAATATATAAGGAATGTAGTTACATTAAAAACTTACTTTCGAAGCATCAACAATTAAATCAATCCCCACCAATCGCTTAGTAAATACGTTATTATGGACAGTTATTCTGCTTATTATTTTCTAATCTTAATAACAATTTTCTTATAATAAGTTTGGTTTTAAACGGTGATAAATTTCGCTGCTCATTTCGCTTTGTAAGCAACCTCACTGTAACCTTTATTAATCTGTTAAATATTGATAATAATTAAAGTAACTGATGTTGTGTCTCAAACAACCTTAACAAAAAAAATGCGAACGTACAATTCGGCTGGGCTGGTCGCTGGCGGGCAGCTCCACCACGGCGGAAGTCCAGCGTTCGAGGCTCTCCGTGGGCGCCAAGGGATAAGGCAGACTGTTGTTCCCGCCCACCAGGAGGTCCACCTGCAGGCGGGCGCGGGTGACCAGCATGTACTTGAAGGCAAAACTGGTCGGTTCCGGATGCGGCGGGATCTCCCCGCTGACGATCTGCACGGGGCCGGCGGACAGCGCGTCGCCCAGGACGACCAGCGCGGTCTCGTGCGTGCCGGGCAGAACCTGGGTGGTGACGCCGGGCGGGGCCTGCCAGCCGCAGAAGGGCGCGCCGGGGGCGATGTCTTCGCAGGTCAGGGAATTAGGTCGATTGATCGGGCCGCAGTCCAGGGTGCTGTTCAGAGGGGTAAGGGAGGTGGCCTGGGATTCGCGGTTGATGATGATCTCGTCCACAGCGAATTCCGACGCGGAACCGGCTCTGCAGAATATTCATATTAATTTTTCTTGATAATTATACCTTTAACAGGCAAAAGCATGAAAATTACAGGAAGTGTAACGCGCACACACTTAAACCCAGTTTAAAATTAAAGTTAAAATTTAAGAAAATAAATACTTAAAAAAAGCTTTTATATTTTATGGTAACCTTGTCCGAGCGAATGCCGACGCGAAACGGTCTCTGCAGCAATTTCAAGATGAATAAAAAAAGCACAATTTCAAAAAAAATTTCCATTTTTTTACGCACATTTCTTATATTTTATTGAATTACATTCTATTTATATTTTCTTGTCAAAGAAATAAACAATTCAAATTTGAAAATCCGTTAAATTTATATTGTTTTCTTGAAACAACGTTGGCCGAAAATTTCTTTCTAAAATGTTACTACTATATTAAATTCTATTAGCACTCAGACGGACGGACGCGAACATACAGTCTGTATGTGGCTGTTGTGTACGATGGTCGTCGTCAAAGCGCAGAATACTGAATATGAATACCGTTTACCGGTATCAAATTATCGTAGTATAAGGGATTCAGCCATAGTAACCAGGCTGACCAAGTTGCTGACAGCTGACAATTTGCTTAGCACATAAAATCAAACGCACTACACTTTGTTTTTACTTATGCATACAGAAGAGGTAGAATGATTAATTATTCAAAGATCAAACACTGCGTGAAGCGTACATACCGAGCGAAATTGATTACTATTATCAATTTTCAAAAATCTTCATCTGTTTATTATTATGATTTTTTTAAATATTTTCCTTAATATTTTATGCACAAAAGTTCACAATTTTTATTATTTATAATTCTACTTACCCAGCGGTGACGCTGAACTCCAGCTGTACCAACGGCGAGAATCCCGGTACGCAAAGGGTCACTCGCCCGGGTATCCAGCGTCCGAACGCCATCCCGCCCAGAGCGGCACTTCCGTGCAGTTCAAACAACACATCCGTCGAAGTAATCTGTCCATTGACGACATAATGCGCCTTCACCGTGAACACCTCCACATCCGCATGGGCGAAGTAGAAGAAGAACACCTGCATGCGTTCCCGCACGTAGAACCCACGCGACAACAGACTGGCGTGACGTTGCTGACTGTTCGGTTGGAACAGCGCCATGCCACCGCCCACGGAGGTCGTTATGTCCTCACTGGCGTCGGCAATTTTAAAGCCTTGATAACCGTAACCGCAGAAATGGGAATTGAAGGAACAGCTCAACGTCCCGGTGGGCAGGGGCGGCACCGGGGTGGTGACTGTCGGTCGTGTGGGGCGGCTGGTCGGCGGGGTCACCGGCGCCACGCTGGGACAGTTGTCGCCCAGAGTGACCACTTCCGCTTCGTTGAACAAACGGATCTGGTCGATGGCGACGGTGGAGTCGGCGTCGGAGAAGGCCGCTTCCAGGATGAAGACGACGTTGGAGGAGGCGGGGACGGGGAGGGTGGGGTGCAGCCAGGTGTTGGATTGATCGTTGTTGCTGCTCCAGAGGACGGTCTCGTTGTTCGTGGCGTTGGAGAGGGATTTCAGTTGGACGTACTGGATGGAGGGGCCGTACAGGTGGACGAAGAACTCCAGGGAGGTGTCAGCGGAGACGGCCAGGCAGGGGGTGTACAGACGGGCTATACTCAAGTCCTGGTTGGGGATGCCGGTGGATTGGGCGTGGAACCGGCCGGATTTGCCGTTGTTCGGGTGGTCATGGTAATCAATACGGCTCGTCGAGCGGACCCATCTGCACAAAAATCCAGAAAAATGCGCATTTATTACATTAATCAACACCATTTAGAGTGCACACATAGTATGACGGCCATTTAAAAATTAAATGCCCACAGCAGAATTCCATGCATTCGTTCAGGCATTAAATTGATTAATAAATAAATTTAATTAATTTGTAAAAATTTGGGAAATATTTGCACATAAACTGTCCATCTCCCCACAAAATTCGGAAGCTACAACAAATTTTACCTGTTGTTGTAGGGAGCGGCCCGGATGTCACTGAGCCATCCGCAGAAGCCGTCCTCGAAATGACAGCTGACCACGGGGCACAACCCGGGCACGGAGGCCGCCAGATTGTTCTCCCCGCGGTACCTGACGTCATCCACGGCAACCACGCTGTCCGGCATGGTGAAGGCCACCTCCATGATCAACTGCGCACCGACCTTCCCGCACACCGTCAACACGGCCTCCTTCCAGCCGGGAGCACTTCCGCCGCTGCGTTCCCACACAATCTCGTCCACCTCGTTCTGGCGGACGATCAGCCGGAAGTAGCGCAACTGGTAGGCCGCGATGTTGTACCAAAAGGTCACCTGCGTGTTGTGCGGCATGGCCGAGGTGATCGGGCGGCTCATGATGCGCGCCACGTTGTTGCTGCCGTTGATAGAGTTGGAGGATTGGGAAGCGAGATAGTTGGAGCCGTATTTGGCGCCGAGGATGACGGCCGGTGGGGTGCCGATGGTGTCATTGACGATCTCGAAGTAGTTGCGGTAGTACAGGGCGTTCATCCAGCCGCAGTTGCCCGCTTCGAAATCACAAGTGATGGTGGTCTGTGGGGCGCCGGGGCAGGTGTAGGTGTCGGGAGGTACTTGGCCGGATAAACTCGCTTCGTTGTCTAACACGAAACCGTCCAGGCCAACGGCGCTGTCGGCAGCCGCGAAGTTCGCCAAGAAGAACAGCTGCAAGGCGGAATATTGCTAGTTGCTCTGCCATTATTATTATTAATCGATTTAAGATTACTGAAGCTGCACAATAACCGGTATGTGTTACAAGAACCATATTACGGGGTAGTTATTCATCAGTTTTATGGGGCTCATCAGGTTTGTATTACATTCTTATATATTGTTCAGTTTAAGCGCTATATAATTGTAGGAATTATGTGCAATTACTATACAATTAGGGATTTTTCACGGATAATTTGATCATTACTGTTATCATGAAGATAAACTAGTTCTACTCGTACAGTAATTACGGATTTGCAAAAGACTGTCGTCCACGAATATAACGTAGACAAGTGGCACGATGTTGTAGTTCAAACATGCAGGCAAAATCAATACGATCGAACTGCTTTCACATTGCACCTTAAAATTATGTCTGAAAACTATTTTTGTAAAAATGAAGTCTTAATATTCTGACCGCCTAACTGATCCGTTGATAACGATAGTTTGTGCAATCACCTCATCTTCAAACGCCGAAGAGCACACGTTGTACTCTGTAGTGCCACTGATTTTATTTGCGAGGAATTCGGGAAAATTACCGAGGTAGCCTGACTGATTCAGTGAGCGTTTATTGAGCAGCCAAGCCGAGTACAACAATTTTTTTATTGGGCAATGTTGTCATTTGTTTTACGTTGCAACCAAACGTGAACGCGGAACCCGTTTCTTGTGATAATATATTACTACTTAGTACTACTCTTAAGGAATAATTATGGATGGAGACTTACGGTGAAGGGGTTTTCATCGCACACGGTCACTTCCGCCATGCGCCAGCCAGTCAGACCGGTCTCCTCCGCCGTCCACAACACCTGTTCGTAGGTGCCATCGTAGCCCTTGTGGCCCTTGATCAGGCTCAATTGACGAACGGGCCCGTGCAAGAAGTAATAGAAAGTAAATTGAGTGGCGGCGCGCAGTTTGATCGTGTCGTATATACGCAACACCGGCGTGGCCGGCTCACTGTCCGCCGATTCTGCCTTGACATACCTATGCAATACACCGTGTTCAATTATCTTTATAAATTTTCTTGAAATAATCTACATAAAAAATACTTCATAAAAATCGGCAAAAAAATTATTATATAATAATAATTCTCAACAATAGTAAATAACCAAACGTCTCAAAAACTATGCTTATTAATTCATGATATAATTCGTGATAAAATGTTCCACAATGCTTTTTTGATCAGTGTAATACAAATCTAAAATAAAGGGTTAAAATGGATAGCAACGAATAGAAACACTGGAAAAAAATAAAAAACATTAAAATATTAAAAAATATATAAAAACGTTAAAATATAAAAAAAACACAATTCTTACAAAAATAAATAAAATATAAAAAAAATTAACAATGAAGTGCCTTACCATGTTCCGAGCGCGGCATTCTGTCCGGCATCTTCGCGATAGCGATGGAAGCTGGTCTCTCTCCATCCACAGAAGCCGTCCTCGAAGCCGCACGTCACCAACGGCGAGCGACAGTAGCCGTCGATCTCGCCCGGCTGCACCGGCGCGGTCTCGCCGACCAGCACGAAATCGTCGACGCTGACGTCCAGCGCCGTGGTCTCCAGCACCAGCTGGTAGCCCGGCTCGAAGCACAGGTACACCGTCGCCGTCTGCCACTGTAAAGTGGGCGTGGCGCGCCAAATTTCGTACTCTTCCTCGAAAATCTTCACGTTCAGTTTCAGGTAACCGCCGTGCACATCGCGCGGGAAGCGGTAGCGGAAGGTCAGCTTGGTGGGATTGGGCGGGAATTGGTTGACGTGCATGCTGATTAGGCGCGTCGCCGGGGCGGCTGCTGAGGCGTTGGTGGGGATGGTCGCCAAGAAGAAGTTGGAGGCATCTACAAAAAAATCCGTAAGTAATTGTTAAATCATATATTTATTCTGTAAATAATTGTATATTTTGTTTGTGAATTTAAGGCGATGGACTAGTTTGTAAAATACCAATCTTTATAGCTACTTCGAAAATTGTTTGTGCACCTTGGTTTGAGCTGTTTTCGGAGTGTATGGGTTCATTAGAAAGCTCATAAATCGCGCTTTTTAATAGACATAGTTTCAAAATCAACACTAACAGCATAAACGCGATAGAAATTTTTCTGTTGTGTGAGCATTAAAAAAATCTAAGCCAAGCACCAGATGGAACATCTTCAGGTCTGATGTTTTCAAATGGAACTTAAAATTATTTCACACACTGGGTTTATTCAGAAAAAATCTTGAATAAAAAGCTAGGAAGATACAAGTTTTTGAACATGGAACTAATTCTTCTTACGGAGAAAATCACTGAGCGTTGGAGTTCGAATGACTATATCGCAAAACCAAGAAAACCCAGTGTGTAGAATAATTTTTTCTTTCCAATGGTACCAAGGACGACCAATTCCATTGCGGCAGTGGAATGCAATACGCGTAAACTCTCCGAACTTTACTTCCAGTAAATCAAGGTTTTCGGGTTTTGCAAATGGTCCGCTGCATCGGTGGACCAGTTTGAGCAGATAACCACGCTACCTGCAGGCTGCGCATGGCGTTCATGAAATCGCCGCCTGCGCACGGCTGCAGCGGTACGCAGACACGCAGCCCGCGTGCGGTTGGGTATGCTTCGATTGAAACTGTGATGGCAGCTACGTGAATCGAACCGTGCTGCTGCACCCCTCCGTCGTTTTGGACCCGCGGTACCTTTTGGTTTTAGACGGATTTGGGTTTCTGTTCTGTTCTTTGCTTCTCAAAAGACTTCTCATTTTAAAAAGCATTTTTTTCTGTTCTAGAAAATGTAGTTACTGTAACTTCTCTGGGGATGAAGCAAAACCAGTCTATCGCCTTAATTATGTATTTATTCATATATACTAATTTATTTTCTTACCGATTTATGCATTTATTTATGTAGTTCTTTTATGTCTCTATTAAGATTTTATTTATGTTTATTCTTATATATTCCACGTAGATTTGATTCTGTATTTGATTATGAATTAAAGGGAAACTGAATGTTGCGTACTGTTGATCCAATTCCATGTGATGCCGCTGCCGGACTGGATGTCCCATCCGCAGATGTAGTTGGTCGGCTCGTCGGTCTGGAAGTCACATGTCACCGTGTGGTCGAACTTCTGCGGTGGACACTGCTGCTCGGGGCCTAATAAATCTATAAAATAACTGCATTATAATACAAATATATTCAAAGTCAATAAAGGTATTATTTAGCGCACAATAATGAAACTGATTCGAAATCTTCTAGTAATATCTAATTCTGCCTCCACAACATTGTGAAACTGCTGTACAACTGGTTAAGTGCTTTGGCACCAATTTACGACAGATTGGTAGAATAGAGGCACAAGTTGGATACATCCATTGGCGTCGGCCGCATTGCTAGCATGACAGATTGTTTGAACATTGACAGAAATTGTATAGAAACTTCGCCCATTCCCTGTCTAGCAGAACTCCCGTTTAATTTTTATTTAAAAATTTGTTTTAATTTAAATTTGTCTCCATCAGTCTCATTTAAGTATACTAAACTATGGCACAAATTAATTAAATTACCGGGGCGTGCCGTGGTGACCACCTCATCCAGCGCAGCGATCGTGAAGTGTCGCTCGGACGGTGTTAAACGGAAGACCACCGTCATGAGCTGTGCCGTATCGAAGCAGCCCTGGACGCTGGCGTGGCGCCAGTAGCGGTGCACCGCATCGTTGTCGGTGGTGTGCGTCACCGTCCAGAGGGTGCCCTCCTTCGCCGGGTCCTCGAAATGTTCGCCCTGCGGTTTACTGATCACCTCCAGGGTGGCGGTGCCCTGGCCGAACAGGTACCAGAAGTCCATGACGAAGGCGTGGCTGCCGTTGCGGTTGGCGCGGAACACCGGCGTCTCCAGTTCGGCGTAGCGGTCGTGCTGATTGTGGATGGTTTCCTCCACGAAGGCGAATCCCTCTCCTATTCACAGTAACGGAAATAAATGAAACAGAACATATTATTCACATACACCAGAGCGATAACATATATATCTTTATATTAAATATGTATTAATTATTTAATAATTAATATTTAGCAATCAGATATGTATTATTATTAGCAATTTATTAAATGTATTAAATAGCGCGTACCACGGAACGGCTGAACACCGGCGTGCGAATGATTGGCGGTCTGCCAGTGTAATAATCCCAACGAGCTCCATCCCGCGCACAATCCATCATCGAACGAACAGGAATATTCCTGCAACGGGGGCCGTGTCACCGGCGGCCGAGTGGACACCGTCGGGGTGACCGTGGAGGTTGGTGGGCGGGTCGTGGGGAACGTCTGTGTGGGGCGGAATGTGCTTCCTACATAATCCCCATAAATAAATTAAAATATACAAAAAAGGAATAATCAGGTGCGACGTACCGGTCTCGCTTTCCAGGCTGATCTCGTCGATGCCGGTCCAGCTGTCGAGGCGGGTGAAGTGGGTCTCCAGGATCAGCTGACAACGGCTGGCGTCGGCGCCGTCCGCCTGTCGGATGCTGATGACCGCGCGTTGCCATTGGCCGATGTCGCCGTGGCCGGTGTGCCAGACGGAGGTGACAGGGAAGGCGTCGCTGACGGCCAAGTAAGCGCTGATACCTTGCACGAATCGTCCGCTGGTTCGATAGTAAAACTAAAGCAGAATGTGACTTCTCACGTAGCTGTCATGGCTGAACATTTACAGATAGAGCCCGGAAATAAAACACTACGCAAATTCAGTTAAATTAAATTATTTACCTAAATGTGGTGCCCTGTTATTTTAACCGGCCTTGCGGAAATCTCATACATAAATTTGCGATTTTAGTATATTTTTTAAATGTACAGCCATTTCCGCAAATTTAAACTTTTATTCAGTTTGTTTTTTATTTATTTCAAATGTCATGGTTGAAAGCTCGTAGACACTGTATACATATTCACGGTTTTATTGAATTTTTAAATTTAGTCTAAAGGTCATTCCCAACCACTACCGGGATCTATTGCATACCTCAATGTTAAATGGCTGACTGCAGTCGGAATCCAGATTGGCACTCATCAGGCGCGCCACGCGGCTGGTGGATGTGGGCTGCGCTGCGGCAAAGTAGCGTCCGCGGTAAGCTTCCGGGATCTCGGCGATACCGCTGCCGACGCTCTCCACCACGCGCCACTTGGAATTGTTCGCGCTGTCGTCCAGATTGCGCCAAGAGCACAGCGTGTTGTTCTCGAAATCACAGCTGATCGGTCCATTCCAGGCTGGTGCTAAATTGAACAGACAGACAGCGGTTAAAAAAAGCGGTCTCGTCGGTTAATTATCTTCACTTTGTGTTATTTTGTAAGTCATTTTAAGTCTGGCATTATCATAACGCGCGACATACTGGCACCGCTGAGGCTGTACAGTCGAGCCACTACTCTACGATATAACTATTGATCACTAGTATTAAATTGACAGCAAATTGTAAATACTGTACAAATATTTCAAAGTGCTCTACAGTAAAACGAACTGCAGAATGTTATCGCGAAAAAAAAGCAGTATGCCGGTAGAAGGATGACGGATGAAACATCAAGGACATCTCGCAAATAAAGTGAAAAATTCCAAGAACTTACGCAGGACAACCGGGAGCGTCGTGGGCACGGTAGGAAGCGTGACCGGTCCCGCGGTGGTAATCGACACTGGCGGTCGCGGGGTGGTCAACTCCAGACAATCCACCGCCGGTCCAATCTCCGCCAGGTGGAACGCATCCAAACCAATCACGAAATCGCGTGCGGCAAAGATACCCTCGAATTCCAGCTACACCAAACACCATTTTCTACACCACCACCCCACAAAAAATCAATTTTGTTCACCCACCTTGAAGGGTTCATTCAGACACAGTCGCACGTAAGCCGGTATCCATTGGCGAGCGGCGTTGCTAGTGTGCCACAGCGGATAGCGGATGCCGTCCTCGTGAACGGCGTACAAATAAACGGAGGCGATGCCGGTGCCGAAAGCGCGGTAGTAGAAGAAGAAATCGGCTGTCTGACTGGGCAGGGTGATGCTGGTGCGGATGCCGGCGGGGTAGTTGAGCGAGGGCAGGTCGTTGCTGTCTAAATAGAGAAAACCGCTGCCATGCGCGCTGCCGTTGATACCGTAGGCGGGGCTGCCCACGTGACCGCTGCCCAGACGCCAGAAACCGGGATCGGTCGTGTTCTCCCACTCGCAGGTGTCTCCGTCGTCGAAGGTGCAGGAAACGTCCAGACATTCGGTGGGGACGTCTGTTCAAACGTGATAGAAATTATAAACAGAAATTCTGAGCTAGCACTATGATTATTCTAATTGAACATTTTTTATTAAATTATTCTGAGTTCTGTTTCCGTTTTTTGGTTAGTATCTGCATTAAATTTAAAATTTCTTATCAAGTTATTTTATCTAATAATTTAAATCAGTTATAATAAACTAACAAATTTTAGTATAAGTAATTATAGCTTTCTGCTCATGTAAAATGGTAGAAATTAAAATGATAAAGGAACGGTTGCAACTTGTAAATAAACCAAGTAAAATCAAGATAACTAAACATAATTAAAAAGAATAAATACAGCCCATTTTTCACTAAGCGTTATCTTATCAATTTAGAAAGTAGGAAGCGGAACAAATTTACCAGGATTACACACACTAAATAAATATAATAACTACTCGTGAATGCAACTAAATAGGATAAGAAAATTTTAAATAAGTAAAAGTGCAATATTTTTTGTACTTACTTCTTTCGATAACGATTTCGTCGACAATCATGAAGACTTCGCAGCGTGTCTGCGTGGTGAAGACCACGGCGTAGTGGACGCCCTTGGGGATGATGGCGGTCTGGTGGACGTAATTCCAGCGGCCGGGAATGACCTGGATGAAGAGCGGGATCTCGATGGCCGCCTCCACGTTGTGCACGGCGGCGTCCATGACGATCACTCCCAGATTATTCGTTGCCGGGAACTGGCCGTGACTGTAGTACCAGAAGGAGATGCGGCCCTGAGTACGGTCAGCGTCAAAGGTCACGTTCGGCGAGCGGACGGCCGAGACGTGGCCTGGTCCGCCCATATCAGCCGGGTCCGTGTCGAAGAAGCAGTGATTGACCAGGAAGCTGTCGCCTGCGGAGCAATCGAGAGATATTTCTTCGTTTACGTATTTCCTTTCGATACGCAAAGATCACAGCAGAGCAGAATATGCTTGCCCATAAGCAGTTCTGTGAAATTGTTAAATATTGTCGGTCTTCTAATAACGTTAAGTCGCTAGCCACCACAATAGAACAACACTGAAACATCTCCTGAAGAAAGATCACTATAATCTATAATAATATCGTAGAGAAGTGGCACGATGAAACCAGGGAGGTTGACTTGCGCTAAAGCATAATATGCTTTCAAACAGGAAATCCTACGGTAAAATTCTTTTTGCCAATTTTTACTTTAGCGCGATATAAAATTGCTTTGGGCTCATCCCTGCATAAAAGCCTTAACGAAACTTTTAAAAATCTGTAAATAAAATCCGGACTTTAAACACGTAACATCAAAATTCAACATAAATTCCTGTGCTTACCGGTCTCATTATGAGTCGGCGCCGGTACACTGCTGTAATTGGCTACAACAAAGCCTTCCGCCGACGTCTCCTGTCCGTTGTCCGTCAACGTCAATCCCAGCTCCCATCCTTCACACAATCCGTCCTCGAAATCACATTCCGCGGCCACTTCCCATTTGGAGCAGACGTCCGGACAGTGGTCTGCATACACCACAAAGATGTTTATTTATTTCAAAACCATTCTGTTTTATATTTTATGTATTTTCTTTTAAAAAAATATTTCATTCTGTTTTCTACTATCTACTCACTATTTTCGTACATATATTCTATTTGATTTTTTGTATTACATACATGCCAAAAATATTGGTTTTTACTGTCTGTTTTTGGAAAATCTTTTCAGCTATGCAGTGCTTCGTAGTTCGTACTTATTGAAAACATGTTCTGTTGTCTGTATGAATATTAATATTTTTGTAGGAATATTTTCCCACGGTATTCTACATTCCCAGCGATGACTATTTTCCATTCTATAGTGTTTTTGAGAAGATTCTTACCGACAGTGTCCTTGATCGTCAGGACCTCGTCCAACGCTAGATAGGTGAAATCATCGCCAAGGAAAACCCGGAAGACGACCCCCTGTTGACCGGTGCTGCAGAAAGTGACGGTGACCGGAATCCATTCCTCGAGGACGAGGGGGTTGACGGAGAAGACAGAACTCTCGGCGTTGAGGTAGCCGGCGGCGGTTTCACGCAGCAACACCTCCAGGGTGGCGGCGCCAGGTCCGGCTCGGTACCAGAAGGTCATCTTGCTGCTGGTCTGCGCGGAGAAGTCGCGGTGGAAGGGCGGAGTGCGCAGTTCGGCGCTGATCGTGTCATTGCGAACCACAAAACGGTCTTTCACTTCATCCACGTACATGTAGCCACGACCTGCATTATGTTAAATATTCGTAGCACAATTTCTTCTAACATATTTTTTAATATTGAGGGATTCAATATCTGTTTCGGATTAGTTGGTTTCGTCGTTATTATGTCATTCTTTTAACTGCCGAATTTTTGTGATAGATTTTGCAGTGCTAATAACCGGTCGAAAATTATTTGCGTTTGTCATGCGTTGGTCTATTACTGTGAAAAACGCTGACTGATCAAAAACGCACCTGACTGGGCATCCGTGGGTCCGGGCACAACGACGCTCTCCTTCCAGTGTTCAGCTTGCCAGCCCTCGCACAGACCCACGTCGAAGGAGCAGGTGCCGCTCTCGATGACGGTGATCAGCGCCGGTGTCGTGGGGGTAGGGGGGCGTGTCGGTACCGTATCGCCTGCAAAAATAGCGTCCGTCGATTATGCATGTACAGACTGTAGAACATGTACTACATTTGCTAACACATAATGACCAAACAAATGCGTCGATCATGATTAGACTATGGGGAAAATCGTAGATAAGTGGCTAGTTGTGATATACTACGTGACACTAGTCTACCACTCGTTTCCGGAATTTGAACAATACTGTTGCACATAGCACAGCAAGCTAAATTCCCTCTAATGGTTGTACATATCGGTTCAATTATTATGTCAATATTGGTTCTATGGAAATTCATATACAATATTTTTGCAAACCGAAATAACGGAATTTTAACGGCAGCGTACCCGTTTCCGCATGTAGAATGATGTCGTCGATGGCGACGAAGCTGTTGGGTTGAGTGAAGAGACTGGTCAGTTGCAGTTGTCGGCGCGGCGCATTGGGATCGATGCGGAGGTTGACCAGCGCCAGATTCCACTGTCCGAAGGGTGCCGGACCGAAATGCGCGTATTCGGTGGTCGGCTCCACATCGGAGGTGATCGTGTACAGCGAGACGCCGGTGGAACCGCGATCATTGACGCGATAATAAAACTACAACACGACACAATAATTACTAACTCTGAAAGACACAATTTTTCCCCCATAATTTTCTCGGGCTTAAATTACCCTTAAAGCTGATCTGGATTCAACAACAAGAAAATAGGGAAAAAAATAATTGTTTCCAACATGTAAAGGTCACCGTGACACTTGTAATTGTCACGGATCAGATAACGTTTTGTGTATAAATGGGCACTTGCATAATGACGATAAAACCTAACTGAGAACGCCATAACAACATTACGAGATCATGCCAAAACCGTAGAAAAATGGCTATGGTCGCTGCGTGCAAATCAATAATAATATTAGCATCCACCATGTATTTGCAACAATAATAATGAATTTGAAAATAAATCATTACTTCTTTTGGCAATAAATTACGTATCAATGCAGAAGGTTATTAATAATAGACTTTTTTCTAATTTTTTTGTATGCCCTAAGGAAATCGCAGAAGGTGGTACCTGGAAGCTCAGCTGGTGCCCGTGGAAGAGCGTGGCGTTGATGTTGGGACTGACGAGGCTGGCGCGATGACCGGTGCTGCCGCGGGGCGTGGCCACGGCCATGTAGTTGCCAGCGTGGGCGGAGACGTTGTTGTGCGAGGCGGCCACCGTCCAAGGGATGGAGTCCAGGTTGCGCCAGGCGCACAGATTATTAGCTTCGAAACTGCAGGAAATCTCTCCGTCGAATGCCACAGCTAAAACGCACGAATGCATATTGTTTATATTCCTTGAATATTACACGGCATAATTACGAGAAAGTGCTGCTGCCGAATTTCACAAACAGACATCCGAATTTGGAAAACATGACATTGCCTGTACTTGTAGTAGTGAGAGTACCACATAAAAAAATCGTAGTACACCGGCGATAAGAATTCGGTCTTGCACTAGCTCGCTTGAGTATTATTATGATGTATGTAATAATATGTCTGTCTGAATCACTAACTCGTCTTCATAATAAATATTGATCAAAAATCTTTTTCCAGCAATCTTGGTTATATACTCGTAAATCAGAATGGAATCCACAAACCTGGTGTTGTATAAATTCGTCGAGACAAGTTAAAAAAAACCAAGAAAATTTTTTGCCAGACGTATCAGCCGTGGACAATTTCAGCTCGTTAAAAAACTTTGAACTATATTTATTAATGCACAATGAATATATTTATTTATGCAGTTCAAGCGCTACGAGCGGCTGAACAGCTGAGAAAGCGACTTACGCAGCGTAACCGGAGGTTCCGTGGTGGTAATTCCGGACGGGGTCGGGCTGGTCAGATAGGGCACAGTGCTGTGCGGAATCACATCCGGACAGGCTTCCGTCGGGATGATCGCGTCGGATCCCTCGCCCAGCAGGACCACATGGTCCAGACCGATGTAGAAGCCTCGCGAATTGAAGCGCGCTTCGAATGCCAACTAAAACAACAACAGAAAATTCCAAAATAAAAATAATAATAAAAATATTCAGGAAAAAATATCAAAAATCAGGGAACACCGTCCTGACCTTGACGGGATCGTTGAAACAGAGAGGCGCCACGTCGTTGACCCAGAGCTGGTTGAAATTGTCGGTTTCCCATATTAAGAAGCGTTCGTCCGCGCGGATGGCGAATAGCTGCAGCGAGTGGATGCCGTGTCCGTACGCGCGGTAGGAGAAGCTTAAAACACTACGGACAGCCGGGAAAATGTTGCTGCGGGTTACGAGAGTGGCGGGCTGGTTGAGAGAGGGCAAGGAACTGCTGCTGACCAGCATGTATCCTTCGTTGACGTCGGTGATGCCGTAGCCGGGCGGACCGTGGGGCCCGCGCACCGGGCGCCAGCCATCTGTCGACTGCCAGCCGCATGTTTCGAAATCCTCAAAATCGCAGGTGACGTTGGTGGACTGCGGCTCCGGGATCAGCGGTTCACAGGATTCTGCGAACATTTCAAATCAGTGTTATGATGACATCGTAAGTAATCAATTTAAAATTATTCGTCAAGCAATTTATTAGAAAAAAATTTACGATCACCCAGTCAACAAAAGTGTCATAAACCCAATAACCATTTAATACATGACAACTAGAATCTATTAATCTAATCACCAATAACCACCAGACCAAAATAGCCTGTGCTGTATTAATGCATGGCAGATACAAATTTAAACAGTAAAACATTTAGTTGGTTAGGAAATTACAATAAAAAACAACAATGATATTCCAAACAAAAACTATGAACTAGAGCGTCGGTGGAACATAAAGTCCGGTTCAAATCCCGGTAGCTTCTTTAAAAAGGAAGATTACTGATAGGGAGTTAATTTTATCCTTTTATTAAAGCATAAACGGCAGAAATTCGCCGAAGGGGGTATGCCGCTGCACTACCTTCCTCCTTCAACGCCTGAACCTGGATTCAACATATTAGCGCTTCAAGTGTTGACAATCAGAGGAAACCGTTCAGAAAAAAGTCTTAACTGTTTAGAAGACATTTTTATTTAATCAGTATTTATGACAATGTTTATTTAGACAATGATCTTGATTTCGACGTTTTTGCGATAATGCAATGAGATGCTAGCTGTTCATGAAGCGTACTGAATAAAGTTACTCAAACATCAATTGACATACCATCAGACTTGGTGGAGATGACTTCATCAATGGCGGCAAACGACCCCTCAATGCGATGGTTGACATGGAACACCACCATGGTGGTCTCGTTGCGGGGCACACAGATCTTCTGGCGGACGAAATGCCAGGTCAGGGGGTTCTCCACATCCCCGGCGTTATTCGTCACCTCCCACACGACCCCGACCAATCCGTTCCCGAGAGCCGGTTCGTGAATCTGCAGTTCCAACTGGGTTCCAGGACCCAACAGGTACCAGAAGGTCACCTCTACAGTCGTTTCTTCCTGATCCAGCAGCAATAATGGTCGGGTGAAGAGCTCGGAGAAGCCCTCGGGGTGTTCGGCGGAGACGTAGCCGTTGCCGGCCTGGGCGGCCACTCCGTGGTAGGAGCGGTTGAAGTTCTCGATGAAGTTGACGCCGATCCATCCCGGACACAGGCCCACGTCGAAGGAGCAGGTGGCCGCCTCGACGATGGCCAGAGGTTGTTGGACGGTGGTGGCGATGGTGGGCGGGAGGACGTTGCCGTTCTCACCGGCCAGGACGACGCGGTCCACGGCGATCCAGGCGCCGCGCTGGATGTAGCGGGCCTCCAGGACCAGTTGGATGCGAGAGCTGGAGGGGCGGTCGAAGTCGATGACGGCGCGGGTCCATTCGATGGCGCCGGAGCCGGCGGCCCAGATGGGCGTGGCCGGGAGCTGGTTGGAGGTGGCCACGAAGACGGCGAGACCGGCTACGTTACGGCCGCTTGTTCGGTAGAAAAACTATGTAGCAAAACGAATTGCGGGGAATGCTTTAACACATTTGCTAGAATGACAACACTTATCAATTTCCAGCATCTTTCTGATTGACGTTAGTAGTGCGAAAAAACTATTACCAAAGAATTAAAGCATAACAGAAGTTTGACAATTTTTAAACAAGATCCCGGATAGTTGTACAAATGTCCGTATACTACATTCTGACAACAACTTACAACGGGTGAACGGAAGTCATCAGTCTCATCACCATTACTCAGCACCACTCGTCATTACATAAGCGAATAAATGATAATTCTTATGAAACAAACCAATAATAAAGTACTAAACCTCCGAATCAAGAAAAATATTACCAGTAAATTACAATTCATCGACAGAACTGGCAACAAAAATTTAAAGTAATTACTGGCTGTTAGAAAGCGAGCTGGAAATTGCGGAAGAAACAGTAGTGATGGCTTACCTCGACATGGAAGTGGTTAGACGAGGCGTTCAAGATGTTGGCCGTGGCCAGATTCGCGCTGACCAACCGCGTCGAGCGGACGGTTTCGTTGCCCATGGTGGCGCCGGCAAAGAAGTTGCCCGGTTCCGCTTCGAACACTGTGCTGACGTTGGTCTGTCCGATGCGGAGGAGCGGTGTCCATTGTGGCTGCAGACTGTCGGCGTTCTGCCAGCCGCACATGTCCGCATGGCTGCCTTCGCCGAAATCACAACTGATCGTGCCGGGGATGGGTTCCGCTGCAGCCAATCAAACAGTCAATAACTACCGTGAAGTTGCACCAAAAATACCGATATCGTAAAAAAATTTTCAAAAAATATGATAAAAGTGATGGTAATTATTTTGCAGCTGTACAAAAAATTAATCTTAAAAAACTAGACATCTTAGAGATTCTAAGAAATTTCAAACTGATAAGAATTTAAAGATGGTATAGCCTGACTATAATCTTAGCCCGTAACAGCCACTACACTACGTTCGTATGCATTAACACCTTATGATTACGTATCTGATAACACATTCCATAACGAGCAGTTCACGTTCACCATTTTAATAAACAGGATTTATCAGTAATCGCTAATTATTCAAAATTCGATATTGCACTTCACAATATGTAGCTTACGTATAATAATGGGCGCCGGTGTTGTCGGTCCCGTAGTCTGGCCGGAATCAGTGGTGATGGGTTGGGAGGTGGTGTGCAGCTCCACGGCCGGGCACTGCGAAGTGGGCGCGTTCGTGTCGGGATCCTCGTTCATGATCACGTGATCGATGGCCACGTAGAAGCCGCGCGCGTTGAACTGCGCCTCGAACACCAACTGCAAGGGGCGAAAATACATATTAGCGACAAGATAGTGGTCCACGTTGAACAGATTAAACGATACTAAGGGCCGCCTCAATGCCGAGACCACTCTTTCTACCGATGCACTACCGATGCACTTGTGGAAAAAAAATCGACAAATAGTCAAACATCTGATGACATTGCAGACACATAACTAGCAACCTCCAGTCCAGCTTTTAACTATCTCCCACAACACTACGTTTTACGGTACTTGTAAATTATGATCAAGCGCAATGGGCAACTTACAACGCTAGTGCATATGACTGATTTAATACCTATGCACTATTCAACGAATTACAAAAATCACCACAATTCGAAATCAAAAACAAAAGATTATTCCACAGGCATTTTACAGTGACAAGTTTTGCATATCTTCTTAGAATAATCTGGTTCCACTTCACTATCACTTCTGCCACAACACTACGTTAGCTGCAACGATAACACGAGCAGTTTTACTACGGCAGTGAACTAAATTACTTAATTAATCACTGCCCTTTTAACGTATCGGTTACAAGTCAAAAAATAAAACGCATACCACAACAGGATCGTTGAAGCAGACGGACACTAGCGTGTACAGCCACTCCCGTGACGCATCCCCGGTTTCCCACAACAGGAACCGCTGGTTGCCGGCTTGTTCACCATACAGCCGCAGATGCTTGATGCCGTGTCCAAAGGCGCGGTAGGCAAAGGCCATGCTGCTGTTAACATAGGGGAATGCTTTAGAGCGCATCTCGAGCGTGTCGGTGATGACGGTAACGTCCTGGCTGTCGGCCACGAGGTAGCCCTCGCTATCGTCGTTGTACACGGCGTACGGACCCACCCCGTACGATCCGTTGACAGCTCGCCAGCCGACGGCCGGTCGACTGGGCGGCTGCCAACCACAGGTGGCGCCACACTGGAAATCGCAGGTCACACCCGTGTGCGACGGTGGCTCGCATCCATCTTCTACGGAATATTAACGGAAACTTGACTAGAATTCAATAGGCTAAAGTGATTTAAACGTACCAGTAATAATGTCGATTTGTTCGTCGGGAACGAATCCCTCTTCCGTGGAGTACCACACGTCATCCAGTGCAAAAACATCTTCCGGAAGGGCACGCTTGCTGCGCTGGGTCAAGGTCTTGTCAAAACCAAACAGAAATCGCATCTACAACAGCCCAAAACACACCCACCATTACATCCTCTGGTCACCTAAATCCTGCAAGTCTGCAGGTTGATACTACTTCCGTATGGTATATACAAACACACGACTTCTGATAAGACACCGTTGTAAATCTCCAGTCAACAGGCTTGTAACGTGCATTGTAGAATAATGTAGATTAACCGATAATATGGTTGTATATTTTTCTTTTTATTTTCTGACAATCAGTCAGCAGTGGTCAGTTGTGTCCGAGATTCAGCGTACAAACCATGTGGTTGCACTTGAAAATACACATTATTTATTTCACAGAGTTTTTATGAAAAAAACTATTAGGGACAATGACAGCGTCAATACGCAGTCAAAGTTGATAAAAGTTACGCAACTATGTTTCATGGCGCTATCGTGCCGCATGGGCAGGTTTATACTGTATTTTTACGGTTTATACTCACCGCGTGCAGAACGTGATCAGTGTGATATCATTATGGTAGTGTAGTGGCACTGGTTCTGATTTCTTTCTGTCATCAGTCATAAGTACTAAGCACCGTGAAGCGCTCTGCTCAAATGTTAAAAACAAATGAATGAACCATTGTATGCTAATATCTGTAGCATTTTTTATCAGTGTTGTCGTTAGCCTACATAATACGCCCCGCAATACATTCGGCTTTGTTTTACACGTAAACAGATGTCTGTATCTCAGACACACAACTGATGGGATTCGCTTGTTAGTGTCACTCCAAAGTAGATTGGGAAAGGGTAAACTCCATGGGACACCAGCAGAAAAAAAAACCCACCAGTGAGTTATCATTTACGGGACTATCGTCTTTTCCCCTACACCTGTAGGCAATGTGGAAAAATTCGCGAACTGACTGGAGAAGCGCGTTCAACTGCCTTTATTCAGCAACGTTTTGAAGGAGATTCTACGGCGGTTTTAAATGCGTTACCTTTTAACTCGGAGGAGGACAGAGATTTTGGCGGTCTTTCAGTGTTTAAAATTACAACTCGTACAGTAGTGTGTCCGCATATTTTTCTGTATTTTGATGGCTATCGCCTAATAAAGGTTTAGACCTAAAGGTATATCACCGCGTACCTGGACATTCTCTCCAATGGTCACCGCCGGCAGCGCCACGCTGACCGACGTCCAGTCCTCCGCCGGGCTGAGATCCAGCATCTCCAGGGTCGTCCCGTTGGGAAAGCGTGCTTCCAGGTAACCCAGAGCACTGCCGCGCTGCAGGTAGGAGAAGGAGAAGACGGTACCGGCCTCCACCACTTTGTCGGGACTGCGCAGGTAGGTGTATCCGAGGTCTTCGGTCGGTGAGGGAAGAGCATACATCACCGGTGTGGCATGCTCGTCGTCGCCGGGAATGCGGCCACGCTGCACCACCACGTCGTTGTTGTCGTACACTTCCCAGCCGCACTGGGACGATCCAAAGTCGCAGCTGACGGTGTTGGAGGGGAGGGTCTGGGCGGTGCAGTTGAAGGCGGACAGACCGGTCGTGATGCTGCTGGTCTCCGCCGTGATGATGATCTCGTCCAGGGCGAATCCGTAATTACCAAAACTAAACATTAATGGCAATAAAATAATTAAAATAAAGTTCAAATTTTCAAAAAATTGCTTTCTTGTGTCATATAAAACAAACTTACCCGTTGAGTTGTATATTAAAAACAAGACGGAACCGTCCGTCGAGACACAGCGGCACCCGCACGGGGATCCACCGTCCAAAACCAACGGAGCTCCTAGCCAGCCTCCACAGATTCTCCACACGTCCATCCTCATAGTACACGTTCAACTCGGCTTCCTCCAGATCGTCGTGCGCCCGGTAGAAGAAAAACATCTGCGTGCGCTGCTGCAGCATCACCATCGGTCCGACCAGCGTCGCCGACCTCCGGGCCAACGCAAACCCACCAACGGACCCTCCGAACCCGGTAAACGCACTGGCAATGGTGAAATTTTCCGCGTGACTCCACGCGCAGAAATTCCGGTCGAAACTGCAGCTCATCGTGTGACTGGCCGGGGTAATGGGCGGTAGGGGGCGGTCGGCGGGGTACGCTGGACAATCATCCGCTAAGGTCAAGCGTTCGGCTTCGTTTAGCAATTTGATCTTGTCGATCCCGACCACGCCCATGGAGGCGGTGAAGGCCGCTTCCAGGACGAGGCGGACGCTGCCGGTGACGCCGACGGTGATTTCGGGGCGCAGCCAGACGCCGGGGGCGCCTTCCTGCTGCCAGAGGATAGATTCCTGGCCGTTGGGATGGAAGGCCTTGAGGGTGAGGTACTCGATGCCCTGGCCGTACTCGTGGTGCCAGAAGTTCATGGGGGTGCTGCCCTGGATCCGGATGCAGGGACTGATCAAGCGGGCAAAGGTCAGGTGGCCGTTGCGGGCGCCTTGGGACTCCACGTGCCAGAAGCCGTCGGGGGTGGCTTCGTAGTGGTCGAACTCTTCTAGGAGGGCATTCGATCGACTCCAGCTACAAATCATGTCAATGTTAGGATATGAAGATACCGGGTAAAAATACAGTAGAGTTACAATACCCAATCAGATAAACAATACAATTCCAAAATCAAATCGATTTTTTAGTGCTACAAAATTATTTTTACATTTATCGTAATATTTAAAATTATTTTTTGAAAATATTCCAATTTCAAAAAATAATTTGAAAATTATTAATTAACGGTAATAGTAATAAGCGCAGCACATAAATACATTTTAGAAACCAATTAACGATAAAATAATTCCGATAGCTAAATCTGAGAAGACGGATAAAAATGCAAAAAAATACTGATTTTAAAATAAAAACACATTTTCCGATTCGAATTACGATGTAAAACAGGCAGTACGAGTATGAAAATTTGAAACAATGTTAAATTCAGCTCAAGTAAATAATCAGTTAAGATTGTTTGTGGAAATTCCAACACCGATACATACCTGGAAGCGGCGGTCTGATGATTCTCCCATCCGCACATATCGTGCTCGAAATTGCAGCTGACCAGCGGACATGTTCCCGGCCAGGCGTCCTCCGTATTCTGCTCTCCCACATACCTCACCTCGTCGATATCCACCTGATGATCCCCTTCTTCGAACGCCGTCTCAAAGACGAACGAAAAGCCGGACATGCGCGGGCACACGGTGAATTTGGTCCAGATCCAGTCGGCGCCCTGAGCGCCGTTGCGCTCCCACAGCACCTGATCGCTGGCCGGTTCGCGCAGGATCACCCGCAGATACTTAATACCGTTGCTGGGCATCCGGTAGCCGAACATGAAGTGCGTGTTGCGCGGCATGGCCGAGGTCACAGGGCGGCTGGTGATGCGTGCAATGGCGCCGTCGAAGGGCGCGTCGCGGGACTGCGCCGTCATATAGTGCTCGCCGCCGTCGCCGGGCGGTTGGATGTGCCAGTCGATGCCCAGACCGTTGTTGGTCCAGCCGCACAGGTCGCTCTCGAAGTCGCAGCTGATGGTCGTCACGGTCTGGCCGGGGCACAGGAAGGTGTCGGGCGGGATGGCGCCCGAGATGGCGCCTTCGTCTTCCAGCTCGAGGGCGTCGAAGGCGACGACGTAGTCCGGCAGAATGAAGCCGGCGGAAAATTCCAGCTGTTAAGAAAAAACTACATTATGCATCCAAACTTTCTATTCCCAACAGTGAGTTACAGATTAAATATTTGATCCAAAGCAGAAGTAATAGATAGGTAAAAGGTCACTTGAATTAAATTAAGCACACTGATTCAGCCATTGAAACTGTACTCCTGTTCATACGTATAATTACTATAATAATATGAAGTTATGAACTACAGCATAAAATGATTAATCTGAATATTAACAAATTTTTTCCCAATCATGACCATTTTTTCGCTTTTTCTAGAAAAACTGAAAGCAACCGTTCACTATCGATCGCTCCCGTACAATACAATACTCGAAAATAGGCATCAAAAGCAAGAAATTACTATTCGAGATTCGGATATATTAGCATTGTCAGTATTTTTTTACGTACATAAAATTCCGCTGAGTCGCACAAGACAACTTCCGCTCGCTTCCACTGATCGGTATTTCCTCCAGTCTCTTCCCACAACACATCAAACTCTATTCCATTCATGCCCAATTTCGTCTTGGTCAGTCTGACAAAATTCACTCCGTGTCCGCGTGCGTGGTACCAGAAGGAGAATTTTCCGTCGCGCGCCAACTTGACCGCGCCGTTGGCCACCAAGCGGGCCACTTCATCGCTATCCTGCCGCTGATTGGCCGCGGCATACACGAACCACGTACCCTGGGCAGCACTTCCAATCACGCCGCTATCAACAGCATTCTCGACGGTCTGTGCGCGGCGGAAGCGCAGATTCTTTCCGATCTGTAGGACGAAAAATAATTACATTTTGTACGCATTGTGTTAATCTGCGGCTGAAACAAATTAATTTTTCCACATCATTACTTTCTAATAAAACATTGTAAGCTAAGGATCAATAAAAACTCGACAAAAAGCAGCAGACAGAACAACAGAAAAGAACAAGAAACCATTCATTTTAATCATTCCATTGCCTGAAAACTGTATTGAAGTTTTCGAAAAAATGCTAAAAACAAATTTTGAGTTTCAAATCCTATTTTATTTCTAATGAAATTTCGGTTCACGTCGTTTGAACAACGCAACAAAAGATGCTTGAAGTCTGCCCATAGACTACGGTAATGGTGATACGATGGGCCATAAAAGTTTACGTCCAGGATTTAATTCCTAGGAGGGGCCACAGTTTTTATCTCATAAACCAAAAAATGCCTAAAATTTTCCAAATTTCACAATGAAAAGTTCTAACTGCCTGATAAGGTCATAATTTCATTTGGTGTAGACTGAGCAAGGATCTAGCTACTGTAATAAATCTAATAACACTCACCTCGGTGGTCCAGCCGCACATGCCATCCTCGAAATCACACGTCAAAATCGGCGACGGACACTGCGGATTAAACCCGGGCGGGGCCGGTTCGATCTCCCCGGTCAACTCGATATCGTCCACCTGCACACCCGCCACCGTGGACTCGAAGACCAGCTGGTAGCCCGGGTCCTGGCAGATGACGACGTCCATTCGCTGCCACGTGGTGGTGTTGCTGCGGGGCGCGTGCCAGATCTCGTGCTCTTGATCGAAAACCTTCACTTTAAGCTTGGTGGTTCCGTGGCCGCCTTCGGGGTTCCCGTAGTAGAAGGACAGGCGGGTGGGGTTGGGTACCTGTTGGGAGGCGTAGTTTTGAAGTAATTTCTAAATCATTTCTCAAATTAAATTCAAAGGTCAGTTGTTCCCAGCTTCACGAACCACAAAGCCACCTCGATTTTAAAGCGGTTCGATTTAGAGAAAGCGATGTGCAACGCTTAGAGGTCTGATTTCAGCCTTACCTGCTGGTGGATGGTGTCGGAGATCAAGCGGGCGGTGCCGGACACTTGCCAGACGTTGTCGGACTGGGTGGCCATGAAGTAGCTGCCGGCCACGCGGGTGCGTCGCCAGTTGAGGCCGATGGATTCTTCGTTGTGCCAGCCGCAGGTGCCGCTCTCGAAGCCGCAGGTAACGTCGGCGTACTGCAGGCTTTCGCAGGTGTGCGGCCCCACTGTAAACAACATTTCAACATGATAAAGTGCGTCCTGTCAGGTGAACGTAAATAAGCATGCCACTGGGTGTTTATCACCACTCTTAAAGCATGCGTAAATCTTTATTTCCAGTCGTCTCATATCATAACCGCAATGGAAGGGAGCAGAACAGTGCAAAATCACCTACCGTACAATATTACAGATACACGCGGCGGTCATCTACAGGAAATATCATAGAGAAAGGGAATTGGATCGACAGCGAACGATACCCCATGAACGAGATTCATTTTGCATAAGAAACAAACTTTTTTTGCGTTACTAATTATTCTTCAGTTTCACATTGATAAAATCACGGCCACCTCTTCTACATGTGTACATACTTTGACTGCGCTTGTACAAGCTAACGGTATAAACATACCAATCAGACGGTAAAAAAAAATTCGTTTCTTTTATTTTTGATTCAAATGAAGGCAATCAGCGTATCAGCAGTTATTCTTCCTACACCTAGAATACTGTTCTGTTGGAGACAGTGCCACTTTTCTACAAAAGCATCTTAACCACAGTATCACCTGTTGCGTTGTATACTAACATGTTATTATTATATTACTGGCTTACCGTTGTTGCGGGTGGTGATGACCTCGTCCAGTCCGACATGCGCAAACGTGTTGCTGGGGGTGACGCGGAAGACCAGTGATCGCGTGTCTTCGAAGCAGAGGCGCACGGTGACCTGGCGCCAGCGTCGCTGGTAGTTGGCGGAGACGCTGTGCGTCACTTTCCACACACTGTTCTCCTCCGGCTGGTCGTTCCACCACTCGTCGGCGCTCTTGCTGTATACTTGGAAGGTGGCCGTGCCGTAGCCGAAGTAGTACCAGAAGGACAGCGTCGCCGAGCGCGTGTGGTTGTGGCTGGCGTCGTTGGCGGTAAACGCCGGGCTCTGCAGTTCCGCGAAGCGGCCCTCCGCGCTCAGGATGCCCTCGTTCTCCACGTAGACGAATCCATGACCTGTGATCAGGCGCATTATAGGCCAGGGTCAAAATAACAAAAATATCGAAAACATAAATTCAAAAAATTCCTATCAAACTACTGAGCAAAAATCGAGAAAATTAATACAGCGACACGAACGTAAACAATTACTGAGCCACCAATTAGAACGAAACTATTCAAATAATCATTAATATGGAGACACCGTCAATACTGCAAAAGCTGATTACTAATGAATGAAAATTATCTTTCCGATAACAGGTTACAAAAAGAAGTAAAAACCCAGGAATCAATAAAAATAAATGGATAGTTTAATAAACCACCGATTAAATGAAAAATAATTTCTTTCTAACGTACCGGCTTGCGGTGAAACACCGATGGGATCAGCGACACTCTCGTGCCACTTGTAGAAACCCGGTGACATCCATCCGCTGCAGAAGCCGACATCGAAGGAGCACGTGCCTTCCTCGATGACTTCCATGGTCGGATCCATCGTCGTCAAGCTAATCGGCGTTGTACCAAGCGTAACTCCTACGACAAACCAATCACTCAAACCCGGCCGCACGGACATTTTAAACGGGTTTACCATTCTCCAGATGCAGTTGGAAGGAATCCACTGCGCTCCACGTGTTGGGACGGAGGAAGCGCGTCTCCAGCATCAATCGGCAGGGCAGTCGGCCGTTGCACTCGCGGATGGAGAAGACGGTGCGAGCGCGCGTCCACTGACCCACGACGCCGCTGTCGCTGGTGAAGACGGGGCTGTCGGGGATCTGGCTGCCCTGGACGAGGTACACGGCGATGCCGGTCGAGCCGCGTCCGCTGGTTTGGTAGAAAAACTAATCGCAAATAGCCCTTTTACAGAACGGTTAATTTTTGTGATGCTGTTTAATGCTGTTTAATTTTTGTGATTTATTCGTATTTTAATGGCTCCCAAATCATATATGTAAAGTCGGAAAATGCTTTTTGTAATTTTACAGGTTTCTCTTTTAATTTCGATTTACTTGAAAATGGTTTCCTACACCGCTTTGTGCTTTATTTTCATATTTTTCAGGGAATCGATCTTATTAATTCGACGGTTATGGGATAATTTATTGCTTATATTTTTACACAAATTACGGAGTGATTTTCGCTGGTCAGCAGTTACAAACCCTTCTTAATTAAGCTTAATTTATTCTGAAATTAAGAAAATGCTTGCAATTTGATACAAAAACGTAAGCCCTTCAAAATATTCTTACCGTATTTAAATGTTTTCTTCGCTTACCTCAATTTCCAGTTCTTCCTTGAAATCAAACGCATTAAACGTCGGACTGATCATCCTGGCCAACGTCAGTCCCGTAGCGTTGCCCACGCGTGCCACAGCGTATGCACCGTTGTGAGCGGCGTCCACCGCAACTGGATCGTTGTTAGCGGTGGTCCAGGGTAGAGCGTTGGGGACGTTGCGCCAGTCACACAAATTGCCGTCGAATTCACAGCTGATGTTTCCTTCGTGGTTCGGTGCTACACAAATCAAATCATCAGCATCTGATAGTCCGAAATACAGCGAGAAAGCAGCTTACGCAACGTCAGGACGGTGGTCATCGTGGTGGTGGGTTCGGGAGTGGTCGTCCGGGTTCCGGCCGTCACGGTGCTGACGCCCGCGGGGGTGGTGTGTTGCGGCAGGATGGCGCAGGATAAATTGGACATTAATTGGTTGTCCGTGCGCATCACGACGTCGTCTAACCCGATTAGGAATCCCGGCGCGGAAAACACCGCTTCGAACGACAACTAAAAAAATGAAAAGGTATAACACAGTATAAAACCAAAACAGTCAAATTAAATATTTATATTTAAAAAAGTTGCTTAAAATTTAAAAGCTTTCGTTATAAAATCTGATGCAACCGAAGCGCAAATTTTTAGGGCTTTTCGGCACGGTCATTGAAGACATATACCCGGCTTTTGGCCACTAGACTACAGAAACAACGCTACTGTATAACACAGCACGATACAGAACTGAAAACAGTTCAAAATTTATAAAGCTACGGCGAAATTTCGGTTTACTCAAAGCCATTAATTTATAAAAATAAACTTAAACATTTATGAAAATTTATTTAAACACTTCAGACCATAACGACAGAAAAAACATTAACCAAGCATGTTTTCATGGCACGACATTTTCCCGCACATCCGGAATTCTTTAATTTAATTTACGTAATTTAATTTAATTTTCCAATTTAATTTACGTACCACGAAAGTCTCATTGAAGCAGATCTCGATGGAGGCCATCTGCCAGCCGCGATGCGAGGGCCCGGTCTCCCACAGTTGGAAGCGACCGCTGGCGGTCTCCCCAAACAACGACAGCGAGGCCACCCCGTATCCGTAGGCGTGGAAGCGCACCGACATGAAGCCGTGGTAGGGGACGAAGGATTTGGACTTGAGGACGGCCGGCCGGTTCAGCGCCCACAGATTGCTGTCGACGTAGACGTACGTCTCGTTGTCGGGAGCCACGATGGCGTACCCGTCCAGACCGGTGGTCCCGGTGCCGATCTGCCAGCCCAGGAACATGTCGTCCGACGTCCAGCCGCACAACGTGTGCTCGAAGTCACACGTCAAGAAGGATTCGCATTCGGTTTCGGTGCCTGGATAAAATGAACTAATTTATTTCTTTTACTTTTGTAAGTTTTTTAGTTCACTTGATTGTCCATGTTTTTGTCTGAATATTCTATACTTGGTAGCGGGCAAATTTCGACTTCACCACCAGTTTATACTGCAAAGTTTTCATCATTAACGTGACATGGTGATTGAGCAGGAGACACCCCTATTCCGGCCCCTGCACTACGGTCTATGTGATACAACAGCAATATGGTCTATGTGATATTACAACGTACCGGTGTTCCATTTTCGTGACGCTCTACATGCAGCAGTTTTTCGGAACCATTTTAAAATAAAAGCAGACAATAAGAATTGGCAAACAGGAATTAAAGAACGGAAAAGATTTGTTCGGTAACTGCAAAAACAACCTGCGGCTTTTTTTAAATTTAAATTAATCGCATTTGTATGCTTATCTGAGTTGGCAAAGAACGACCTGCATATAACTTCAGCCACTAAACCACGACAGCAATATTATGGCCTCGCAACTGTAAGCTTCGGAATTTCAATTTCCGCGGCACTCGACATATTTTTGGTATGATTTCGAAGAAAGACAATAAAAATCAGCAAGTAAAATTGAGGATAAAATCAACAGGTTTCGTGACTTTAAAGATACCGAAGATTTGCGAATTATTTTCGATTATCTTTTTTACATTATTGTTCGATTTTTTTCGATTTATTAAAAAATTTTTTATTGCGAATTATTTTTATTTTTTGCTAATTATGTTTAATTATTTTTCTAATTATTTTTTATTAAATTTTTTCTAATTTTACAAATACGCTGATATTTCGATCAATTTCATTCCAAGTAAATTGCTTCATAAAACAGTTGTTATACTGTAAATAATACAATACGTGAAAAGGGCAAAACTGACCTTCTTCAACGGAAACGGAGTCAATGGCCACGGGGGTGCCGCACCGGCTGTGTTCGGCGACAAAGGTCACGTGGAAGCCGATGTCGGCCTCGAAATGCGCTTCGGCGTACCGCCAGCGCCCCGACTGGCCCTGATCGACGTTCCAGATGACCACGGTGTTGAGGATGGTGGTCAGGTACACCTGCAGGTACTTGTTGTCGCCGCGGATATTGTTGAAGTAGTACCAAAAGGTCACGCGTCCGTGGAAGGTCTTCCCGTCCTCCACTTGTACATTCGGGCCGTCCAGCTCACTGATCAGCTCCTGCGGTTGGTCGGGCACCGCGGGACGGATGGTGCAGTTAGTCATCGCGTAACCGGAAGCTGGATGACACAAAATACAACGTTACCAATTTTTCAAGTAACAAAGTTCTTAATTTCTCTAATTTTCCGTCACCGCGTTTCTCATTTTTCAGTTAACAAATCTGGCACAGTTTTTTTTTTAAAAATCGTTTAGTCTTTATTTATTAGTCATTTTTCAATTCGCTCATAAATTTGTCGAGTGATCATATGTTTTGCATTTTGTGTTCCCTGTTTCTGTTTTTTTAAATTTTATTGTTATTATTATTTATACGGTGTAGTGTTTACATGGTTGGTCGTCAGGAATTCCGGCGCCGGTCTCGACGGGCCCGTTTCCGAAGACGAACGGTAGGTAGAAGCCCAAGGATCCCCAGCCGTCGCAGATGCCCGTGTCAAAGGAGCAGGAGGCGCCCGGCAGCGGCGACCAGCTGTAGCAGTCACCGTGCGGTTCGGGAGTGACCAGCGGGAAGCGGGTGCTGGCCTCGGTGGTCACTGGCGCGTCCGTCGGCATGGGACACACCGGATTGCCCACTGGTTCTGTAAAAATTTAACAAATTTCCCCTTTACAAATTATGCAGAAGCGTAAACTGTACTGCGGTGATTTAGATACGAGTATTATTAGCCTCCACGACCAGCTACTTCACTGTATCAATGTACAGAAATGTCAACAATGTTACGATGTCTTTCCTTACCATTTAAAAGGGTTTTATGTTACACATATAAACGTATAAAATGGGGACGCGTATTTGTACTGAACCATTTCCGTTTTACATATTCATGGAATACAAGGCCATACAGCACCATCTGTTCATACATTGTAATTCGCTTACTTTTATTGTCTCGTTTTATCATAATGCAAAGTCGTCGTCCGTATGGAACATAGATAATCGTAGCATACAGGCTGTGGACACACACACCCATTACACATCTATCGGACTGACCTTATAAATGTAATATCCGCTTGAATAAATGTACAACTTTTTTCATTAGTACCAGTAATTAGCTACAAAAATATTAATTGATTACCATCATTCCTGTGAATAATAACCAATTAGTTAATAATCATTGTACCTCGGTAAAGCTCTCCAACAATATCATCCAAGCCGATGCTGGTCAGCACGTCGGAATGTTCGGCGCGGAACACCAAATGTCCGGGCCCGTTCAAGCAGAAATACGCCTCCTGTTGAATCCAGCGATTGGTATCCGTGGCCGGGTCCGCGAAGGCAATTTCATCGTGCTCCAACACCGAGGAAATAGCGTGCACCGAAAAGCGGTAGTGACTGACCGCGTTGGCGTGATTGACCCAAAAGGTCACCTTCCCGTAGGTCAGTTCATCAGTCAGCGCGTTGATCTCCTCCGTGCGCAGTTTGGCGGCGTACTCCCGCCCCCCGAAACTGAGGGTGCTGTAGACGAAGCCGGAGCCCTGGTGGGCGCCGGCGCTGATCAAGGGGGCGGAGTCGTTGGTGTGCTCCCACAGGATGTCGCCGATGTTCAGCCAGCCCTTGCAGTAGCCGTCCTCGAAGTCGCAGGTCACTGCCGGGAGGGGCTCGGAGGGGAGGGGCTGGCTGGTGGGCAGGGTGCCCCCGGGGGTGCTGCCGCTGCCGGGGAAGGGCAGGATCTCCAGGTCGGCCTCGTTCTCCAGCTGGATCTCGTCCAGACCGCAGATGATGAAGTTGTTAGCGCCACAGTAAAAAACCAGCTGCAAACAGGAATCTCGGTTGTTGCTTACGATGATTACGTGGCAAAATCTCATGCTTTACCGGCGAGTAGTTCGAATGCCGATTAATAATCCAATAATATAAGAAATAATGAAATACTAACTTTAGCTTAAAGTTTCTTCTACATATTATCGTTCGCTCTTCTTCGATTCTCTTTATCCTTTACACCTACTGAAATTAATAAAAGCAATTGCTGTCTATTTTAATTTATTAGCTTGAATAGCTGCCGTTTGAAATTTTACATAACAGCTACAGACCGTATGCATATTACTCTAATATTTTACCGAAATAAGTCCGGTAGTGTTGATAGGAATGCGGATCTGTTCCCAGTCCGGATCGGCGATACCCTGATGACGCCAGATATTATCGCCCTGTACGCCGTTCTGATCGGCCAATCGTAGTCCCAGGTAGGAAATTCCCGTGGACACTCCGCGCTTGTAGTACCAGAGCGAAATATACCGTGCTCGGTCGTTCAAAAACTGTCGACTTTCCAACAGACCCTGCGACATATCCGCCGCTGACGTGCCTCGGAAGGCCACAAACCAGGGATCTGCCGGAGACAAAAAACGACCCATCAAGTTAACACTGATTCAATAAAATATTTTCAAATCTCGGACTTGATCCCTCATTAGGTTTAACATTATTTTATAGGTTTTTTAGTTCTTCCTTATTTTATTTAGATGTAACACTGAATTTTTCGCAGAATTTCTCGAAGAAAAAAAATACTTACCGGCTAACTGATCGGATGCCGTCGCCGGGAGATTGGTCACTCCGGCATCCTGGGTGCGCTGCCATTCGCCCTCCGATTCCGGATGCGTCCGCCAACCGCACAGGTCCGTGGCGAAGGAACAGGTCAAAATGGCGTCGGTGACGGCCGGCTGCGGGGTGGGTGTGCTGCGTTGGGTGGTGGTGCGCGGAGTCGTCGTTAGGAAAATTGGGCTGCTGCCGTAGACCACCTCGCCCTCCGGTGCGAAGGTGATTTCGTCCAGTCCGAAACGGCGAATGCTCATCACACCGGCTCCGATCACAATCTGCAATAAAAACCAAATGATGGAAGAAGAAACACAGCAAAACATTTTGTAATAACGGATCGAAGGAATTTAACAGTTTAGGTATAAGACGAAACATTATTTAACGACTTACTCTAAACTGAAAGGATTTAATTATTTCGGTATCAGCCAGCACACGTAATAATTCGCGTGCGCACTGCGCAGCTTCACGCTACTAAAAGCATTAAAGTGTGAACATTGAAAAAAAATCGTTAGAGCCACTCGTGATCTTTAGCCGTGTGTTGAGTGTAGAATCGTAAACCTTAATATCGATTACTGAGCCACCATTCTACGCTGCCCTCAGAATTTTAGACCATCTGCAAGCGAGCGTGTCAAGTGCGAAAACGGGTCAATCAATTTTGAAAAGGGAATAAAAACATGCGAATCAAAATGCATTTGCAGAAACTGTGAATTCCTCCCTAAAATTTTTCCATATTAAATCTTTACGTGTAAAAACGCGTAAAACCATAATAAAAGTGCACGTCGGTATCCGCCAAACTGCAGTCGATAATCGTTCTGCTGGCATACGACTATACGAGTACCATTAAAAAACCCCTACTGACTAAATGCAAAATTAGTGATTCATTTACGACACTTGATTAGCAAAATTCGTCTGCGCATTTGTAAAATACAGCAAAATATATTACAATGATTTACGGTATGATTTCATTTAATTCAATAGATTTCAGCCGGCCATTATTTACTTTAAAAGTTTAAATCATAATTTTTATCAAATTCAACGTACGCTGAATTCCCGGTTGAGTGTCTCGATTAGCACGCTGTGCTGAGCCCATCTGTTGAAGGTAGTCGAGCCCAGAATCTGTCGCGAAATCGTCAGTTGTTCCCCGTCAGCGAAATTCAGGTTAACGTAGATTCCATCGCCGGCCGCCGCCGTGGCGTACACGTAGAAGCGCAGAACCGCCCGTGCACGGAGTGTGATTGAATTGGACACCAGATGCGCTCGATCGGCGTTGCTCAGCTCGGTGCCTTGCGCGAACAAGAACCACCCTGCAACCGCTGGATTGCAAACAGGAACACAAATGTCAAAGGTAAAACTTGTTGTTTACCATCGATATCGGGCTGGGCGACGATATTCTGCGGCGAGGCAGTGACGGTGTTGACGCGCTGCCATTGGAAAGTGTCGATGGTCTCCGTGGTCCATCCGCACAGATTCTCCGCGAAGGAGCACGTCAGGGGATTGCGTGGTGCAGACGTAGTAGTGGGCAGGGTGGAGGGGGTTGTGGTGCTCTGAGTCGTGGTGACGGTGGTGGTCGGCAGAGTGTTGGGCGCTCCTGTAACGATCGAGTTCAAGTGCTTGTTCGCAGTAGATCATGCAACGCTCTGGTGTACGTAGAACTCACATCAACGAACATCTCGATCCGCAAAACATGTGTTGTGCTTATTCTGTCATATCATGTACATTGTAATGTACACGTGATTCAGAAAGGCAAAGAAATTACACCACAAAGTAATCGAAAGTGTAATTGAAAAACTTTGAAAGACAGAAGTAGAACGTAAAGCTTGGCAAGAACAACTTCTTGCACAGCACTGAATATGTTTGGTTCGCAGCTTGCAAAAGTCCAAAGTTCCAAACAGCCTTTTTGTTAGAATGTTGCACGTAACCGCCCCATCGCGATAATCACCATGCACCTCCTGCCTTTACTGAGTTCACTGCACTTCACTCATATGCTTTTGTCCTTTAAAGTTTTTACTCGGTCTTCTCATGCAAGCGATACAACCCATACTTATAATTGTAATTTTGTAGATGCCAGGGGTTGTTCAGTTTCATGCTAAAGGCTTCCATCTTCTAGAAATATCTGTACTAGTTGGAAATTTTAACGTCTCCGTGTTTGTCTCCTTTCAGCTTTCAGTTAACATTAAAATGAACAGTTTTATAAGACCTGCAGAGCGGCAGTAGCGAAATGTGTGAAGAGACGGTACAGTAAGTAAACCAAATTATTTTTTTGTTAAATCCGAAGTATTACAGCACCACCAACCGTTTTCGTCGCCAGTCCAAACGATTTCGTCGACAGCGATTTGATCCTGTGCTTCCATGCTGGCAACAAATTCAAACTAGAACAAAATATGATCGGATAATGCTAATTTAATTAGCAATTAAACGGAAGCTCGGGGTGGCAATAACGCTGCTATAAAGGAAAACCGCGTGCCTTTATAAAAGTACTCCCGTTCAAACACCTCAACGCGCGGTGCATACCACTCGATCATTCACGCACCTCATTGAAACCGTTACTGTTGATGGTGAACTGCGCCTGGTGCCACGTATCGAATTCGCCGTTAAAAGTGCTCCCAGTGATTTCCAAAGACTGACTACCCGCCACGAACAGCAACGTTCTTCCCACCAAGGAACCGCCTTCCGATTTGAAGTTATACCAGAAACTGATCTGCGTGGTGCCAGTGTATTCAAACGCCGGTGATCGCAGACGGGAAAAGTATCGCTGGGTGAGTGAGTTGCCGGCGCGCGTCATCAGGTACTGCTCATCTGTAAACGCACTCATCTTGACCTTTTGTTACAGTGAATCACAGTGATGTGCCCGCGTACCGGTCGATGCATCGGGAGCGCCGGGAAGTCCCAAACCGATACTGGTGCCGCTCTCCACGGTCCACGAGACGTGGTTGTCCGCCGCGTTGCGCCAGGCGCACATGCCGGCACGGAAGGTGCACGTGATGAAACGGTCGAGATTACTGGCGGCTATCGTTGTGGTCGTGGGGATGGGGGTCACGGTTGTGGTTGGTGGTCCGATCAGCGCTGCATTCGGTAGTCAATATAATACACGCATTCTTCAAACTAATGAACACCGGTTAAAAAAACATCAGCCGTTTACCTTCGTCTCTAAGGACAATGTTGTTTAACGCCGTCCAGAATGTGCGGCTGCGTACTTTCAGTCGAAACTTCAACTAGAAAAGTAAGACTGATATTTACGTCTCAATATCTATAGCGGTACTTAATCTCGAAGCAATTGGAAGAGTAGAGTTTTACTCGAAAAGCAGTGCTACGCGGCTCCAAGTTGACCACAAAGGGATTGGTCCAGCTGAATTGATCGTTTTTGCTATAGATCCTCAGTTCCGGTGATCCATCCGACGGCACTACATTCAACTGAATATATGGCTCGTTATTGGATCCAAACATTTGTTGAAGCACGCGAAACGTCAGCGTGGTTTGGAATGTCAAGTAGATTTCTTGCGAGAGCAGCTCGGCGTACATCTCATCACCAGTGGGACTATTCGCAGCAGCCATCCATTGCCCTGCATGCAGCGTATCATTATTCTGCCATACGTGTCGAAAATTATAGGTGCAGGGTTCAGTTGTATTATCTTCAATTTTTGAAGGATATTCAATTTCTGGAATTGAAAACCTACTGACCTGCTGCAGGAGGCTTAGCGGTAGTAGATACCGAGCCTTGCGTGACCTGCCATATTTGAGCGGGACTGGGTGTCCATCCGCAGTAGTTCCCCTCGAACTGGCATGAGATTTGGGCGTGTGCTACAGTGCTGGCGCCAACTAATGCACCTAAAAAGAGTACAACGTTTAACGCGTTATATTACGCAATTTATGAATTTGTTTTCATCGTTAATTGTCTGCAAGAAAGTGCTAATATTACTCGTACATTCCAAAATCTTACAGTTCAGCGTGCAGCTGTGTACGACAGAAGTGCAAATCAGATGGCGCGTCTTTTTGTTGTGATAAATAATTAATGTTCACTAATTACGGCCGGTAAAGTCGGTCATTACGTAACGCACAAAATTAATAATCTACTGTGGACAGAAAATGCCGGTAAACTGGAGCGGATATGCTGATATTAATTATTAATTAACAGTACTTACCATTAATACGGGCGCTAAAATACATGTACTTGTACTTGTTAATTATCATTCTACTCGTAGCTTACAATTACTAATATTTTACGATTAATAATTATTACGTTACGCATATTTGCACTTTTCATCATACAGCCGCCCGCATAGCGACACTAGCTAGAAATACGAGTAGACTAGTAAAATTTCTCTTAATACAGCTCAAGTATAAAATAATTTTATTACAGAGGATTTGATTAAAAATTAAAATGAACGAATGTACAGGACTTCCGTAATCGTACCTAAAATACACATCCATGCATAGCGATGCCGGTTATATTGGCCCCGACCTGGCCCCATGTTCCTATCTGCTTCCAAACGTCGAACGTCAAAATCTCCACAAAAAACACGATAAATATTATGGAATTCAAACCGCAGAAAAAAACGCCTTGCGTTTCTTTTACGAAATAATTCACTGGACTGCTGTAACTCCGCGGTATCCTGCTGCTACAAGTCAAAACGTAACTTATGACCGGTAGGCGTCGGATGTACCATAACTACTGAACGTGAGAAAAGCGAAAATATCTTGCTTGAAGTTTTCTTGCGTTAGCGCGATAAGGAAGACAGTTGTTACGTTGGCGCGGGTAACAATTGTCCTTTGTATCGGCGATAAGCGGAGTAATTAGTCGTAAGCGGAAACAATGTTTCGATTGCTTTGGCTGGGTGATAAAGCAGATAAGCAGTGATAAGAAGAAGAAGAGTGGTACCATAGATTCCAGCTACTTCTGTATGCTTCTGTATTTAATGTGTTCCTATCCGTCGACGCCATTTGTAAACCGGAGCTGTGCTGGGTTAACGTTGTTAATGACAAATAGTTGATTGTTAAATCTATTCCACAGAAGACGGTGTTAAGCAATATGATTAGATTATGCAAAATTGCCATAATAACTTAATCAACAATCTGCTGTATCTGAGCATGCTCCTGTTACAGATATTGTGCAATTTGAAAGTAAAACACTGCAAGTGTCTGTATTAAGGTTAGTAGTGCAATATGAATCAAAGGAAATTTATAATGTATTTTCAGGTGACTTGCAGTTAACGTGGAGAAATTGTTCACCGAAACTATTGCTTTTTTGCGGCGAAGAACAACCTCGCCCTGCTGTAAACTTAAATGAGAGATATGTTTAAATTAAAGTTTGTAAATTAAATACTCTGTGTACGTAATATCTCGGCGATTGCTTGAACTGACATAAGTAAATACAGATACAACTTTCTTGATCCATTATAATTATATGGTATTCAGCTAGTACCTAAAGAAACCTAGTACCGTTATTGTCGGGGATATGACAGAAAAAAACAGTGATCGCAGCAGTATATAACGTATCATCGGCGTATGCACCTAATATTTATTTATACGAGTACAGAACAAGAAGTTAACATTCGTGTACCTTGTAAAATATTCCGCGTTTTATGTACGATACATATACGCGCAGCATGCTTAAGCGAGTGTAAAATTTTAATAATTGCTTTCTGTGTTTTCGTAGCGGGACACCCTTTACTAAAAATTACCACATCGCAGCATATACGCAGTTTCTGCAAATCTGTACAGTATGTGCTCGGGAGTTGCATACTTAATAACCATATCGCAATGTAATTAGACGATGAAAAACGCTGCCTCGTCATTACGCACTGAGAATGTCATAAGGCCCTAATCCCAGTGGATTTTGACGCTACTTTTATTATTCAACAGTCATTGTGACTACGTTTTCACAGCGAACGTAAAAGCGGCACCTGGGCCGGTAAAAATAACCACTGATTTGAAAGCTGCAAACAAATTCAGCGCGCTTAATAAAAATTTCAAGAAGGCGAATTTCTTATCACAAATGTAAAACCACAATTTTATATTCTCGTCATGGACATTTTCAATAAAACTGTTTGCTGACACGGCCAAGTAATGCACGGGGCCGGTACACGGAGAAAGATTCTAATTTCGGAAAGACCAAAAACTGAATATAGATCACTGTTATGAATTGCCATTAAAATTTTGATTAAACTGCATAACAAGACGGGAGCTCCAAGCCTCCCCATAAATTTATGTCGTCACAGTTGGCACGGTCGACGGTCGCCGTTTAGAGCGCACCATACTGCGCCCCATCTCCACAAAGGCATTCCACACTTCCCGCAACGCCAGTGTAAAGACAATCGGGTCAGCGACAGCCTGCAGCGCATAAATGCCCCGTGCCAGCGGATAGAACACCGGGGGAAAACCCATATACGGCGCCAGCCCGTAGAACACCATAATCGGCGTCCAGCACAGTGCCACACTACAAGTGAGAAAGGTCAACATGGTGAAGGCGTGCGTATTCTCCTTCTGCTTGATGATGGTGATGGTCATCGAGTAGGCACGGGCGCGGTCACTGCGGGGTTTGGGCGGAGCCGGTGGGGCCATGGTCTCCAGGGAAATGATGGTGTCCACCCGTGGGAGGGTGGTGTTGGCTTCGTCCGAGGGTTTGCTGCTGGGCTTGGAGTCGGAGAGGTTGGTGACCTTGCGGGATTTCTTTCGGAAGTACCAGATGAAGGGGTACGCGCCCACCACGAAGATCTCCGCTATGTTGTAGATGAGCCAGTGTACAGCGCCCGACCACGCCGTCTAAGCAAAACACAGATATATTATAAAAATATTAATCCGGTTGTTTTAAAATGGCCTCCTGTTTGATAGTCATTACGGTTATTGCTTTGCTCAATGTTGCCAACAGTGGAGAGAAACGCTGAAATTTTTGTAATTTTATACGGTATGTGTTATAATAAATAAGTGGGGAATCATCAAATGTGTTCGTAAAGTGATTGTAATCGTAACTTATCGTTTTTAAATTACAGAAGTGAGAATTACTGACTTGCAACCAGGCGTTGCGGTTGCCAGTTTAGCGAAGTAGTCATTTTCATGAAAACTGGCCGCAGTCTTTTAAGTTACCTTTCCATATACCGTTTTTACGACAAAATGACGCACTTGTCATGAGTTATGATTCCCTAAACCAGATCGCGGCAAAAAGTGAATCCCGCTTAGCGAAAGGCGGATCATCCTTACAGCTTTAGTTTTTGCATCAATGCAAACGTATCATTATACAGTAGTCACTAACATTTTGCCAGTCCGTTAACGCATCATTTACTAAAACTGTTTATTTCAAGTAATTCCGACAAATTGCAATAGTATATATCATAATATATGCTATGTGTATTAATAACATTGTACGGTAGTCTGTATATCTGGAGCAAATAGAACAGTCAACAGTGCTAGGTCGGTGTTATTATGCAAATATTCATCAAAAATGCATGTTTCGGGGGTGAGTTAATAGAATTTTCTTTTACTTAATGAGTTGCCAGAATAAGAAAATGCCCTTTTACCTATAATAATGTTTGACGCACAGAGTTGTAAGCTAAGAATAATCCGTTTATTCGCTTACCAGGATTTGACAGACGGAATAATCTTTAATCTGGTTTTGTGAATCAGACAAGCGTCACTTTATCGCACATGCCATGTGGAAAGCTTATGGCTCTTATAAAAAAATGATTATTTGGTTTACGTCTGTCCCATTTCGGATTACTCAACTGCAACTTCCGTGACCCACTGATATACAGTATTTCCTGGCTTTTTTATTTTATAAGCGATAATTTATGAGCAAATTTACAGTACTCTCGATTCTTAACCATATTATTACAAGATGTGCAAACTATAAGCCTTTGACTACTGTGCCAAAACCGCGAAACAAAAGCCAAATTTCTATCGTATTAATTCAAAACAGGGAGCTTCTAAATGTACAAAATACTGATATATACTTCTGTAGTTGATAACTATCTCGTAATCTGATTAATACGAGTATTATAGCGATTGCTCATAGTGTTATATAGCTTCCAATTACAGTATTCATGAGCGCTTGCAGTGTATTGTACCGTTTGCACGACTAAAAACCGTAGATGCCTTGTTTTAGCGCACGTTGCGCAAACAGGCGTTTCTCTGTTCGAACCAAAGCTGTCGGTTTGTGGGAGGTGGACTTTATTGTTTAGATTTTTGAACCGCGGACCGAGTTCACCGTGCAGGCTATTTCCACTACCTGTTTTGGGTGTACATGGTACCTGTGTTTCCATATTAACTTGACATCCGAGTTTTTCCAACGGCTGCCGATACCACAATCCGTCCATGACCAGTCCCGGAACAATCAACACGTGCACATAACCCCATATCCCCACACAAATCCACACCGCCACCCGCTTACTGTGGTGCAGCCGATAGTGCAGCGGAAAGACAATCGCCCAGATGCGATTAGCACTGATGACCACGTGACACACCATCGTGCCGCCGCTGACCGCGTAACTCCCGTATAAATACAGCGAGCAGGCAACGTGCCCAAACGTCCAGCGGCCGTACAGTTCGAAGAGGACATCCAGTGGATTCTGCAGTAAAGCGATGATGATGTTGGCCGAGAAGAGGTTAATGAGGTAGATGGTAAAGGGCGTCCGCAGGTGGGGATTAGCGTAAAAGACGTACAGAACCGTGGCGTTGACCAGCAGGACCAGGAGGAAGATGATCAGGGTGAAGATGGGGACGGCCGTCCATTGGGCGGCCGGGGGCGAGACGGTGGAAAAAATGGAAACATTCAGCAATGCGGAAGTATAATCCGTTGGCGTCGTCGCGTTTGGTGTCATCTGACCTACGTGTCAATACATTTAGTAGTCGCAGAAACGTAAAATATAAAAATCTATATCAAGTATAATGATATTAGCTTTTTTTTAAGTATTTTTTTATAATATAAAACTAATCGGCAGCTGCTTTTTTTGCAGCAGATTTCAAGCGTTAAGGTCATCGGATTGGCGGATTGCTCAGCCGAATTCAGTGCATACCTGCTCTAATTAAGAATTTGCTAACGAACTTTGGTGTAAAGAAGAGCACAGCTTGCACAAATGTCAGATAAACCAGAGAAAAGAATAAGGAAAGAGGCGCGTATTTCTGATGTAACGGTATGGATACAGGATATCACAAGCGCATATATGGGCATATATGTATCTTCTACATACTGCAACACGCCGTAAGTTTAACGCATCTGCATCGCCAAATATATGGAGAGACAGCACAGTCACACTGTTCTTTGCAAGTGATAATCTATCAAGTGAATAAGGATTAATGGTAATTCCCGTCGAGGTATTAAAAAGTCTGCTAGTAAAATCCAAGCATGCGAAGAGGAAAAGTCAAAGCTTAAATACAGCAACCGCTAATCAACCCAGAATATGCGTGAAAACGGCCTTCATACGTTTAAGGCGTTGCTCTGCAAATTAATTTACATTTACAGGGATTTGTGCGCCTTACTGTGATTATCGGAAATGAGCATCTTTAATCGAGGTGGCCAAATCGGGAACACATACAGGTGCAACTCGTCCGGTGTCAGATTGTGCCGTAAAAACGCAACCGGCAGCGGATGAACATCTTCGATCCTGCTGCGTCAACGGCCAACCGGTGGGCTGTGTAGAAAGGCAGGCCGGGTATATACGCATAAACGTATTACATAATTAATCATTCGCCTGGATTCCCCGGTCTGCCCGCAGATTTCTTCCGCGCTGCGGATGGATGATTGGAGCGGTAATAATTCGCAGCAGCCACGTTTACTAAGGATAAACGTCCTTTTTTCCCGGTAATTAACACCTGAATTGTGTGGCGCGGCTTTTTATGCCGGGATGGCGATTTGATCTGGTGATTATCGCACGACGGATAATGCACAAAATCAAAGATCGACTACGCAGAACCAACCTGCTCACCCGGCGCCTGAAATAACTGCGCGCGCAATTAACCGCTGACACCGGCATAGCCTGCATGCAATCTGCCGCGTATCCGTTGTATCTTTAATGTTGTATACGGGATACAATATGTTCGCTTTGTGCATTATTAACTGGGACACCTATTGTTCCCGGGTTGCCGCGGGATGATAGCATCACGCAACGTACTCGTTGTGCGCCGGTTTACCTGGTAAAAACCTGGTTAGCGTGACCTCTGGACGATGTTAACGGCACAGAGAGACTACAACGTCTGTTGCTGTATAGCACGCAATGTACCGGAAATTTCCCGTTTGTGATCCAGAGGACCAGAATTCACATAACTCAAACCTGATTATGTTGACAAAACGTTGTCTTTTGACCGTTACGGTTTTGTATTGCAAGGGCTATTTATATTTGTGCACTGGTGTACACTTAACTGACGTCATACTTCCTGTCTTAGGGGAAACAGTCTGATAACCACATTACTGCGTAGACGTGCATCACTACTACCGTTTGTTGCGCGCTCCTGAGCGCTTTCTTACAGTTGCGCTCTTTGTACCCACTTAGTAAAAACTGTACCGACTTGTATTTATTATTTCTTAACTAACAGCCTAAACATTTATGTTGACCGCTGTAGATCCGCAGTAGTGACAAAATTATTGCAGTCAGTTCTACAAAACCTGTGCACTGTGAGCTAAGCTAGGGAATAACATGTGCAGGGAATTACAGTCCGAAAATCAGTTAGTTAGGAATTAAAGTTCGAAAATCACAGTTGCACCGTTTACTGAGCAACAGCTTCCCATTCTACAGGAGCAGCTTCCGGGGCGGCTACTGCCGGTGATTTGATTGGCGCGGCCTCTAATGCAGCCGAAGCGAAATTGCACGCTGCCGGATACAACGGCACGGTCATTTTTCGGGCAACGTCATCAGCAACGGCACATCGGCGTTTTGGTAGAGACGGCTGTAGTAATAATCGTAGAAAGAGGATGTCCTGCTGCAGTCGATCCACACTGAACTACCCGTCTCGGACCAGGGTGATCTGGTTGAACACCCCATGCAGTCGTCGAAAAGTAAAAGCATGTAGAGTGTCTTAGAGTCATGTTGGGCCAAAGATGCAAGGTCTCATTGCCGTTAACGTCGTAGCGGTGGAAGTCTGCAAGGCAGACCTGCATCATAAATCACTACGTGGCTTAAGTACTCAGGCAGCGGAAAACAAAGGTAGTATCCGCATCGGAGCCGGGCGGAAGGGTGCCGCTGCAAGTAAACCCATAGGAGCTTTGCTTTGCTGTCATCTGAGGAGGGTTGGATAATCTTGATCGACCTGGGAGGTAGCGAAGTTATATATACTGGTTAGGAACACTCAGTACATCCGTTCCACGCAGCCTGTCCAATGTCCCAAAGGCACATCACCGCAAGAGTTCTGGCCATAGGTCTCCACAGCCCGTTTGCTCTGTAGTCGGAGAAATTAGAAAATGCTTTACTTGAAAAAAAGGCTATACAGATACGTACTTTGATTGTACGGTGTTCCTCATAACTATGTACCTGGAGATTGGCGACTGCAACCACGGCAGTGATAATCAGGAATGATTGTACAATCAAACAAAACTGCTTCATTGTAGACTGCCGATTATACCGCGAAATTCGCTATTTCTTTTATAGGTACAAAGACAATTTCTATTTCACTTCGAAGTCGGCCAGCGCGTTAACTTCCGGAGCATTGTATAACGATCATTAGAATAAAGGCTAACGATTCGACTATAGAACAAAAACGCCTCGAGTTAATTAGAGCGGCAACGAAATGGTAGGATCAGTGTGAAAATTTAACCTTGTGTGCACAACACACCCAGTCACCCCACTCTCTTACTTTTTCGGTATGCGATACAGACTACGTTTTCGATCTATATAATAGACAAGCAGTTTTTCTAGCTTGCTTTAATCGATTAATATTACGGTTTTCATTCCTAGTGGAATTTTATTGACACCAGTAAGTAAATGAACGAAAAGTCATCACTTTCCATGCTGCTACCGTCAGATCGGTCGGCAATTACTTAACAGAAAATTAGCGCTCTGGAACCAGATTGCGAAGTCGGACTTCATTTATGCAGACGTTAATTGCTTTGGCCTTGAGCTTGTGAATTAGCGTTCGTCGACTTGTAGGCTGCATGTAGTCTGTTTTTGTTAGCGCTTCGTTGATTTTTCTCACTACAAGCATGACGAGAATAACATTTTTTCCAGTTCAAAGTTATCGTAACAATTAACATACTTCGCATGCAAGAATAATTTCATTTTGTTAACGAACTCCGTGTTGGACACGGTATCTCGCCGGAAATTTGTTAACTAGAACGAAGTACGAAGCAAAAAGTGGAGTGAGCGGAATGGAACTATTAAAAATCCGTGGTCATACTAGTTCTTTTAATGCTTACTTTTTCTTCAAGCAAGCTCAAAGCATCCTTCGTACAGACATCACATTCAATGTTCAAATGTTACAGTCAATTGTTACAAAATCTGTGCAGTGTAGGAGAAACAAGATCGGAAGTCGACAGCGAGCCGAAGGTCACGACCGCCTCATCTACTGAGCAGCAGCCTCCCCTTCAGCAGGAGCAGCTTCCGGTGCTGCTTCAGCGGCAGGAGCCTCGGCAGGCGCGGCTTCCTCCGGCGCCGGAGCGGCAACCTCCACACGGCCGGACGCAACAGCACCGGTCATTTTTCGGACAACGTCATCCAGCAGCGGCACATTGGCGCCCTGATAGAGACGGCTGTTGGAGTAGTCATCGAACTGGGCGGCCTTGCTGCAGTCCACATTGAACCACCAGTCGCAGACCAGGGTGATGGAGTTGAACACCTACAAACACACACCCACCAATCAGCGTTCAGTCGTTGACCAATGAAAGCTCGTGGTGTCATACGCTCATGTTGGGGCACAGGTACGAGGTCTGGTTGCCGTTAATGTCGCAGCGGTGGAAGACTGCAAGATAAACAGTTAATGAGCAAAAAGCCTGTTGTACTGGTCGCGTGGTGGCGTACCCTGGCAGCGGGAATCCGCGGAATTGTCAGCATAGAAACCTGGCTGATGGGTGGTGCTGCAGTCGAAGCTGCTGGGCGGAATGACGGCATTGTTGGGGTAATCTTGGCCAGCCTGGGCGGTGGCGATCAGGTTGTACTGGTCGGGCACGCTCAGTCTGGATTTTCCACGCAGTTGGTCCAATGCAGCAAAAGCCAACGGATTCTGGGTTTTCACAGCTCGCTTGCTCTACAGTTGCCCAAATAAGAAAGTGACTTACTTGGAAAAGTCTGCATGTATAAGGAAATTTTGCCTGTACTGTGTACGGTTATGCATAATGACTGCGTACCTTAATACTGGCGGCAGATGCCACAGCGACCACGGCAAGAAGAACCAGGGCGGATTTCATGGTGATTATGCTTGAAATTAGGCCGTTAGTATCCAACTGAACGTTGTTACGTTGCTGCTAATTAATTAGCTACCTGGACTGTTTGGATACCTGACTGCTGATTCTGTCGTTTGATTCACAGTTCTTTTATACGCATCAGGTCTGTACTCCACTTCGAACTTGGCGAGCGCGTTAACTTCCGCAGCGCTGCATAATAATCGTTAATTATTAGAAAATGAAGGTTAACGATTCCACCATAAAACAAAAGCGCCTCTAGTTAATTAATCAGAGCAAAGTCACACTGAATGTTAATGTGGAAAATTTGTCTGCACAAGTTTCACCAATGTCTGCACATTGTATCACTAGCGCGATGTAAAATTAATCCGTTCGAACAGCGTTGTGTCGTTAGACGAATAAATTCACCTTTTTTCGCCTAAACACCTCATCGGTGGTGTTTACACAATCCAAAATGACTTTTTTATGACTCGAATAAGTTAGAGAACAAAACTGTTGTCATCACATTTACCGTAGTTACTTACTCAAAAATCGAGCCGGTAACAAACGTACCATCTGCGCACTGCAGACAAATTGCGCACGCAGCTAGAACTTTTATACTCTGCAGAAATTATTCGCGTATGTGCATACAGATATATGCGTTTGTAGGCAAAAAAAATTTCAAGAAATTTCCAAGGATAAAGTTTGTCAATACCGGCGTCTTTTCGCTGTTGCACCTTAGGAACACTTCCCCTCCTATCTTCCCAGCCGGATGGTTCATACACACTCCCTTTTTTGCATCAGCGTGCTTATATGAGTTACAGATTGCAAAAATGCTATTTAAAGCATTTTTTTATATACAGAGGGTGAGTCAGTTAAGTTGTCACAATTTTTCATAAATTTATTATAATCTCCACACAGATTGCTTTTCAGAGGTGCTCCATCTGAAAGACCTTTCTCTAAATCATCAACGTAACACATTTTCTCCTAGTACCAAGCATTTTTCGACTACAACGGACAATTGTCTGCGCGACAGCCAACAAACCACGAAGCGACGTCCCTAGCTTTCCCTATTAATTTTTTGTTAAATTCCGTTCACTTCACAACCCTTATTTTTTAGACACAGTGGGCAGATTTATGAGCATATTTCGCGCAGCTTCGGGAACAACGTGGAAAGAAACGAAAATTCGACATGGTGATACATGTAGTACTGTAAATAAAGCACTAGAAAGTAGAAATCACATCAATTTCACTGAGTTTTGTATAACGAAACAGAAAAAATCATCCAGTACTGCTAAGGCTGAAAATTTAAACATGTTTTAAATGTGCAGGGATCTGGCGCGGGAAAATGGCCAAATGGGCCGTCTTGGGGGGGGGGTTGTGGGTAAAACCCGGAAGAAGATGACACGAGGTACTTCTTGTGTAGTGCAAGAGAAACTTACAGCATTTTACCTTCTGAGCATCAGTACTTGACGACGTATATTATCTTTGCATGTACAAGTACTCCCCAAAATATTCCCAGCTCTTGTTCCGTAATACCGTAATACAACGTTTCTAATGCTTCCCGCAAACTTGCCGGCTACTGTTCGTAAAAACCGAGTCTGTGAACCTTTAAGCGCAAAAGCATGCTGCGGGCCGGAGAGCGGACTTATTGCCATTTCGACTATTTAGGCATTATTTGCCTGAAAGACAGCGGGGTTATCGGCATTAATTTCCAGATTTATATTTTTCCAGTTTAGATTTTTGAAATTTCGGATAACTAGAAAATTAAGTCTAGCGAGGTAAAGCTTTAACCATTGAGAAACCGTCATTATTCTTTTATTAAGCAGTCTTCTTCAGCCACGCACAAAGAATCAGTCATACAGCGATCACATGGATTGTAAAATTGTTACAGTCTATTGTTACAAAATCTGTGCAGTGTAGGAAAACCTCATCAGAGGCCGACAGCGAGCATGCAGTCCAAAGGTCACAACTGCATGACCTACTGAGCAGCAGCTTCAGCGGGAGCAGCTTCCGGTGCTGCTTCAGCAGCCGGCGCTTCGGCAGGCGCGGCTTCTTCCGGAGCCGGAGCGGCGACCTCCACTCGGCCGGACGCAACAGCGCCAGTCACCTTGCGGACAACGTCATCTAACAGCGGCACATTGGCGCCCTGGTAGAGACGGCTGTTGGAGTAGTCGTAGAAAGAGGCGGCCTTGCTGCAGTCCACGTCGAACCACCAGTTGCAGACCAGGGTGATTTGATTGAACACCTGCAATCACGGGGAACCCATCAAAAACCCGTCAGCCAATCAGAACTCGCGAAGACGTACAGTCATGTTGGGGCACAGGTACGACGTCAGGTTGCCGTTGACGTCACAGCGGTGGAAAACTGCAATACAGACTTTTGTTGACCGGCACTGCTGTTGTAAAGAACCACACGGTAGACTCACTCTGGCAGCGGGAAGTCGCGGAAGGATCAGCATAGAAACCAGGCTGATGGGTGCTGCTACAGTCAAAAGATCCCTGCTCGATGACGGCATTGTTGGGGTAGTCTTGACCGGCCTGGGCGGTGGCGATCAGGTTGTACTGGTCGGGCACGCTCAATCGGGATTTTCCACGCAGCTGGTCCAGTGCAGCAAAAGCCAGGGGATTCTGGGTCTTCACAGCGCGCTTGGCCTGCAGTATGCAAAATCAGGAAATGATACCAACATCTTAAGGTGTTCACGAAAACGTCTCTTAAAAAACGTTGATAATAGTTTACCTTAATACTGGCAGCAGATGCCACAGCGGCCACGGCAAGAAGAATCAGGACGGATTTCATGGCGATTGTTAAAATCTGACCGTTAATGCCCAGAAAAAAGCTGCTGGTAATTAGGCTGATTGGACCTACTGCTGGTTATTTCGCCGGATTCGCAGTTCTTTTATATGAAGCCAACCTGTACCACCTCCATTCGAACTTGGCGAGCGCGTTAACTTCCGGAGCTGTGCATAATCTGTATTAGTGTAGAACGAAGGTTAACGGTTTGACTGCAGAACATAAGCGCCTCAAGCTAATTAGAGCGAAATCACGAATGTTAATGTGGAACATTAGGTTTGTACAACACACCCAGTCATCCGTATTGTATCACTGGCGCGGTTTCGTATTACCTCTTTAAATTGCTATAATATCTGTAACTGTAAGTGTAGCGAGTTCGCTTAAGCAATAAGCAACCCTAACGACGACGTTCGCTTAAACAGTAATTACACAAATCATAATGACATTTTGATGACATGAATAAGTGAAAGAACGAATATCAACATGTTTACCGTCGTTACCGTAAAATCGGTAATTAATTTACGAACAATGCTTTGAAATTGGATTACCGGCTTTTGCAGCATCTGTGCAGATGTCAAATGTCCTGGCCTTGAGCTTGCAAATTACAGCTCGGCATCTGATTTTGCAGACTCTGCTAATTTTTCCAACTACAAGTGAGCATGAAGGTAACGTCATTCTTTGCATTGCAGAGGAACCGCCGCACCATTAACGTTTAATATCAAAATACGTTATAATTACTTAAATTGTTAAAACAAATATAACAAAATTTTAAATATCGTTTCAATGGAAATGTGCCGGAACGTACAACTCTATCATAAATTCGTGAGCATTCAAGAGAGATTACGCTTTCACCGCTTCTAACGCTAACATTTTTTTTGCGTTGCTTTATGGATTTATCATTTCTGTGAAATAACAAAGCCATGACAACCGTTTATTTGCGCTGTACTTGTTAGAACTTTGGACATTTCGCCTAGCAGAAAAGCAAACATAAACAGATTTAGTTGCATTCAAAGAATGGCAGTTTCCGTTTAGCCAACCGTTGACACACGAGATGTTCTCGTGCAGTAGTACGTACACAATCATAATCGTGTAGAGCAAGACGAAGGGTAAGTTGGATAACGATCGTAGTTCAAGACCAACATGGACGTGGCCGAGAGTGGCATTAGTCTTTATTTATGACCTCCGAAAAAGCCGCGCATGTTCAGCAGTCGCTGCTAATTAGGTACATAGCGATATTTTATTTCGGTGTGCAATTTAGTGATTTTATTACACTGTAGCGCGAAGTTCGATCGCTATAATGGATGGATATTAGGGTACAACTTGTGCTTTTGCAGGTGCAACAATGTTTTACTTGGGACGATTTTATTTTTAAAGAATTATAGAATTTCTGAGGATTCTAATGATACTAACAAATTGTAAGAACGAAATGATCAGAGTATAAAGCGGTCGAGAAATCGCCTTGTTAATAACAGAATTATTTATGTATGCAGGGTACGTATATGAGCGTAGTGTTGTGTCAGAGAAATGGAGTGAATACAGGTACTGTACTGCTACCCTGCACTTGTCCATACTTTTGTACGGTATGAGTCCACTGTACTGTAGGCGAGTGGGAGCTAAAGCCGCTCACGTTCAGTCAGCTGCCTGCAGTCTGCACGCAGTTGCAGGCCGTGTATGTGAATCGTGAAGAGCGCTCATACAACGTACGTGCGCTTGCACTGCAAAATAAATGGACAAGTGCAGGGTAGCAGTACAGTATAGACTATTTAGCAGGAAATCTGCGTGCAAAAAATATTTAACTGTTTGTCAATTAATTTTTTTTCTCCACAACTTGAATTCAAAAAGCGTGATGACACTGAGACGTCTCTTGTTATTGTTCTTTGTTAGGCTGTTTGTGATTTTGAGATCCTCCACAAATCTTGTCGTTGATACTTGGTATGTATTTTTGCTAATGCAGTTGGTGTTCGAGGCACATTTCGGCTGTTCTACATAGTTTAACGACGAATGTACATAATACGTATTTAGTAAATTACTCTTTAGTAAGGTTAACTAAAATTGTGAGTTGCTCGTTGTGGTTTGCTACTTGGGATGTCTGATACGTAATCAGACTGTGGTATAAATTAAAGTTAATTGTCACTTAGCTAATGTTAAATTGGCGCAATTTACGTATTCCTGTACAGTTGTTTCCCTGTTAATCCCGGCACCGGCAGCATGGTGCCGTGTGCATTTTGCCTTTCGCGCGTTACAGCTCGCTCTCACTCGCATTCGTGTTTTCGGCTACATTCATGCTGTTACGTTCGAATTTTTGGAATTTCGCTAAAATCTTCCAGCAATACCCTTCGTGTCGTTAATTAACGGTGATCAGAAGCTTTCTGCATAATGCCAACAAAGAAAAAGCCTAACCGAAACCCGAGCCCGAAAAAACCGCGCTCTGGCGGCGGCACCAGAGGAGGCCGGGCTCCACAATCCAGGACGCGTCCCAGTCGAAAACGCGACCGATCCCAGTCCCCTGCTCCTACAATCAGGTCGAAAGAAAGCCGTAGTTGTGGATCCACCGGTACCCGATTTGCAAACCATGATGGTGCGACAGGACCAACAGCAGCGACAAATCCAACAGCTCCTGGATATTGTCACACCGCTGACACCCAGGGAGCTTGGGGTTCCCCGGCCTATTTCTCCAGCAGCTGCATCTGTCATCCAGATTGAGTCGCAAACGGACGGAAAAAGGGATGTGCACCAGCAGAGGAAGCAGCGGACGCGCGCATTGCCGACGAAGAAGTAAAAGCAGCAGTTTCCAGGAGCCGCTCGTCGTCTCGCAGCCGCTCACCCGCCCGCCCGCCGATTTTCGACCGTCTGGGTCCACATCCCTGCGGTCATCAACGAAGCGGATACCGCGCATCATCGTCCGCTCGCAACGCTCTGCTCGATCGAGCGAAGCACCTGCCAGCAGTCTCCAGCAGGGTTCGCCGGCGACTAGCGGACCTAACGCGGTACGTCGATTCTGATTGCTTGCTACCAAAAAACCGGGTGGAAAAACCGAAGGATGGATGCTCCAAGCTGGTAATGTCGAGAGGACACGTCGTGTTAAAGCCAAACGGAGTGCGCGTAGTCGTTGACACCTTCACCTCCTGGATCCGCGCCTTCTCCGGTTCCTGGCATACCGCGTCACAATCGTGCCGGAGCTAGCCACGGCCCTGGCTAAGTATCAAGATCTGATTGCGGCATACATCAACAGGGGGGTTCCGACCGCCCATTGGCTCTAGTATGACCGGCAATTCAGATCGCTCATGACAAGACACCCTCATGAAGTTGACATGTGGGCCCGCCAGCATTACGACACTTATGCCGACTATATTCAGAACACCCTTCCCGAAGAGGCCGCCAACGATAGCACCTCAGAGGGCAAGACGAAAAAGCCAGCAGCATCCGCAGACAAATGCCGAAATTGCGGAGAAGTGGGACACTTTATTGCCCAGTGCAGGCAACCGCGTCGTGGCCAAGCAGGTTATGTCCCGCCCTTTCGCCCCACCCCAGCAGCGGTGGGCAACATCTGCCGCAATCATAACTACAGTCACTGCACTGAGCCCTGCAAATATCGGCGCCTTCACGTCTGCGAGCACTGCCGGGGAAAAGAGCACAAAGCACCCCAGTGTAAGTCCAGAAGTCGCTGAGTCGTCGGGAGTTCCTGCAAGCGCTCATACGCCCCTGCGTGCTGACGCTTTCGCAAGGCTGCTCACGGATCACCCTGACAACCATTTCCGTCAGTTCATCCTCATCATTTTGCGCGCCGGAGCCGACATTCGGTATACAGGACCGCAACAAAGCCGCTGTACAAATAACTCGCACTCCGCACGAGTTCACCACGATGCGCTCCTGCACAGCATCAGAAAAGAAGTTTCACTGGGTCATACCATTGGACCATTTTCTTCCCATCCGTTACCCCACTTCGTTGTTAAGGCGCTGGGGTGCCGTCCGAAGAAAGACGGAGGCCATCGGATCATAATAGACCTTTCTCAATGCTACGGAAACAGCGTTAACGATCACATCAGGGGTGACGAGATGCCCCTGCAGTACTGTTTAGTCAATGACGCCGTACGCCTAGTTGTTACCGCCGGCAAAGGTGCAGTGATGGCCAAGATGGACGTCAAGTCCGCGTTTCGTATCACTCCCGGCCGGGCGTGCTGACTGGAACCTACTGTTATTTAAAATCAGCGGTGAGTACTTTTTCGATGTAGTGCTACCATTCGGTTGCCGCTCCTCGCCGTACATCTTTGAGTTTTTCTCCATTGCTATTCACTAGTGTGTGGGAAAGAGGGCACGGCTGGATACTTTGCTGCACTACGTAGACGATTTCTTCTTTATCGGCAAACCCCGGACGATCGAGTGCGATCTGCTCATGTAGTCCATGAAGGCAGCGTGCAGCGCGCTTGGGGTGCCCTTAGCTCAGGACAAAACAGAGGGCCCCGCTACTCGGCTGACATTCCTCAGCATAGAGATTGACTCGGTGGCGCAAACTCTAAGCCTGCCCCAAATTATGCAGCAAGAAATCTTCGAAACCCTTAAGAATTGGATCGGAAGGGACTCCTGTACCACTAACGAGCTGTAAAGTCTAATTGGCACGCTATCCTTTGCCTCAAAATGCGAACCATCCAGTCGGCTGTTTTCAAGGCGGATGATAATGCTGCTTTCCGCCTTCCACGGACGTTCCAATATCACCCTCACCGACGACTTTCACCGTGACCTGAATTGGTGGAAAACGTTTTTGCCCCAATGGAACGGTACTGCTTCTTTCTGGAGCCTGGCTGGACCACCTCCGAAGCTTTGCATCTTTACACGGATGCGTCCGCCACGCTCGGGCTGGGAGCCTTTTATAACAACGAGTGGTTCCAGCTGAGGTGGCCGGAGTGGATCTCGCAAAGCTCGCCATCAATTGAGTACTTGGAGATGGTCCCCGTCCTCCTTGCGGCTATTGTTTGGGGGGACGCTTGCGGCGACGGAAAGTCATTTTTCATACTGACAACGCCGGCGCTGTGGAGGCATGGGCACACCTGCGCTCCAGCAGCCCGGCGTCCTTGATCTCATGCGGCACTTGACGCGGGCGGCGGCTGACAGTAATTTTACCTTAACCTTGAAACACGTTTGTGGCGTTGACAACGGCATAGCTGATGCCTTATCTCGTTTTCAGAAAGAGTGGTTCCGAAAGCTGGCGGCCCAGGCGTTACAGTCGCCAACACCATGCCCGGACATCTTGGGGAGCCTGCAGGAGTCTTACGGCCAAACCCAGTCCTGCAGCGCCTCCCCGGTGCAAACATTTCCTCATCATCCCGAACAACATACGATTCTTCGATGAGCCGCTTCCGAACATTCTGCGTCGCAAATCGCGTAACGCCACTCCCAGCAGCTCCTGCGACGGTAGCTGCGTTCGTCGCGCAGCTTTTTGAGGACAAGGCAGATTATCGGACATGCAAAGTGCATCTGGCGGCAATTCACAATCACCATCGAGAAGCAGGGCTTCCTAACCCAACAACCGACGATCTGGTCGTGCGGGCGGTTGGTTGATACAAACGGCTTAAGGGTCCGATGCCTGACAAAAGTCTACCGATTACGATGAACGTGATGCGCATGCTTAAAACGCGACTGACTAAGCACGATAACACCGAGGAGGCCGTGATGATGTGGAGCGCGTTCTGCATGGCTTTCTTTGGGTTCATGCGAGTCAGTGAGCTAGTCAGCAAGACGTCCAGCTCGTTCGATGTGACAACAACTCTGACATGCGATAATATACGGTCGACGGGCGGGCGTGTGATAGTCTCTCTGAAACGGACGAAAACGGACCAGTGCGCAGAAGGCACTAGGATCGAGCTCACCGCCACACACCGGCCTGTGTGTCCCGTACGCGCCATCGAGGCGTACCATCGACAGCGAGAGACGCAAGGCGAAAGTGCGAAGCATTTTTATCGCTACCCCGACTGTCGCTACCTAACGCGGGAGCGGTTGGACCGATGCCTGAAGTCTCTCCTGGAAGGCCACCCCGATCACCGGCGTTTCAGTACGCACAGCTTCCTCACTGGAGCGGCGACCGAAGCTGACGCCCAAGCGCTACCGAAGGAAGAAATCAAGCGAGCCGGACGATGGAAAAGCGATTGCGTGGACCGTTACATCCGGCCTGATGCGCTTACCAACCCGAATTCTATCGGAGAAAAATTTGTTTGGGGGCCAAGGGACCGGGCATAGGCGGAAGGTGCCGGCAGTGAGCAATCTGTACCCCAAGGTAAGATACTCAGCTGTAATTGCGCATTTCCGGCCATGCCGGCACCCTACAAACCTCAGTTACCGCACGGAAAGTCTGCAATATCCCAGCATACCGGATCCCAGGATCGAAAATTCGCTTACAATTTAACATGTATTATGAAGAGCATTGGAACGCCAGAGTAGTACAGTATTGCGTGGCTGGAAGATGGGCCCGAAATGGTGAGTACGACGTTTTGCACTGTCAGCTTTAAATCGCACCAGCTTTAAAATTTGCAAAACTTCTAAATGTTCAACTTTTCGTGAATACGTTTTTGATCGCAAAATACAAATACTTACCCTGTTTTTATCGCGATTTTATTGGAATCTTTTTTCTAATGTCGGCATTTTTGACCAATTTTTTGACGATAATTATTGACTGGTCGAACGTCATTAACGACCGAACCCATCCCCGGCACGATCAGATCGAACCCATTCCCGGCAAATTTGCAAAACTCCTAAATATTCAACTTTTCGTGAATACGTTTTTGATCGCAAAATACAAATACTTACCCTGTTTTTATCGTGATTTTCTTGGAATCTTTTTTCTAATGTCGGCATTTTTGACCAATTTTTTGACGATAATTATTGACTGGTCGGACGTCATTAACGACCGAACCCATCCCCGGCAGAACATCGGACAGACCAGACGTGGCACTATGTCCGCCAGAAGACCTGTGTGGCCGCAACGAGACCACCATGGTGGTGTTCCATGTTGTTCCCAGTAATGAAGGGTCGTTTGCCGGCGTGGATGAAGTGATCTCCACCAAATGATCAAACCTGATGATATGTCAGTTGATTTTTAAGTAGATTTATTAAGTACTTATTACGTTTGATACACAAAATGGGTTGCCCTGCCCTAACGTTGCCTAAAACAATTTGTTTTACTGACAAGAGAAGGAACGATTTGCTTAAACACTCAGAGTTTGTTGCCATGTGCTGAATCCAGACTCAAGCGCTCTAGAAGGACAGTAGTGCGGCGGCTTCCTCCTGCTTCTTCTCTGTCGTATATGTACGACGAATTCTCTTGCCGACTTGCCGATACTGCTGTAAGAAAAAGATAACTTAATCACTCCTCACGGTTTTAAAATTGTAAATTAATTTTTTAACTGGACAGACCAGACGTGGCACTATGTCCGCCAGAAGACCTGTGTGGCCGCAACGAGACCACCATGGTGGTGTTCCATGTTGTTCCCAGTAATGAAGGGTCGTTTGCCGGCGTGGATGAAGTGATCTCCACCAAATGATCAAACCTGATGATATGTCAGTTGATTTTTAAGTAGATTTATTAAGTACTTATTACGTTTGATACACAAAATGGGTTGCCCTGCCCTAACGTTGCCTAAAACAATTTGTTTTACTGACAAGAGAAGGAACGATTTGCTTAAACACTCAGAGTTTGTTGCCATGTGCTGAATCCAGACTCAAGCGCTCTAGAAGGACAGTAGTGCGGCGGCTTCCTCCTGCTTCTTCTCTGTCGTATATGTACGACGAATTCTCTTGCCGACTTGCCGATACTGCTGTAAGAAAAAGATAACTTAATCACTCCTCACGGTTTTAAAATTGTAAATTAATTTTTTAAAGCAGTATTGTGTATTTTGTTTGTTTTTTACTTTGCGAAAGTATTTTGTATTAATTGCTGAATGAGTAATTAATTCAGATACGCAGTTTTAAATTTAGTTACGATGAATGACACTTTCCTTTTTGAACTGCTCATCCTGCAGACACAATCCACCAACGTGACCTGCGATTTTGAAGATTTTAAGACCTACGGCTGGTAGTCTACAAATGGCTGGCGCCGGTGAGCGGTCCCCACGGTCCGCCCGGTTACGGCATCAGCGAGGTCATGGAGGGCTGTATGCTGGTCAGCAGCAGCTCCCTGCCCACTCTCAACCGGCCCGTCACCCTCATCGTCCGCAGCAACATTTTCCCTGCTGTCCGCAGCGTTTTAAGCTTTTTCTAACGCGCCTACGGCCCGTGCATCCACCCCCTGCAGTTATTCGCCATCCGGGCTTATGAACGTTTCGTCCGATGGGAGACCAACAATTTCACCCAGCTCTGGGTCAACGACGTGGCACCCTTGTGTTTCAACGATTCCTCCAAGGTTAGGTGGTGTTCCTTGACTTTTGACTGGTCACGGCCTGGTGGCGGTGGCCACCCCTCGTGGCTTCACCGGCCGCCGGGCCAGTAGCATCAGTCCCAGCATCAGCGCTGTTCGGTCCATCAAGCATCAGTCCCATCATCATAAAAACACTGTTCGGACACCAGCCGGCATTCCAGGTACCTAAATGACTTACTGCACAGTCCCTGGAAATATCCATGGAACTGGCAAATATCCTTTTATTTTTCTTAATGATCATCGGCATCAAGTACTTAACAATTGGTTTACTCAGAGTTGCAAAACAGTTACTTTTTTACAAATAACGGACATAAAATCACAATTGTGGGTGTGCAACAGCCATTTTTCAACGGTTTTCCTGTGGTCTCACTATGACGTTTTCAGTTTAATCTTATCGACTTTGGGAAAATGCAAGTGCATGTTAAAAATTAATAAATGTTTTTCTAATTAATTGTTGGAAATTTAGGTCAGCTTCAAGCGTAATTTAAGCCGGTAACAATGGTTGGAAAAAAACCGCTTCCTGTCAGTGTCCGTAATTATTTGGTGCTGTTGCAGTTCTATAATTATCGCGTCAGTGGTTCGTGGTTCCATCGGCGTCTCGCTGTCACCATCGCCGGATACCTGGATGCCGAGAGCCCCCTGTACAGTGTACACCGTCCCCCCAACCATTCAGGAGCAGTGGCTGCCGGTTATACCGTCACCTTCTGCAGCACTGAGCAACAGGTGATCCTCCGGGTGTCGCTAAGTGCTCATTAGTCATTTCAACTATCTGGCACCGGACCAGGTCCTCGTCATCCAGGACACTATTGGTAAATGGTATTTTGAAAAACATAGCGATTTTAAAAACACTTCTTTCTCAGAATATAAAACAACAAGGAAAATGGAGTATTTTTGAAAACAAAATAGGAAAATAGGCAATGGAATACTTTTCAAATAAATAAAAAATGAATAAAGAAGTTAAGGTCACTTTGATTGAGAATTTTTTCCAAAAATTCGAGAATAATACGTAAGTAGAACTCCTCTTGGATTAGATGATAGCAAATTAAATGGAATATTTTTTTAGAAAAAAATATATGATTGTAGGAAAGAGGAAAAGAATGGTTGTCAAATAAACAAATAAATGTTTTTGCTGTTAAATGCCGATCATTGTCCGGATGCCTGCTTTCGATGGGAAGTGGCTGCGGAGTGGGATTTTAAGGATGGTTTGTACGACGGATGGGAGCTGGGACTGATGTTGACGGTTAACGGGCAGGAGACGTCGGCGAAGGGCTTTGTTGTGGCCAGTTACAGCAGTGTACCGACGCCGTCGTACAATATTGAGACCGGTAAGCACAGAAAACTGTGCTGAATTTAAATGTTATGCATTCGCTGCCAGGAATTTTATTTGTATGGTGGATAATAAGAGTTTTGTTACACCTGCTTTGCAGAGATCTAGAAGCTCGTCATTAAGTTTCGCCGACGTACAAAGAATTCTTAAAAATACTGACCACAGAATACAGATCATATACCGGTATTTTGTACGATGATATCGTAGAACAGTGGCACAATAAGTTGTTGCAGCAGCTAATGAAGTCTTTCCGCGGTTGCCATGCGCAGTGATAACATACTTTGCTTGATAAAAATAATACACTTTTTTTACAATATAAATTCTTTTGATTATCCAGTCTACGTAACTGTTGAGAACGGTAGCCTATTCAAGTGGAGACTGTAGTCGCCGTTTTTGCACACCGAAAATGTCAGAATTTGATTGCGATTTTATCGGCACAAAATTCGGGAGCGATAAAAGCGGTCAAAGGCACTTGTATCGTGATACTTATTAAAGGTTAAACTAGTTATTCATGAAGGTTTCCTTATTTCACAAACGAATTTCCATATTCCTTTTTTAAAATTTACAACAGACTCAGCAGCCAGTGCGACTTGTTAGGTACTACATACATCGTGCCATTTATCAAAGATGTAACTGTGCGTAATAATGATAATTGTTTTAGGAAATGTGTCAGTATGTTATGGTGAGTGCCGACAGTGATAAAGTCCCGGTATTTAGACAAACAAATGGGGAGTGACGTTTTCCACGTGGTGAAACAAAATGTAAGTTACACATTACCGCGATTGCTCCGCTGGCGACAGCTTCCTGGTGAATCACGGCTACTTCGACAGCAACCCGGCAAGTCTCGGCCGTCCGCTCGCCCAGCGCGACCTTTGCGGCTGAGCGCAGCCAGGGCAGTATTTCCTTCTGGTGCTACAGCCACGGCCAGTTCCCGGCCACCAACAACCTGGGCGTGGTCGTCATATGGACGCCGTCCTGCACAACGTGGAAGCGGCGTTCCATCGAGACCACGCTCTTCATCGAGGTCATACCCGGCCGCTGGAATTACGTCCACCAGACCGCAATCATCCCCAAGGGTGACCACTACGCCGTGGTCTTCACCACGCAGATGCACGGTGCGAAGCCTTCATGTTATCGATGAAACCCTTATCTTGAAAAGCTAGTGAAAAAAATCTAAGAAACATTCGTTATGCATCATGGCACACCAGCAACGCCAACCGTCAATGGATGCAGGGTTTGTGTCTGAAATTCGGAATAAGACCTTCAAGGTGAGTAAATAATATTAATTGTTTGTGGGTTGGGCGTGTGAAGAATGTGGCCTGTGTCGCTGGAATCTGGAATTCGAAGGAACATTCGCTGCGCGCGATTTCGTGATTCGTCTGGATGCGTTCCATCTGGCGGAGATTGGACCGGTGGTGGGTTGTCTCGAGTGGACGACACCGCGATCGCCTGTTTCTGTTACGACAACGGGACCGGTCACTCTTCTCACGATGCCCACGACGCTCTCCGTTGTGTGGCATAAGCTGATTGAACTTTCTCGACTTGGTATTCGCGGCAGTAATTTTCCCATGTAGTCGGCGTATTGGACTTTTTCAGCTACTATTCCGACGACATTGTCTATTTTAATTTTGTGTAAATGGTGCTTAATTACATTCATGTAATTAAGCACCAGGTGGCACCAGGTGCAGTTCACCGTCAACAGTAACAGTTTCAATGAGATAGGGTCATGGTCAATTAGCATACAGCGTATATGCACCGGGTGGTAGGGCGAATGATTGGCCCTACCATGATGCGAATGACGAATCAGCATGGATCCACTTTCGTATGTAACAAATTTGCAGGGATCTGCTTTTATGTAACGAGACGTGGTGGAGTTTGGTTCTAGTTTGAATTTGTCGTCAGTATGGAATCGCAGGGTCGAATCGCTATCGACGAAATCGTTTGGATTGGTGACGAAAACGGTTAGTACTCAGAGGCGCTGTATAGTCTACATGTACGAAGAGAAGCAGTGCTGATAGAATACGTAGCACTTTCAATTTTTGTGTTTGCTTAATAATAAAGTAGAAACGGAAGCGAAACAGCCACTGATAGAAGTTAGAAATCTTTAGAATAAAACTGGACGATTTCCGGCAGCTGATAGATTATTAATAACGCTACGACTGGACATCGTTACTGCATCGTTACTGCGTTTTCCAGCGTTACTGGAAAAACGTTACTGCATTTTAAAACGTCAACTTATGTGACATTACTACATAATTATGTTTGTGTCGGTTATCGCGATGCGGCAGTTACCTTCAAAATTCTAACAAAAAAGTCTGTCTTGGCGTCTCGCTGAGTCGCTGGCACTTGCAGCTGCTCGCACTCTGCAGTCTTTTCGTCCAAATTCCTTCGAATTGGGAGCTTTTGCCTTATACTGTGTAGTTTTGTTTCCCACAATTTATCAATCACGCATTTTTTGTTTTGCTCCTTTCTACCTTTCATATGCACTGTGCGGTACAGGACCTGAGGAGCCAGCACAGCACATTCTGTATCGGAGGATCGATGTTTTTTGTTTATAGTTTATTCCCATGTTAGGAGACTACAGAGAACAGCATCTGTCTTCTATCGCTGTTCAAAGCATTTAATCGCGTTCTTGTACAAGAGCCCCCAACACCCTGGTCCCTGCCGACCACCCCCGTCACCACGACTCCGTCCACTCTGCCCACCTGCTCCACGCAATCCCCAGACGTGCTCCTTCGCGGAGAGTCTTTGAGGATGGACCGCGGAGACCACGTGCCCCTTTCAATGGCAGCGTGTCAACACCGTCACAGCCGCACCGCAGGACAACATTGCACAGCCCGATACCCGTGGTAAACCTGATCTCTGTGATACTCTGAGATTGTCACTGCTTGGCAGATGATAATCCAGCTGTTGCAGGGTGGTTCTTGTTCGCGCAAGGCAGCGAGGTGACCACGGGGGATCGCGACGCACTTTGTATCCAGTTAGCTTACACTCCGTGCACGGACGGTTCTGCGCTTCTACGTGTACGCCACGGCGGCGGCCGGCGATGGAATCTACGTTAACCTGAATTTCGCCGACGGTGAGCAGGTGACGATTTCGCGACAGATCCTGGGCTCTGCTACCTTCAACAGATGGGCACAACACAGCGTGCTAAACGAGACACGCAACCGGGAATTCAGCGTACGTTGACTCGAATAGGTCTTGATCTGAAATGAATTGACCTGCCAAAATAGGGTGAATTGAACGAGAAAGTAACGCATACTGTTATTTATTGTGAGATACGAGTAGATTTTGATTTGTTTTACAAATACGCCAGACAAATTTTGTTCAATAAGTCTCTGCATATATCAGCAAGTTGTTATTTAGGCGGGAGTTTTTTAAACAGTTTTCTCGTAAGTAAGCAGAATGATTATCGCCTTCATTTTGGAAAAAGAACTGCACTTCTATTATGATTTTACGCATATGTGAAATTTGGAAAAATTGTAGAGAGGAATTGGGAAACACGAAAATACAACTGTTGTTTTATTTGTCTGTTTATTTCCATTTTTGAAATATATGGCGTAGCATTGTAGGAAAAGCGTAGAGGGGTGGTTGAGTAAGAGAATGGCAAAATTCTATTCAGAGTGGTTGAATGTTTCGCCATGTACGAAATTAATAAATTTCTGCATTCCTTTATTACAAAATTTTTGCTGTGTTCTTCTTCCATCAGTTGGTTTGTTTTGCAGATTGTGATCGGAGCCGGTGTGATTATTAATATATTATGCAACTAATTTAAACAGTAAATATAATAAAGGTAATTATGTAAAGTGACGGCTTTCAATAATTCAGCAATATCGAACATTTAGCGAATTAAAGAAGAAAAAAATGATAATCGAAGAAACCTTAAACTGCAATTCGTACTTGTATCTGTAAGTTGTAGTTCATTCTTTATTTTACTAATATTTGATGCTGTAATTACCGGCATTACACTACGTATTCGTCAGCACGCATGAGATTTCGCCACGTAATCATCGTAGGCAACAACCGAGATTGCTTTTTGCAGCTGGCTTTGTACTGCGGCGCCAACAACTGCATAATCTGCGGTCTGGACGAGATCCAGCTGGAGAACGAGGCCGACCTGGAGATACTGCCCTTCCCCGGCAGCGGCAGCACCCCCGGGGGCACCCTGCCCACCAGCCAGCCCCTCCCCTCCGAGCCCCTCCCGGCAGTGACCTGTGACTTCGAGGACGGCTACTGCAAGGGCTGGCTGAACATCGGCGACATCCTGTGGGAGCACACCAACGACTCCGCCCCCTTGATCAGCGCCGGCGCCTACCAGGGCTCCGGCTTCGTCTACAGCACCCTCAGTTTCGGGGGGCGGGAGTACGCCGCCAAACTGCGCACGGAGGAGATCAACGCGCTGACGGACGAACTGACCTACGGGAAGGTGACCTTTTGGGTCAATCACGCCAACGCGGTCAGCCACTACCGCTTCTCGGTGCATGCCATCTCCTCGGTGCTGGAGCACGATGAGATCGCCTTCGCGGATCCGGCCACGGATACCAACCGCTGGATTCAGCAGGAGGCGTATTTCTGCTTGAACGGACCCGGGCATTTGGTGTTCCGCGCGGAGCACTCCGACGTGCTGACCAGTATCGGCTTGGATGATATCGTGGGAGAGCTTTACCGAGGTGCGAATATTTATTGATTAACTAGTTATTATTCAAAGAAATCATGGTAATTAAGTAACAGTTAATTTATAGTTAGGGTGACACTATAGCCACCCCAAACACCTCCGCTTTTTAAGGCCACCCCTTTCCCGCACCCCGTTAATTATAGGAACCCTTTTTTCATTAATGAATTTCTTTTTTAGACACTCCATGTTTTTTATAGGCACCTCTTAAGTAAGTGAATTTGCGCACAGAATGCTTATACGACGATACATGTACAAAGCTTGTACGAGTACTTTACACGTTAGATGCGGTTACCTCTAAAAATCTCTATCGCCTTCGTCAGCCATACAAAGCAAAAATTAATGGCTACAGGCCCACAGATATAAATTGCCTACTGGTAAGGCGACCACTGTTACCGACGTCGCAAACCTTTTGAAACAAAGCGGAAATTATCGAACGTGGAGGAAGAAACGAACAAATGTTAAATCACGTCTTAAATTAAATTCGCGATAAAGATCCTAACATTTTCGTTGATGTAATTGCTTCCGACGCGGGAAAGATCACGAATATCACGTTAATTAGAGCAGAAACTGGATATAAGAGTGACGGCCGAGTAAGTTGTCGTTGGTATACGGTCAATGTCATCTGATCAGTCGAACAGACCAATTATTGGGTGGAAAGCATAATTTAAATTCATGAATTAGTGTAGTATCAAAATTCTTAAAATATCACGCGTTGCCCTAAATCAGTTAAAAATTAAAAAAAAACAACAGAAATTGGTGCCTATAAAAAACCAAAATATGGTGTCTATATCTCATTACTAGCTGAAAAGTGTGGCTATAAAAAACAGGGTGCGAAAAGGGGTGGCTATATAAAACGGGGGTGAAAGGGGGTGGCTATAGTGATTTCCTTATAGTTAATTAGTATTAACGAAAATAGTTTTTGTAAATTTGATTAGCCGTATACTGCAATAAGGTCAATTCGAGTAATAATATCTCTATTATTGGATATGTTAGGAGCCCGTGTGCTACGATTATCAGTATAGAATACGGACGGTAACAGTGGATTATGGTACAACCAGATCATTAAAAATAGGAGAATTATAGTGGGGCTGTATTCCGTAAATATGTAAAATAAAAATGTTTCTGTAGAAATACGCGTAGCATTTTTATACGTTTATGTGTGTATCGATATCTTTTAATATGGAACCGTTGTTGGTGTTTCTGTACTTTGATACCAATGAAGTAATTGGTCATGGAGGTTAATACTCGTATCTTGAAAGCCACCACCGTGCTTGCGCATAATTTTAACTAAACATTTGTATAATTTTGCAGAACCAGTGGGCAATCCGGTGTGTCCCATGCCGACGGCCGAACCGGTGACCACCAAGGCCAGCACGCGATTCCCGCTGGTGACCTCGAGCCGCACGGTGACTGCTACAGCTGGTCGCCGTTGCCGGGCGCCTCCTGCACTTTCGACACAGGCATTTGCGACGGCTGGGGATCCTTGGGCTTCTACCTACCCTTCGTCTTCGGAAACGGCCCCGTGGAGACCGGCGCCGGAATTCCCGACGACCAACCATGTGAGTACCCTATGAATGATGCAAATAACCAGAATTTAGAAAACTGAAATATGAAAATAAGGAATAACCCGATAAATTAAAGAATGGTTAAGATGAAATTTACCTGATTATTAAAATAAGGAAATATAAAAGGTGACCATTCCGCACACAACCTTTCGCTACCCTTTACTCCGTACACAACCTAAACAATTTTTGCTAAGACAGCTTTAAAGACTATGAAATTAGAAATGCGGTGGCGCTGAATGTAAAAATTAGAAAAATCAGTTACTCAATCAATTAGAAAATTAGTAACGTTGTATTTTGTGTCATCCAGCTTCGGGTTGCGCGATGACCAACTGCACCGTGCGTCCCGCGGTGCCCGACCAGCCCCAGGAACTGATCAGCGAGCTGGACGGCCCGAATGTGCAGGTGGAGGACGGGAAGTTTTTCCACGGACGCGTGACCTTTTGGTACTACTTCAACAACATCCGCGGCGACAACAAGTACCTGCAGGTGTATCTGACCACCATCCTCAGCACCGTAGTCATCTGGAACGTCGATCAGGGCCAGTCCGGGCGCTGGCGGTACGCCGAAGCGCATTTCGAGGCCGACATCGGCTTCCACGTGACCTTTGTCGCCGAGCACAGCCAGTGCGGCACGCCTGTTGCCATTGACTCCGTTTCCACTGAAAAAGATCAGTTGTTGCCTTTTTTTGTGTTTTAATAATTAGCCGGTTTCTTATGAAGCACTTAACTTGGAAAAAATCAGTTGAAATAATAGCGAAGCTGCGCCCAGATACGCAACATTTTCGTTCTATTATTTATTTTACTTGCCGATTTTTAATTTCTTTTATTCGAAACAGCCCCAAATGTGCTGGGTGCCGCGAAAGTTGAGGTACCAAAATTAGCAATTACGAAGCCATAGTACTGTTGTCTGGACTCATGGTGCAGTGGCTTTAGCATAATGATCGGTGTTCTTTGCCAGCTCAGGTAACCGTCAAAATTTGAGAGTGATGGAAATATAGAAAAAAATGTACCGCAACATATTTTTGCAGTTACCGAAACCTTCCCGTTTTTTAATTCCTGCTTGCTAGTTCTTATTGTCTTTCTGTTCGAAAGTGGCCCCAAAAAACTGCTGCATTTAGAGCGTCGCGAAAACGGAAACCTGAAACTTTCTACCATTGGACTACAGTACTGGTGTGGTAGTGCAGTGGCTAATATCATCGTCGGCTAGATTATGGTGTCAGTAACGGTGCAGGCATGAAAATTGGCGGGTTTCTAATTTGAAGTGGTGTAGTCAGAGTTGCAAATGTTTTTATTACTACTTTTTGCGTTCTCAAATAAAACGTATTCAAACAAAAACACAGACAATCAGGTCATCTAGAAAAATTACAAAAGTATGAGAAATAAATTCAAATTATCCACGCACCGAAACTGAATGCGAACCTTTGCGTTCTATGTGTAATTCCTACTTGGAAATTTTTAGTGTGTTTTTATGAGAAAATAACCCCGCATGTGAGTGCCGCGAAAATTAAAACCTTCAAAATATTGGACCATATTATTATTCTCGTAGTGCAGTGGTTAACGTCAAAGCTGACAGCGCTTTCAAATTTAATAATCATGGGATTTTGCGTGTTTATAATTTAAATTTTTATTCGGAGTCATAAATATGTTTATTACTACTTTTTGCGCGATCTCAAGTTAACAGTATTAAAACACAAACGTAGACAATTAGGTGAAGTAAGAAAAACATATCAAATTAGGAAAAATACCGCATTTCGAACCTGATGAATTAAAGTCCCAAAATGATTCTCAAATGATTTAAATTGTACTTTAATACCTGTTTGCTTCTTTTCAATAAGTATTTTTATCCATAGTGAATGACTGAATGGTAATTAATGTTTCATTAATGATCTTATTTTTATCATAGATTTATTGGGCCCCGAGCAGCAGTGTCCGCCGCAGAAGTTCGACCACACGGTGACATGCGACTTCCAGACCGACGAGCCGACCAACTATATCTGCGGATGGGACATTCAGTCCGGCAGCGGCATCACATGGAACTGGATCAACAGTAAGCAACATTCAATTTCCCTTTAATTGATAGTTAAATGCTTAAGTAAATTACATGAAAAATATAAGAACAAACATAAATAATTACTTTAAAAAAAATACGTAATTAAACGGATGAATAAATGTACAACTAAATGTAGATAAATAAACGATTTAATAATTACCTACGCATTTTTGTCTAGATGCCTCCAACTTCTTCTTGGCGACCATCCCCACCAACGCCTCGGCAGCCGCCCCGGCGACGCGCTTAATCAGCATGCACGTCAACCAGTTCCCGCCCAATCCCACCAAACTGACCTTCCGCTACCGCTTCCCGCGCGATGTGCACGGCGGTTACCTGAAGCTGAACGTGAAGATCTTCGAGGAAGAGTACGAAATCTGGCGCGCCACGCCCACTTTACAGTGGCAGACGGCGACGGTGTACCTGTGCTTCGAGCCGGGCTACCAGCTGGTGCTGGAGACCACGGCGCTGGACGTCAGCGTCGACGATTTCGTGCTGGTCGGCGAGACCGCGCTGGTACAGCCGGGCGAGATCGACGGCTACTGTCGCTCGCCGTTGGTGACGTGCGGCTTCGAGGACGGCTTCTGTGGATGGAGAGAGACCAGCTTCCATCGCTATCGCGAAGACGCCGGACAGAATGCCGCGCTCGGAACATGGTAAGGCACTTCAGTATTAATTCTTTCAATTTTTTTGTTTATTTGTTTTTTAAATTTTAATTTTTCTAGGTTTTGTTTTTGTGTGTTTTATCATTTTTTATATTTTAATCTTTTATTTTAATCTAGTGATTCTGTCCGTTTCTTTCCATTTTATTCTCTTATTTTTACTTTTTGTTATACTTATTAAGGCATTTCTACGAAACATGTTATCACGAATTATATCATGAATTATTTACAATAATTTTCAAGAAGCATAATTATTTAGTATTGTAGAAAATTGTTATTATTAATGTTTGCCGATTTTCATAAAGTTTTTTCAATGAAAATATTCCATGGAAATTGTATAAGAGATATTGATCACCGTGTATCTGCGTAGGTATGTTAAGGCAGAATCGGCGGACAGTGAACCGACCACTCCGGTGTTGCGTATATACGACACGATGAAACTGCGCGCCGCCACCCAGTTCACCTTCTATTGCTTCCTGCACGGCGTCAGTTGAGCCTAATCAAGGGCCACAAGGGCTACGATGGGAGCTATGAGCAGGTGTTGTGGACGGCGGAGGAGACCGGTCCGACTGGCTGGCGGATGGCCGAGGTTACCGTGCGCGATGAGAACCCCTTTACCGTAAGTTTCTATCCATAATTATTCCTTAACAGTAGATACTAGGGATTAGTATATTATCACCAGAAACGGGTTCCGCGTTCACGTTTGGTTTGAAACGTAAAACAAATTAAAACATCTTGTGCTGTTCTGCCAAATAAAAAAAAATTCTTGCACCCCGGCCGAATTTTTCCCGGCTTGGCTGCTCGATAATCAATCAATCTACCTCGGTATTTGTTCCCGAAATCGTCGCAGATGAAATCAGGCACTACAGCTACGAAGTGAGCTCTTCGGCATTTGAAGATGAGGTGATTGCACCAACTAACGTTATCAACGGATAAGTTAGTCGGTCAAAATGTTGATGTTTGCAAAAATAGTTTTCAGGAATAATATCATGTTTTAAGCTGCGATGTGGAAGCAGTTCGATCGTATTAGTTCTGCTTTTTTGACCCCAGAACATCGTGCCACTTGTCTACGTTATAATCGTGAACGATAGCCTTCAACAAATCCGTAATTACTGTAGATAGAAACAAATCAGTCTGCATGATCAAACAGCTGCAGGATCAAATTATCCGTGAAAAATCCATAATTTTATAGTAATTTCCTTTACACATAATTCCTACAATTGTAGCGCTTAATCTGAATAATAAATAAGAATATACATGTAATATAAACCCGATGAGCCCCATATAATTGATGCATAAATATGGCTTCATATAGTTCAGTTTCAGTAAGGCAGCATTAATCGATTCGTAATGAGCAACTGACAATATTCCGCCTTGCAGCTGTTCTTCTTGGCGAACTTCCCGGCTGCCGACAGCGCCGTCGGTCTGGACGGTTTCGTCTTAGACAACGAAGCGTCCTTGTCTGGCGAAGTGCCCCCCGACACCTACACCTGCCCCGGCGCCCCGCAGACCACCATTTCGAAGCGGAAAACTGCGGCTGGATGAACGCCCTGTACTACCGCAACTACTTCGAGATCCTCAACACCTCCTTTGGCACCCCACCGGCCGTCATCCTCGGCGCCAAATACGGCTCCAACTACCTCGCTTCCCAGTCCTCCAATTCTATAAACGGCAGCAATAACGTGGCGCGCATCATGAGCCGCCCGATCACCTCGGCCATGCCGTACAACACGCAGGTGACCTTTTGGTACAACATCGCGGCCTATCAGTTGCGCTACTTCCGGCTGATCGTCCGCCAGAACGAGGTGGACGAGATCGTGTGGGAGCGCAGCGGCGGAAGTGCTCCCGGCTGGAAGGAGGCCGTGTTGACGGTGTGCGGGAAGGCCGGCGCGCATTTGATCCTGGAGGTGGCCTTCACCCTGCCGGACAGTGTGGTGGCCGTGGATGACGTCAGGTACCGCGGCGAGAACAATCTGGCGGCCTCCGTGCCCGGCTTGTGCCCCGTGGTCAGCTGTCATTTCGAGGACGGCTTCTGTGGATGGCTGAGTGACATCCGCGCCGCTCCCTTTAACAACAGGTAAGCAATATGGTTCTGATAAAGAAATAAAAATGTTGGGCATAAAATAAAAATGTTGTGCAGTACTAGTTGTTGTATAGCGTATACTGCGTATGTACAATACAGTTGTACGTACTACTCTAGGGACACATGCCGGAAGAAAGTAGGGGTGCAGACTAGGCATCCTTCGTTTTTTTGCGCTATCACTAAATCGAATTATTCTTCGTTGATTTGAGCACTAATAATTGCATTTTGCCGGATTGTGCAGATGGGTCCGCTCAACGAGCCGAATCGATTACCACGACCACCCGAACAACGGCAAATCCGGCCGGTTCCACGTCCAGTCCACCGGCATCCCCAACCAGGCCCTTAGCATAGCGCGCCTGTACACGCCCTGCCTTGCTGTCTCCTCTGACTCCAGCCTGGACTTCTTCGTTCACTTGTATGGACCCTCCATCCAGTACGTCCAACTGAAGTCCCTTTCCAACGCCGCCAACAACGAGACCGTCCTCTGGAGCAGCAGCAGCGTTCAGTCCAACGCCTGGCTGCACCCCACCCTCCCCGTCCCCGCCTCCACCAACGTCGTCTTCATCCTGGAAGCGGCCTTCTCCGACGCCGACTCCACCGTCGCCATCGACCAGATCCGCTTGCTCAACGAAGCGGAAGTGGTCACTTTGGGCGACAACTGTCCCGGCGTGGCGCCGGTGACCCCGGCGACCACCCGCCCCACGCGGCCAACCGTCACCACCCCGGTACCGCCCCTGCCCACCGGGACGTTGAGCTGCTCCTTCAATTCCCATTTCTGCGGGTACGGATATCAAGGTTTCAGGATATCCAACACCAGTGAGGACATAACGACCTCCGTGGGCGGTGGCATGGCGCTGTTCCAACCGAACAGTCAGCAACGTCACGCCAATTTATTGTCGCGTGGGTTCTACGTGCGGGAACGCATGCAGGTGTTCTTCTTCTACTTCGCCCATGCGGATGTGGAAACATTCACGGTGAAGGCGCATTACGTCGTCAATGGACAGATCACCTCGACGGATGTCTTGTTTGAACTGCACGGAAGCGCCGCCCTGGGCGGGATGGCGTTTGGACGCTGGATCCCCGGTCGGGTGACGCTTTGTGTGCCCGGATTCTCGCCGTTGGTACAGCTGGAGTTCAGCGTCACAGCTGGGTAAGTAGCAGACCTGGGCAGTTATGGAATTTGGACTCATAGTTAGAGTTAATAGTTAATCGCAGCTCGCGAGTTAAGTTACGAGTTGAGTTAGCGACAATAACTCGAGTTAACTCGCGTTAAAATAAAAAAAATCGCTTTTCAATAAAAAAATTCTGCACTTTATTAACCATTTTCAACTAATCTCTTATGCGTACTAGTATCACTATTACCAGATTTGAAACACATTTCAGAATTAAAATTTTTCGAGCAAGTGTTTTCAGAACTCGCATCAGTGCAATTAGCTCGTCTGGGACCCAGGGAAGCGCCGGCAACGCTGGACTTTTACACTATGGTGTATTAGTATGGTTCTCTGTACATGGCTGCCAAACATGGCGTTACACGGCTCGGACTGTTTTCCCAATGGACAAGTAGCAGAAACACACAGACAACAAATTCCCTTGTGGTTTTGCTGCAGAACATTGGCGTCCTCCTACCGTTGACCAAAGTTTGTTCTCTAAAAAACTCCCCGTCTGTTCTCTGCACGCTGCTAGAGCCTGGACGTGTTACTGCATTATGTTAATTAAAGCTCAAATGATGTAAAAGACTACAATCACAGTCAGAATGCACTGATTGCACTCGCACTCCACAATACTTACGTAGAAGAAGAGAAGCGTTTTGCTCGGACTGTTTCCCTCTATTGCTGCTGTCACCCGCCTGGATAGTGATGCGTTACCGCAGTACATCTGATTAAATCTGGCGCACTAAAGAAGTGCCGTGTTTAGCTACAGCCTACAACGTAGAAACTCCAGCCAGGTAACGGCAGCAGTACAGGGAGACGGTTCGAGTGTAGTGGTTTTCCCCTTATATTCATCTAGCCAATGCCTTGGGCGGTCGTACTGTTCGTTGGCACGAACAGTTTTGAACATAGATGCTTTTATAATTTCGAAAATTTATGCGATACACGGTTAGAATAATATTCTTTCTGATGATATTTCTGAAACTCAGTTTCATTTTTAACATCAACTGAAATCTGCAGAGTTACGCTAAACTCGAGTTGCGCTATATTATTTTTGAGTTGCGCTAGAGTTAAGTTTTCGTCCTCGCGAGTTAAGCTTCAGAGTTAAGTTATAACTCGTTAACTCGAAAAAAACTCGCGTTAAGTTAAATAGTTAAAATTAACTGCCCAGGTCTGGTAAGTAGAATTATAAATAATAAAAATTGTGAATTTTTGTGCATAAAATATTAAGGAAAATATTTAAAAAATTCAAAACAGTATTAAACAGTATTTATTTATTTAAACAAAACAGTATTTAAAAAATTCAAAACATTTTAAACAGATGAAAATTTATGAAAATTGGTAATAGTAATCAGTTTTACTCAGTATGGACGCTTCACGCAGTGTTTGATCCCTGAATAATTAATCATTCTGCCTCTTCTGTATGCATAAGAAAAAACGAAGTGTAGTGCGTTTGTTTTTATGTGGTAAGCTAATTCTCAGCTGTCGGAAACTTAAAGTCAGGCTCAGGTTGAATCCCTTACACTACGATAATTTGATGCCGGCAAACGGTATTCATATTCAGTATTTTGCGCTTTGACGACCAGGATTCCATCGTACACAGCAGCCACTTATGTTCGCGTCCGTCTGTCTGAATGCTATTAGAATTTAATACAGTAGTAACTTTTTAGAAAGAAATTTTCGGTCAACGTTGTTTTAAGAAAAGAAAATAAAATGGAACGGTTTTTCAAATTTGAATTCGTTATCTCTTTAATAAAAAAATGTAAAGAAAAGACAAGGGAATATCATGCAATAAAATACAAGAAATGTGCATAAAATAAAACGGAAATGTTTTTGAAATTGTGATTCTTGCTGTTTATTCGGAATTTGCTGCAGAGCCGGTTCCTCGTCGGAATTTGCTCTTGACGAGATCATCATCAACCGCGAAACCCAGGCCACCTCCCTTACCCCTCTGAACAGCACCCTGGACTGCGGCCCGATCAATCGACCTAATTCCCTGACCTGCGAAGACATCGCCCCCGGCGCGCCCTTCTGCGGCTGGCAGGCCCCGCCCGGCGTCACCACCCAGGTTCTGCCCGGCACGCACGAGACCGCGCTGGTCGTCCTGGGCGAAGCGCTGTCCGCCGGTCCCGTGCAGGTCGTCAGCGGGGAGATCCCGCCGCATTCCGAACCGACCAACTTCGCCTTCAAGTACATGCTGGTCACCCGCGCCCGCCTGCAGGTGGATCTCCTGGTGGGCGGGGACAACAGTCTGCCCTATCCCTTGGCCCCCACGGAGAACGCCGAACGCTGGAATTCCGCCGTGGTGGAGGTTCCCGCCAGCGATCAGCCCAGCCGAATTGTACGTTCGCATTTTGTGTTATGGTTTCTAAGGTTGTTTTTCCACAACACACAACATCAGTTAGTTTAATATTATTATATATTATCAGTATTTAACAGATTAATAAAGGTATCAGTGAGGCTGCTTACAAAGTGAAATAAACAGCACAACAAACAGCGTTTAAAATCAAACTAATTAGAAGTAAAATGTTATTATTAACATTAAAAAATAAAGCAAAATGTTTGTCTATAATAACTTACTTAGTAAGCGATTGGTGGAATTTGTTTAATTACTGGTGCTTCGAAATTAAGTTTTTAATATACTGCATGCCTTGTATATGTAAGCAGTTTTAGTTTTGACAACTTTAATCTGTTCAGATTGGCGTTTGCTTGTCAAACTATACAGCTGGTTACCTGAATGCATATTGGTGATTAAGTAACGGTTAATTTTTTATTTGATTTTGCCGCCAGTTTACGATTGGCATGTGTTTTGCAGACCTTCCGCGTCAGTGTCCTGGAGGTGCAGAACCGTCAGGAGCCGGGAGTCGTGCCGGCGTTGTTCGCGCTGACGGACACGTGGTACTCGGCTGAAGAAGGTAAGCGACGTGCTAATTTAACGGGGAACAGCACTAAACGCTATGGTTCTGTGCAGGCTTCGTGGCGCAACTGGACAACGTGACCACCACCGTCTCTCCCGTCACCACCGAGCCGACGGCAACATCCGGATCGACGGTGACATCGGTCACCACCGGGCCAACGGGCACCGCTGGGTCCACGACCACATCCGGACCGACGGTAACATCAGTGACATCAGAGTCCCCGACACCAACAACCGGTACGCAACCCTTATTGTCTGTCGCCAGAAAATACAGTTTCTGTTGTTCGTCCTCAATATGCTCGATATTATGGTAAATAATTCTGCAAAATTCCCGAGATCTTTCGAAATTATTTAGTCTCCACAGATTTCGATTGTAATTGTTTTCCTTTTAGTTTTCGGTGAATGTGTGAATGGGGCCTTATGCTCTCGTTACTCGTATTGTCGGTTAATAGTTTGTTTAATTTTTTCAAAAGCTTGTTTTCTTAGTAATTCTTAGTTCTATTTTTTTGCGGCTACAAGCGGCATTGATTTCAGTAATGGCATTTTTGGCTGTTAAACACCTTTCCGAAGATTTATCTTTGGTCAATTTCGTTGTTGCGGTCAATATTTTGCTCTTTGTTCCCATATTGTTCCTTCAACTCTGACGGTCCGTTTTATTTATTTCCTTTTTTTGTGGTTTTTGCAGTTTGTCATTTTATTTTCTGATCATTACTAAATAACTTAAAATGCAATCGATTTTTTTACCGTGCAGTTCCGACGACGAACGCCACCACCCCGCCCATCGTCGTCCGGCCGACGAGCGCACCCCAGGCCTACAGCACGCAGGACATCGTGCTGATCAGCGTGGGCTCGGTGGCCGGCGCCCTGGTGCTGCTGGGCGTGGTCATCGCGCTGCTGCACTTGCGCAGCAAGCGCCGCGAGCGCCAGGGCCGCAGCTACGAGGAGCACGTCGTCACCGAGACGCCGCTGACGGAGATGTCCACGCGCACCTCCACCATGTCCAAACCGCCGGCCTACAGCAGCAAACCCCCAACACCGCCGCCCGCCAGCGGCCAGAGCACGCCGCCGCCCTCGCAGCCGACGGTGGCCGCCTTCCGCACCAAGGGCTTCGACGAGGAGACGCTTTAAACGTTGTTGATACTCTTAAATTAATGTGCTTTTGGAATTTGTATACTGTGATGAATAGACAGTTTTCCTATTTAATTTTTTATATTTATCCCCCGAATTTCTGGATTTTCTAGTCGGTAATTTATTACAAAATCTGTGAAAAACTATTAAAGGTCTATTGTGGCATTGTGCGGTGGCAGTCACATTGAAACTACAAGTACAAATGGCAGGATATCACTTTCCGTCGCAAATGTCAAATCCTTGCCAGCACACGATGGCTTCTAATATAAGTAAGAGGAGTACGGGAAGCGAGAAAAGAATGGACGACCTTTCCACCTAACGATAAGGAAGATTCTGCGACACTGACCTTTTTATACCGTTACCGACCACGACAGCATCGGTAGAGCGACTCTGTATCGATCTCAATCTGCTGCAGTGAAGAATTCGGAGTGGAATCCCTATAATATCCTGGAAGCTCTGGAATCACTGTCTGGAACCCTGAAAAATCCAACGTGGTCATCCGGTCGACGTAGAAGAGACGAATCCGAAATCCGTGGCAGCTCTCCAGATGGATGGTTGCAGAGAAGTAAACACAACGCCAGCGCCAGATGGAAACCGAGGCGAACAACAAGATTTCTGTGCGAGCAAATAGCAATGCTCATGCAAGAAGTGACCTTTAATCACTAGCAATGAGAGTAACACTACACAGATACCAGGTATTCGCTTTACGGTAGTCCGAGAAAACTACAAGTAACAACGAAGATAGGAAAACCGAAAATGTGCGAGTAGCCCAAAATCACTGAAACTCTCGGAGTGTTGTTGACTGAATCATTCCGCTGTACTTACCGTATATAGACTTCGAGATGCGCGCAGGCATCGAGCATACGTAAAACCAACAAAGATGTACTAGTTAGCCATTGGCTGCAACAGCTAAGACAACAACAACATTGGTCAAAGGTAAAGCAGCATCTACCGAAGTAAATGAGCCAGACAAGCATCAGAAAGTGCATGTACAAGTAGGATATAAATTTAATATAGGAAAAGCGACAAAAGCACAAAGAAATCTTTTGAATGCGAAATAGATCAAAATGCATATGTACTCTTTATGTATCCAATATACAGCGGTAAAAAAGCAAAATTTACTTGCTTAGTATCTATAGTTTAGTTAATATTATGCCATCGTTGGAATCGAATCAGTCATCCAGTCTACCCTACAAATTGTACATGTAAATTGTGTTAACTGCTTAATCTGTGGACATTTTTTAATAATTTCCGCCAGCGGAGGCCCGTTGCTGCTCATTGAACTTTATTGTCGAATTAAACGGTATTTCATATACTACGTATATCAAGTAATCAAAGATATGTTGTATCATTTGTATTTCTGTATATCTACCGGTAGATACCACTTATTACAACCACAGTCAGTCGTGTTATGTCCATTCCAGATTTGTATTTTCTGCAAGTTATCATGTGGTGCAACTGCTTTCATATCTTTGCAGTTTTAAATTACCAACGAACTCAAACGAGCCGGCTGCAGCCTGCAAGCAACGCTTGCAAGCAACCCTCCTTGAGAAACCGTAATAGATCGGTTGATTTATTTCTTGCTTTTTCATCAAGCCCAGAGCATCACTCGTACAGCGATCACATTGATTGTTCAAAAGTTACAGTCCATGTTTACAAAATCTGTGCAGTTCAGTATAACCAGATCATAGGTCAACGGTGACAAGCGGTCAAAAGGTCACGACAGCATCATTTACTGAGCAGCAGCTTCAGCGGGAGCAGCTTCCGGTGCGGCTTCAGCAGCCGGGGCCTCGACCGGCGCGGCTTCCTCCGGAGCCGGAGCGGCGGCAACTTCCACACGACCAGATGCAACAGCGCCAGTCACCTTGCGGACAACGTCATCCAACAGCGGCACATTGGCGCCCTGGTAGAGACGGCTGTTGGAGTAGTCGTAGAAAGAAGCGGCCTTGCTGCAGTCCACGTCGAACCACCAGTTGCAGACCAGGGTGATCTGGTTGAACACCTGCAAACACAGACAGGCCATCAGAAGTCCGAATTCAGTCAGCCAATGAGAGCCCGTGATGACGTACAGTCATGTTGGGGCACAGGTACGAGGTCTGGTTGCCGTTGACGTCGCAGCGGTGGAAAACTGCAAGACAGACAGTTGTTGACCAGAGCATTTGTCGTAAAGAATCACGTAGTAGACTTACTCTGGCAGCGGGAAGACGCAGAAGGATCAGCATAGAAACCTGGCTGATGGGTGCTGCTGCAGTCAAAAAATCCCTGCTCGATCACAGCATTGTTGGGGTAATCTTGACCGGCCTGGGCGGTGGCGATCAGGTTGTACTGGTCGGGCACGCTCAGTCTGGATTTTCCACGCAGTTGGTCCAGTGCAGCGAATGCCAGCGGATTCTGGGTCTTCACTGCACGCTTGGCCTGCAAGATGCAAAATTAGGAAATATGAAAATATATTAATCAACATTGTAAGGTGTTCATCAAAACGTCTTCATAAAACCTTTGGCAATAGATTACCTTAAGACTGGCTGCAGATGCCACAGCGACCACGGCAAGAAAAATCAGGACGGATTTCATGGCGATAGTTAAAACGTGACCGTTAATGCCCAGAAAAAAGCTGCAGGTAATTAGGGTGATTGGACCTGAGTGCTGATTATTTCGCCGGATCCGCCGTTCTTTTATATGAGCCAATCTGTACAATGTACCTCGCTTCGAACTTGGCGAGCGCGTTAACTTCCGGAGCTGTGCATAATCGTTATTAGTGTAGAATGAAGGTTAACGGTTTGACTGTAAAACAAAAGTGCCTCAAGTTAATTAGTGCAAAATCACGACGAATGTTGATCTGAAACATTAGGCTTGTACAGCACACCCAGCCATCCTTATTGTATCACTTACGCGGTTTCGTATTACCTGTTTAAATTGCTATAATATCTGTAGCTGTAACTGTAAGTGTAGCGAGTTCGCTTAAGCAACCATAACGACGACGTTCGCTTAAGCAGCAACTACAAAACAGTAATCACACAATTCATAATGACACTTTTATGCCATGAAAAAGCGAAAGAACGAATATCAACATGTTTACTGTCGTTACCGTAAAATCCAGCTGGTAATTAAATTATGACCAATGCTTTGAAATTAGATTACCGGCTTTTGCAACACCTGTGCAGATGATAAATGTCCTGGCCTTGAGCTGCAAATTACAGCTCGGCATCTAATTCTGCAAACTCTTTGCTAATGTTTCCAACTAAAAGTGAGCATGAAGGTAACGTCATTCTTTGCATTGCAGAGGAGCCGCCGCACCATTACCCTTAAATATCAAGATACGTTCTATTTGAACTCTTAAAATAAATTATAAAATGTTAAATATCGCTTCAAGGGAAATTTGCCGGAACGTAACTCTATAACACATTCGTGAGCATTTCAGAGAATTTACGCTTTCCCCGCTCCTAACGTTAACAACTTTTTTGCGTTGCTTTATGGATTTCTATGAAACGACGAAGCCGTGACAATCGTTGCTCTTGGTTTGGTGATTATTTTAGCTTGTGTTTTAAGCGCGCTTCAGTTCGCGATGACTCTACAGCGGTCTGGACAATGTTGTCTGGACAACCTGGACAACGCCCGCGTGATTCCGCATATAGCACTGAAACCAGCCCGACACCTTCCGGCTTTACCACCACGGAACCTCCGGGTGCTCTCTCTGCTTAAGTCGCCTTCCAGGCTTCAGCCGATCGTAGCGCTTCACTGTAAATACCGTAAACAAATGTAATCGTCGAAGTGTTGTAACGAGCTGAAACTGTGTTGTGACATGTCAGAGTTATAGCGGTGGCCTTTGTCTGTTGCAAGTAAATAATTTTTTTCCCAAGTTATTGTTATGTAAAATTCAGTTCACCTTCAAGTGTAATTTAAGCCGGTAAAAATGGTTTGGAAAAAACTGCATGCTGTCAGTGTCCGTAATTTTTTTGTGGTTTTGCAGTTCTGTTACCGCGTCAATGATCGCAGTTCCATCGGCGTTCGCTGTGACCATCGCCAATATTCACCATACAAACGAAATTCCTGGCAGCGAATGCGTACTATTAATTGTAAAATTCAACACAATTTCCTGTGCTTACCGGTCTCAGTGTGCGACGGCGCCGGTATACTGCTGTCATGGGCCACCACAAAGCCCTTCGCCGACACCTCCTGCGTCAGCCCCAGCTCCCATCCATCGCACAAACCATGTTTAAAATCCCACTCCGCAGCCACTTCCCATTTGAAGCAGTCATACGGACAATGATCTGCATTTAACAGCACAAATATTTTTTATTTATCTGAAACCATTCTTTTCTTCTTTCGTACATATATTTTTTTTAAAAACATTATTCCATTTAATGTTCTATCATCTAATCCAAGAATAGTTCTACTTACTATTTTCAATTTTTTTGGAAAAAATCCACAACAAAAGTGACCTTAACGGTCATATTTTTATATATTTGAAAAGTATTCCATTGTCATTTTTCCTACTTTATTTTCAAAAATTCTCCATTTTCTGTTTATTTCATATGCTGAAGATGTGTTTTTGAATTCGCTATGTTTTGCAAAAAACCATTTAAAACCAATAGTGTCCTCAATGGTGAGGAACTCGTCCGGTGCCTGATAGGTGAATTAGCAATTAGCAACACCCGGAGGACGACCATCTGTTGTCCAGTGCTGCAGAAGGTGACGGTAACCGGCAGCCCACTGCTCGTGGACGGTTGGGGGGACGGTGTACACGGGGTTCTCGGCGTCCAGGTATCAGCAGAGTTTTGTTACCCCTGCTATGCAAGGTGGTCTAAAAGCTCGTCATTAGGTTCTGCCGACATGACAGAAATTTTTAAAACTGATGGCTGCTGATCATAATGTTATACCGGTATTTTGCATGATGATATCGTAGAGTAGTGGCACAATAAGTTTGCACAGCATTTTAATATAGTGTTTCCGCGTTGTGCCATGCGCAGTAATAGCATGTTTTGCTTGATAAAAAAATGAAATATTTTTTGATAAAAAAATGAAATATTTTTTTTACTCGTACAACACAAATTCTTTTTTGATCATCCGGTCTTCGTAACTGTTGAGAACGGTAACCTATTCAAGCGCAGTCCCCGTGTTTGCATCCCGAAAATGTCAGAATGTGACTGCGATTTTATCGGCATAAAATTCATGAGCGATGAATGCGGCAAAAGGTGCTTGTATCGTGATACTTATTAAAGGTTAAAGAAGTTGTTCCTTATTTCACAAACGAATTTCCATATTTTTCTTTTTTAAAAAAATACAGGCGACTCGCCTGTCAGTCTTGTTATATACTACATCGTGCCATTCCTCTACGATGTAACTGTGGATAATAATGGTAGAGGTCAATTACATTTGGGCAACCGATGCGCGTCGGGTAACGGAGTAACGCGTAAAAAACCATCCATGACTTAGCGAAAAAATTATCGTCCAGTCGTAAGTCGAGTACGCTTCCGCGCCAAGAAAGAAATTGAACACCGAAGTGGAACTGAAAAACTCATTTTTAATGCTGTAATGTGGTAAATGCGGTATTACGTCAAAAAAGTTAATTATGAGTTTTGGAATGTGACTCTGGGTCGTTGCATTTACTTTTGGTCCAAACACACACAAATTTTGTTGATCTGTGCAGGAGAGTTACGAGTTACTCGTGGTTTGGGTAATGGTTGCGCTTCGACGTCGAAGCGCAACGCTTACGCGGACAAGTAAGCTGAAAACCCATCCCAGATTTTGTGACTGCGAATCAGAATGTTTGCTTGTTTACGCGCTGTTACGTCATATTTTTTACGCGTTTCCCCGTTACCCGACGCGCAACGCTTACCCAAATGTAATTGACCTCCACCAATGATCATTCATCAGCATGTTGTGGTCAGTGCCAACAGTAATAAAGTGACAGTATTTAGACAACCGATGGGGAGTGACGTTTCGCACGTGTTGAAACGAAATGTAAAGTTCACATTACTGCCATTTGCTCCGCAGGCGACATCTTCCTGGTGAACCACTGCTTCTTCGACAGCGACCCGGCGGCCATTGGTGGTTCTGGCCACGTCGATCGGCCGTCCGCTCGCCCGTCGTGACCTTTGGGCTGAGCACAGCCAGGGCCGCATCTCCTTCTGGTACAACAGCCACGGCCAGTCCCGGCCACAACAACCGGGGAGTGATCGTCATATGGACGCCGCCGTGCACAACGTGGAGGCGGCCATCGAGATCCCGCTCCTCATCCAGGTCATTCCCGGCCGCTGGAACTACGTCCACCAGACCGCCATCATCCCCAAGGGCGTCCACTACGCCGTGGTCTTCACCACGCAGACACGCTGCGAATTCTTTTTATGACTGTCGATGAAATCCTTATGGAGAAAAGCTCGTTAAGAAAAACCAAGAAACATTCGTTATCCATTATTTGGCACATCGACAACGTCAGTTATCCGTCAATAGATGCAGGGTTTGTGTCTGAATGAGCCCTTCCAAGTGGGTGAATGAAATTGAATTTCCGTGGGGTGGACGCGTGAAGAATGCATGTGTCCCGCATGTAGCTGGAATTCGAAGGAATATTCGCCGCGCGTGATTTCGTTACTGGTTTGGATGCGTTCCCTCTGGCGGAGATCGGACCCGTGGTGAGTTGTCTGGAATTAACGACACCGCGACCGCCTGTTTCCGTTACCACGACGGGACCGGCCACCCTCCTTACGGTGCCCACGACGCTACCAGATTATTATCGCTCCTTAAAAAAGGCCTACGATATACGGTGCGATATACGGTAGGCTCCTAAACGTCACAACGGAGTACCCTTACCGGACCGTCATACGATAAGTGTGACGGTAAGTGATGATCCTATCGTTATTCTGGTGTGGGCGTACCGTTGCTTTTTGCGAAGTAGCAACCGCCACCTTTGGCATGTACTTGGATATCAGTTCCGCTCGATCCAATGAATTCTTGAATTCTGATTGGTTGTTCGTATCTCTTTATGCTTTTTGCTGATTAAAAAACTGCATGCAGCAAGAAAAAAGGGAAAGTTTTTTATCTCTTTTGGATATTTTTGAGGTTTTTTGCAGTTTACTGTAAGTGTAGTCACGTTCTTTTGTTACTGGAAATGGAGGCTCCGACACCACCAACGTCTGAAGCAGGCCTTGATATTCCTAATGTTCGAGTGCTAAAATGTCGATTTAACGCCACTTCTGATCTCGTTCTCCTGGACCTCGTCAAGCATTACAATCCCTATGTCGCGGACAATAAAAGTGCTGCTTGGAAAGATATCGTGAGAGCTTTGAATGACACTAAGGTAAGAATCAACCGTTGTTACCAACAATGATGTGTTTATAAAAAGTGTAAGTAATTTCCGTGCTTCTGTGATTACTCAACCACGACTGTATTTCTTAGATTTTTGTGAAACCTGTGACGGAAAGAGCTGCTAAGGATCGGCTTGCAAATTTGGTCACCTGGTTCAAAGCAAAAGATTTGCGAAATAAAAGCCGCAGTGGTACCGAGGAGCAATATGGACGCATGGAAATCTTCCTCACCGAGATATGTGAACTTATAAAGGGATCCGAGGATGCGGAGGCGGAAAAGAAACGCGCAGCTACTCAAGCACAGAAAGAGCGCCAAGAAATCTCCAACATTATGAAAACTGCTGGCGAACACGGCCGCAAAATTCCAAACGATGAGGAAGACCACCTGAATTTGGCAACATGTACGTGTGAAAGACCATAAAAGCGTTAATTTTAAAATTAAAACGGAAAATTAACTTCTCTTAATAATTTTATTATTTACTTCCATTTTATTAGTTAAGGCGAAGCACAACAATTATAATTTATTTATGCATAACACATGCGCTGCAGCAGTTAAATTAATGCATTTCAAAAGTTTAAAATTCTAGTAATTTAAGTGAGACTTGTTTACATTTTCTGTCAATAATAAATTAGTTTTTTTTTTGTAAATTTAATAGCAGCGGCTTCTTCGCGGGATTTAAACAAGGAGGAATGGATGCAGGAGACGGGCTGTGGCGAGCAAGATTGGGTCGAAGAACTGAAGACTCGAGAGGTCCTAAAACATTCGGCAAAGCGTATGAAAATTTCCCCGCGAAAATTTAAGTTTGTTGGATGTCCCAAAAAACCGCTGGAGAAAAAGCTCCGCACGTCGCGCTCAAATGCGGCAAAAGCCCAGAATGTTGATGTTGAAGAGAAGTGGCTCGACAACTTTAAGGAGTCAGACAATAAGCGCCTGGAGTTCGAAAAATCAAAAGCCGCTGAAGAAATGGCCGCTAAAATGAAACTGGCCGAAGATGCTAAAGAAGTGCGCTTAAAGGAACTAGAAGTGGAGAAATTACGTCTTCAGGTCGACCTGAAAAAAATTGAAAACGAAAAAAATCAGGAAAAATATTATGGCTTGTAGATTTTTTTAATCTCGCAAATACTCTTCGAGAAATGGTGGTTCTAAATTAAAATACTGGCTAGCCTGATTTGGATACAAACAGTTTCTGCAGTTCGTCAGTAACACAGCAATTCTGAAAATCTTATTAACAGGTTTCTCAAATATCTTCATCTGCTTTTTAAAATCAACAAAGGCAAATTCTTTGACGACTTCCTTGAAGCCCCACTCAACAGATTCCCTTACTGTCGACATAGCCTCGTTGATAGCTTCTTTCAGGGGATTACTGGCTGCCTCTACTTGGGAAAATGGATTAATTAACAGATCTTTGCGGCCGTAACCAGAATCTCCGTAGATGTAAAACTTCTGCTGAAAATTAGCCTGCTTGTCTCTGAACTGCTGTAGGAAATTACTTTCTGCAAAGAGTCGGCTGTCGTGCATCGATCCTTCTTTACCACCATAAAGGTTACCAATCATTCCTACAAAAAGCACAAGATATTATAATATCAGTGAATTAATTCCGAATTTAGCCAAAAATTTTATAGCTCAGATATTCACTAAACAATGCATACGTGCATAAAAAAATATAGCATAAATGTTAATTTTTATTTACCGTTTGGAAAGAGAACAGACTGCCACTTGGTGCAGTGAAATCTTTTGTGACCGCTGTACATAATCCGCTGATATCTTTTAGGCCGACATATTTCTCGTGCAGTTCCATCTATAAATCCAATCACACCAGGATAAACACCGCCTTTCGCTGTGATGGCGCGCGAAAATTCGTCGAAGTCTCCTTCCATTAACCAGCGCTGCTCAAGGTCACGAAGTAAATGAGACCAGTGTGCGTCTATTGTTTCCAGAGTGTGATAAAAAATTCTCATCAAAGATCCATGAGAGCGACCAAAGATGGCTCGCAGATCACACCATCGATTTGGGTACGACATCCGTCGTAATACGATACACAGCGCTTCCGTTCCTGTACACCTATCCCGTTCCGAAGTTCGAACTGATTCCGGAATACGCAGGGCAACTCGCAGCCTATCAATATCATCTTTTCTAACTCGAAACATTCTCCAGCAGTCAACATCAGAAAAGCGATCAAGATCAAATGCCTGCTCAGCCCACACTTCCTGAGTTTCACGATATCGAGCCGCATCCTGTCTTTTTTTTCAGGAGTCTCAAGGCCGTAAACCGTTTTTTATCTATTCTACCAGTTCTCAGTAGATTCGCAATTATAAACCACCGCATTCTAGCTATCGAAAAATTCCGTAAAATAAAACGCTAGTGTTGAAAACTGACTTCGTTTTTTGCAAACATAAAATGGATTAATGAGTGTATAATTATTCACCGTACACCGTGTTATCCCGGCTGCGATCACACAGGTTGTGCGCCGGTGCGCTTCCGGTGCGGTCGGCATCGACCGTATATCGCTACCGTCTACCGGGCCTGTAGGGCGATAATAATCTGGTACCGTTGTGTTGCGTACGCTGATTGAAGTTTTCCTACTTGGTATTCGCGACAGTAATTTTTCCTGTTTAGTCGGCATGTTGGACTTTTCCATTATTCCGGCTAAATTGTCCACTTTAATTTTGTATAAATGGTGCTTAATTACATACATGCCAATTGAGCCAGGCGCATTCCACCGGCAACAGCTAGTAACGGTTTCAGTGAGGTAGGGGTCATGGTCGATCCGAGTAGGCTATGTACCTGGTGTTACGTAGCATGGATCCACTTTCGTTTGTACCGAATTAGCAGGGATCTACTTTTATACAACGAGACATTTTGGTTCTGGTTTGAATTCGTTGCCAGTATGGAATCGCATAATCGAATCACAGTCGACGAAATCGTTTGGAATGGTGACAAAAACGTTTAGTACTCGTAGTCGCTGTATAATCTCATAAACGAATAAAAGCAGTGCTGTTATAATACGTAATACTTTGAATTTTTTCGGTTACAAGGAAAAGAGTTACTGTACTGTATTTTCACGAGTTTAAAGAAACGAAAATTAAAAATATAATATCTTCCCTAAACATAATATTCACGGAATCACGTGAGGTACGTACATACATACGGTATGTCACGTATGTGTGTGTCGGTTATCGCGATGCGGCAGTTACCTTCAAAATTTTAACAAAAAAGCCGGCGTCCAGCTGAGTCGCTGCAGCTGCTCGCGCACTGCAAATTAACGGGATCTGCATACCCTGCGGCAAACACAATTTGTCTTTTCGTGCAGATTTCTTCCTACTAAGAGCTTTTACTTGATAGTTTTGTCTCCCACAATTTATGAATCACGTTTTCTTTTGTTTAGCTCCTTTCTGCCTTTCATATGCACTGTGCGGTACATGATCACTGTGTACCGCACAGTCATATGCACTGTGCGGAACCAGCATATCACATTGTGCATCGAAGGATGGATGGGTCAGTTTTTCCAGTGTTAGCATCTACAGAGAACAGCATCTACCTTCTCTCGTTATTCAAAGCATTTGAGCGCGTTCTTGTACAAAAGCGCCCAACACTCTACCGACCACCACCGTCACCACGGCCCAGAGCACCACGACCTCCTCCACCCTGTCCACCACCACGTCTGCACCCGCAATCCCCTGACGTGCTCTTTCGCGGAGAATCTGTGCGGATGGACCACAGAGACGACGGACACCTTCCAATGGCAGCGCGTCAACACCGTCACTACATCGCCGCAAAACATCATTGCGCAGCCCGATACCGATGGTAAACAACAAGTTTTGCCTTTGACACTTGTGGATTTTCCCTGTTTCCTGTTTGCACTCCAGCTGTTGTAGGGTGATTCGTGTTCGCGTAAGGCACCGAGCTGAGCAACGCCGATCGCGCGCATCTGGTATCCAATTCAATCGCACTCCGTGCAAGGGCGGTTCTGCGCTTCTTCGTGTACCCCACAGCGGCGGCCGGCGATGGAATCTACCTTAACCTGAATTTCGCCGACGGTGAGCAGTGACGATTTCGCGAGAGATCCTCGGCTTGACGACCATCAACAGATGGGCTTAAATACCGCTTAATACAGCGTACTATTCGAGACACTCTCCGGGAATTCAGCGTACGTTGGCTCGAATAATTCTTGATTTAAAATGGATTTAACCAGCCCGAGATGGGGTGAATGGTATCATTGGTACTGTATGTAAAAGCCAAGCATACTGTAAATTATTGTCAGATAGGTATTGATTTATTTTTGATATACGCAGACAAATTTTGTTCACTGTTTAATAAACCAGTGGTTTTTTATTTAACTGTCAGTACTGTAATGTTTTGAAAAAAACAAGATTCTTGTACGGAAGCAGAATGTTTATCGGCTGCATTGAGGCGAAAAAATAAAAGTTTTTGCGCATTTGCGAAATTGAATTTGGAAAAATTTTACGGAGGAATTGGCAGTTGGGTAAAAACCATTTGATTGCCTGTTTGTATTCCCTTTTCAGATCTGGTATTCCTAGGACCGCCGGGAAATGGGAAGGTAAGGCGGTCGCAAAATCACGGGTCCCCGACGATTTGCAGACGTTCGTCTGCAGATGGTGTAAAGTTTTAGGAAAGGCGTAGACGAGTGTTTCACTAAATAAATAATTTAAGAAAGTCAACGCAGAATAGTTGGTTGTTTCGGCAATAATGAAATCTACCATCCATTGTGAATTTTTTATTCTTTACTTTTTCCGTCATTTGATTTTTGTTGCAGATTGTTATCAGTGCTGGTGTGGTGAGCATCCGCCGTTTCGGCCTCGATTAAATCACTTTCGCACCGGAGGGCGAGGTGGTCTTTGGCAACAGCCCCGTTTTCCTGACGACGACTCCCCGCACCACCACCCAACGCAGCACGCCCACGCCGCAGCCGGCAGTCAGCGACGCTATGTTGACCTGCTCCTTCGCCACAGACTTGTGCGGCTGGCGGACGCATCCGGAATCGGAGGGCGTCGGGCAGCGCGTTCTGAACGCCGGCGCGACCAACCTCCCGGCGACGACTTCCGACATCGAAAGTATTTAATCGAAAATTTCGCAAAAAAACCAATAATCAGAAGCGTCACACGAAATATCGAGTAGGAAATGCATTAATACATAATATATGAAATCTTTATCGACAATCATCGATAATTGTTTTGTAAATCTTTTTTCTGTTAAGTTTTTTAAATGTGGAATATCTAGATGGGTTTTTTTCCCGGTTTGTGGCCTTCCGCGGCACGTCAGCAGCGGATTTGTCGCAGGTTCTCTTGGTAAGTCGGCAGTTTTTGAACGATCTAGCATGGTATATTTCTTTCAGTTTCAGGTACTACAACCTTGGAGTGTCCACCGGAATTTCCTATCTGGGACGGCAATTGACCGTTACAAGGCGATAATATCTGGCGCCATCACGGATTGAGGGAACTGCCGATCCGGACTAAGAACGGATCCGAATTTCTATCAATACTACGGGACCTATGTCGGTAAATACCCTGCAAATAATTTAAAGGAATACACATTGGCATATAAATGTATAAATTTACAGAGACTAAAATAGAGATAATATTGCAGTTAAATCCATATTGCGGTATGCCGAAGCGCATTTCGAGGCCGACATCGGCTTCCACGTGACCTTCGTCGCCGAGCACAGCTGGTGCGGTACCCCCGTGGCCATCGACTCCGTTTCCGTTGAAGAAGGTCCGTTTCCGCCTTTTCTGTGTTGTATTATTTGTTGTCTTTTTTGGATGTGTGTTGTCTTTTTTGGATGTGTGTTGTCTTTTTGGATGTTGTTTTTTTGGATGTGTGTTGTCTAACAGGAATCTTGCGATGCAATATACTTGGAAAGAATTAATCGAAATATTAGCATTGCTGCAAAATCAATACAAATACTAGTTAGTAAATCAATACCGTCCCGGGGAAATACCGAAATAGCCGAAAAACCGCCGCGTTGGTCGGTGCACTGTGAGCACACTGGAAGGCAAGTGGGTCAGAACTATCCCCGCTATCCAGCCCGCTCAAAGGACTTGGAACTGTCCCTTATAAAGAGGGGTGGCGGCCAGTGCTTTGAGCGACTGGAAGTGGAGCAGATCCGCCACCGCTCCCAGTGCGGACAGCCACTGAACGACCACGGCCGAGCAACCCGACAAGCTGGACATTGACCCCGTCCCGGGGAAGTAGCCGAAAAACCGCCGCGTCTGGTATTTCACGGAAGAGGGATTCATTCGCGACGAACGAACCGATGTTATCACTGGTACAGACATATGTTGAATTGATTCCTGGAATTTTGAATTTAGTCTTTTTAATTTCATCGATTTTACTCCTTGCTAAACCCGTATCAATTTTTTAAATGTTATTTCGGAAATTTTCCGTTTTGAATTTTTAAAAATTGTTGTTTAATTTTTCCCGTGAATCTTTTTGAAGTTTTTTTTATAATTTGTGTGGATGACAACGAAGCATGATATCTACAGCCCTGCCGGGCCAAGTTGGGACAGTTTTTCTCAAAAATTCCCATGAACCACCCGTCACCAGATCACAACTAATCAAATATGAAAGTTGTCCCTGTGGGTGTCCAACATCTTTTGCACTTGAGGTTTCCATGCTCAGAGCGTACTTTGATTTTTGGTAGAATAAAAACTAGGATAGACTAGCTGAAAAAAGTGGTTGAACCCATCGAACTTGTAAGCCCCTGCCCTATTCAAAATTTGCTTTAAATTTCTGGTGATCTGGTGATCCAAAAGCAATTACTTTAAACGGATTGCCATCTAGTCCTCTTGCGAATTAGTCTATTTGCCAGCCGATTCCGACCAGGGGTCTGTGACCTTTACAGTCTGCCTGCAGACACCTGAACTCTTGAGGGTTACCTCATCTGAATGCTCGCCGTACAGTCGCATGGCGTCTTATGCATATGTTTTTGGAAAAATCTCGTACAGGAGGACCTTAGCGTCTATCCAAGTTCTCCTATTTTCATAACAAGCCCGGAATATTGCGGTCGCAGAGTTTGAACTGCAGCTACAACCTTTTTTCATCTCCAGCTTTGTCGGTGTCTGACTCCACTTATTCAGCACAACGATCTCTTCGCCTGAGCAATATATTTCAGTCAAACGTTAAAGTTGTATGATGGTATCCATGGGTCATCCAAGGAAAATGCCGATTCAAGGTTACCACATTCTGTGCGCTAGGCAACCCTATTTTTCGAAAGGTGCGTTATAACATACTGGTTTATGGGAAAGATATCTTATTTATTGACAACGTATCGGTTTTGACATCTTCGGATTCGTAATAAAAAGTTACACTAACAATATTGTAAGTTAAAAGTTAAACGACGTATACAACTATTTCTAGAATTTATTTTATACAAGTGTCCCAACTTGGCCCGGCAGGGCTGTAGTTGCATGAATTTCTTTGCAGAATATGGCGAGCCGGCGTCGCACAGTGGTGTGGCCTGCTATTTCCAGTGTGGCGCCACCTGTGGCTGGCAGCCGCCCAGTCGGCCGGCCGTCGGCTGGCGAGCGGTCAACGGATCGTACGGTGTCGGCCCGTACGCCGTGTACAACGACGACAGCGAAGGATACCTCGTGGCCGACAGCCAGGACGTCGCCGCCATCACCGACACCCTCCAGATGCGCTCCAAGGCCTTCCCCTATGTTAACAGCAGCATGGCCTTCGCCTACCGCGCCTTCGGACATGGAATCAAACATCTGCGGCTGTATGGTGAACACGCCGCAACCAGCGGTTTCTGTTGAGGGAAACCGGGGATGCGTCGCGGATGTGGCTGTACACGTTGGTCTCCGTCTGCTTCAACGAGCCTGTTGGTATGTGTTGACTGTTGTGACATGGAAACCGAAACGTTAAACAGCGGTAATTTACAGTATTTCAGTTCCCTACCACTGTAACATTCTCGTTTTGCTGAACTGGATATTAGTGCTGCAAACGTAGTGTTATGACAGCAGTTAGGAATGCAGCGAACTCCATTGCTGCTTTGGATTTATGCAATAGTGGCAATTTTGCTGATGCGTAAGTCTTCAATATTTGCCAATCTGTTTTTGTAAAACTTGCGTTAACCAAAGGAGCTCCAGGAATTTTAACCGGTTTCGGTATCAAATTTTGTGATGACCTTCGTTTTCTTAGTTTTCATATTCTTGGTGAGTAATCAGCTGTGCTACTCTGTAGTGTTGTAATTTGCCGTTGTAATATGAGGGCTATGCACGTAGTGTGGTGGCAGATAGTCAAAATGTGTGCAAATTCAGAAAACGTTGAACAGTTATTCGTGAATCGTGAATATTTTTTTGCACGACTTGGCTCCATCAAAAGAGTGTGCATGGCACAGAGACATCTTTTGTTATTGCTTAAGCTGTTGTCGTTTTGGGATCGCCCACAAATCATTTCGCTCAGATCTGTATATTAAATTTCGCTGTTGCAGTTGGTGATCGAGGCGCAGCTCAACGCACGCGGCTTCTACGTGGCCATCGACCACGACATCATGAACCAGGATCTCGACACGAACGAAATGCCCGGCGCTGGATCTCTACACAACCTCCCCACCCATCACCACCGATTCTGGCCTGACAACGGGACCGACCACACCAGCGCCCATTATTAGTGAGGCGGCGAAACAGGTGTAGGGTGATGGTTTGAGTCGAAAGTCGATCGAACGGCTTGAACTGTGGCTACTGGTAGAAGTGCGCAAACGCTGCACTGTTGCCAAATTACAACCGTTGAATGGCGTTCGAAGTTCTTTTGTTTTGTTAACACTAGTTAGCTAGCTAGTCAAATACTTTTTTAAATTCCAATTCGAAGATTTTTCTGATATTTCCCCTCGCGCACAGCAGGTTTTCCATTGCAAGTTATTTAGTTTTACAGTTGAAGCTAACGATATAATTCGATAAAATACAGCGAACTTTGACTTTTTTCTGGTTTTTCCAACTGGGATGTTTTTTCCACCTTATAAAAATTTTATTGTCAAATTTTAATTTTAGCAACATCAAAATTTAACCAGTCTGGCAAAACCGTTATCACGCGGTCCACGCCAACATACCGTCTTCTGATTGGTTGCGATTTTGGCCGTTATGTGGCATATTGCGCTTGCGCACTTCTATCATTAGTCACAGTTCAAGCCGTTCGATCGACTTTCGACTCCAAACCATCAACTTACACCTGTTTCGCCGCCTCACTATTATATCAGTACGTGAGCCACAAATTGCTCAGCTTAGTGACTAATCCCTAATAATGTTGAATTATTAGGGATTGGTCAAATTGATTAAAACTGTGAATTGCCCTTTGTGTTAAATACGAGTAATATACGTGTGGTCAGAACGATACGCTGCGAGTGTATTCGAACGTTGTCTTATGGCAGAAGGCGTGGCTTTATTACTACAATTATTAGAAATTTGTAAAACTTTGAAAGTATTCAACTCCTTGTGAATAGTCTTTTGCACTATATACTCTGTATTACAAAATAATTATCAGCATTTTTATCGCGATTTTCTGGAACTGCTTAATAGTTACCACATTTTTTTGCAAATACTTTGACGGTAATGTTTAACTGGTCGAATGCCTGCAGCGGAACCCGTCCGCGGCACGATCATCTGTGATTTCGGTGATGGCAACCACGTGAACATGTGCGGCTGGCAGAACGCCGGCAGTCTGCAGCAGCAGTGGACACCGCTGCTCCGCATCGGATGCAACAGAATGTCAGCAGTGTTCGAAGCGGAACCGGGTAATTTCTTTGCCGGCGCCGTATCTGACCATCCCGACACCTTCCGGCTTGACCACCACGGAACCGCAGGTTACGCTGCGTAAGTCGCATTCGAAGATGTTGAGTGGTGTTATCTTGATTTCCAGACTTGCATTTTTGCACGTTAGTATCTTGAGCTTTCGGAATATTGCTCAAATTTTCGCAATTGCGGTCTGACGAGGTGGAACTGACTTCAACCATTGAAAACCCGTAACTGGTTGTTTTTATTTACTGTTTGTCAATCAAGCCCAAAGTCAGCATCATTCGTACAGCGATCACATTGTTTGTTCATGAATTACAGTCCATTGTTACAAAATCTGTGCAGTATAGGAAACCAGATCGAAGGTTGAGAGCGAGCCAGCAGTCTATAGGTTACGAGCGCCTCATCTACTGAGCAGCAGCCTCGCCTTCAGCGGGAGCCGCTTCCGGTGCTGCTTCAGCAGCCGGGGCCTCGGCCGGCGCGGCTTCTTCTGGAGCCGGCGCGGCGACCTCCACACGACCGGAGGCAACGGCACCGGTCAGTTTGCGGACAACGTCATCCAGCAGAGGCACGTTGGCGCCCTGGTAGAGACGGCTGTTGGAGTAGTCATCGAACTGGGCGGCCTTGCTGCAGTCCACATTGAACCACCAATCACAGACCAGGGTGATGGAATTGAAAACCTACAAACACAGACAGCCAATCAGCGTTCTGTCGTCAGCCAATCAGAGCGCGCGGTGACGTACACTCATATTGGGGCACAGGTACGAGGTCTGGTTGCCGTTGATGTCGCAGCGGTGGAAGACTGCAAGACAGAGGGTTAATAATCAAGAAAACCTGATGTAAACAGGCATGTAATGGATTACCCTGGCATCGGGAACCCGCGGAGTTGTCAGCATAGAAACCTGGCTGGTGGGTGGTGCTGCAGTCAAAGCTACTGGCCGGAATGACGGCATTATTGGGGTAATCCTGACCAGCACGGGCGGTAGCGATCAGGTTGTACTGGTCGGGTACGGTCAACTTGTTGCGGCCCCGCAGCTGATCCAACGCCGCAAAGGCTAAGGGGTTCTGGGTCTTCACAGCGCGCTTAGCCTACAAAAGATTAACAGCTACAAAATGGGACTAAAGCTGTTAGTACCGGAAATAGCCACTACAAAAAAATTAAGATGGAAACTACGTAAAGTTTACATTGAGTACTGTGGCTTTTGATATTGTTACCTTAATGCTGGCGGCGGAAGCCACAGCAACGAGGGCAAGAAGAACCAGAATGGACTTCATGGCTAGTACTGAAAGGGACCGTTAGTATTAAGGAAAGCGCCGCTGGATTGTAGAATTGCTTGAACGGCTGCCTGATGAAAATGTAGCTTGCTTAGCGGTTCTTTTATACGAAGTCAAGTTTTTCTGCTTCGAACTTGGCGCGAACGTTAACTTCCGCAGCATTGCATAAGGTCCACTAAAACAAGGGTTAACGATTTAATTAGAACAGAAGCGCCCGGAGTTAATTAAAACTGAATCAGCCTATTAAGCAGTGTACTGTGTTCCATCGACGATTCTATCATTTCTTGTTACTTAATATCAATCGCGACAAATTTTGACCAATACGTGAAACAACGATTTTGGAATGTCAACGATTTTACAGTCGCCGGCGTAATGATACAGCCGGCAATTAATTTTTATTAATTATTCTGATACATCTAGCCATTTTTACATAATTAATTGTTGGACGGTTGTTCGTTGGCCGCCCCGGTCGGCCTTGAGCTTGTAAATGACCACTTCGTGTTAGCAGAGGCAGTAAAATCGATGTACGTAAATTGACTAACTTAAAATTTCCAAGACTCTAAGATCGGCTGGCTTATGTTGAGTGGTGTTTAGTCATTTTTCGCCAGATAATTAAAGAAGACATTAAATATAAACAAGAAACAAATTGCAGTATTTATGAAACCGGTTCGACCCAACTGACTACTGTACGTACTCGTATTAAAGACGTGTTTTTATAAAATACTTAGCGCAATAATAATATGTTGCGAAGGTTAGTCGTAAACTACCGAGTAGTTACCCTTAACTTGCTTTTTGAAGCTATTTGTTTACACTTTACCTAAATAGCCAGTTATATATGGCTCAAGTTTCTTCCTGAAGAAAATTTAGAGAAAACGACTTTCAAAAACGAACCCGAAAAGCGAAAATAACGATCAGCACGTAATATATAGATACTGCATAATAGGTGGTATGCAAAAGTGTCAAGAATACCATATTACGTTTATAATGTTCGGATTTGAATGGGTTCAGTTTTTTTTATTCTCGTAGTTTTCCTTGTGCTTTTTTTTATAATTAGGAGATTTGCATATATGCATTGTACTCGATAGCCCTCCAGGTTAGTATTTACATTTTTCATCAAACGAATGAAAAACAACGAATTTATTAAAAACGATGAATGAAAATGAAAGAACAATTAAAAAAAGGAATTTAATAAAACGATGAATGTATTAAAAATAATGCAAATGCATTGTATAGCTATGATGTACGTGTCGCGGCGCTTCACCCTTTGTGGTGTACGTTGAACCTGGCGCATCTTCTTAATCATCTACAGCGTGTGATCAAACCAGTCCTCTCGCTTTCACTTCACGCTATTAATACGTACAAAGAATCACAAAGATCGCTCTTGTGCCTCGAGGCGAAGAAGATGGCAGTTCATCTTTACATTCTGTATATATGCCTATAAAGCACGGCGACAACACTTCCGCTTTGTACGCGCTGACCATTTTGCGTGGATTAACGATTCCGGTCAGATCGTGACACTGTTTACATTGACAATGTGGCCGGTACGGTTTATTATTTTTGCGCTGGGAATTACGTATACCGTGGGAATAAATCCCGATGCGGAGGGAATCGAAGCCGCCCGGGATGACAAAGTTGACGCCGTAAGTTCGAAACATTACAAGCGTAAAATACAATGCTACGGAGTTAACGGAAGCGCGACATCCTGTAGCTAAATTATAACGGAACGCCTCTATAAGGTAACTATGTGCGTACGATCGCGAATGAAATAATTTTGCTGTATAAGATCCTGTTATCATCGCTCGGTCGCGTCAGAATTGATTTGGTCAAAGTTTGGTATTTTTTGCTATAATAGTTAATAATAATTTATTTAATCATCAAACTTAATTAAGTATGAATTAAAACTTAAAATTAATAAAAAAACTCAAACTTATTTAAGTAGGAACACACAACAAATACAATTGTTAAAAATAAGTCAGGTTACGGACGACTGGCCGAGCACGTTCTAAATTTAAAAATTTGCTGCCGGCTCGAAACCTCATTATACTAAAGGTTCTTAAAAAGTTCCACACAATTAATCTGGAATGAATTAACGCGAATTGTACTGTATGTATATCTAACGGATACCGTGATACGAATTATGTAATTCTGCTTAATCAGTAGAACCCACGTAGGTACATATAATTATACGAATTATATTGTTTATTACGTACTTTATATCGTGTATTTGCACGTGTGCACATTCTAATGTTTCAGTTAACCGCGGCCCTGCTCAACCCCCTCCCAGCCATCCAGAACTACCCGAATGCTCGGGAAGCCCGCGGTTCCGGTTTCGGCAACTTTGCATCCTTATTCGGCGGGGGTGGCGGTGGCGGAAGCATGTTCGGCGGCGGCGGCAGCATGCTGAGCAACATGTTCAGCGGCTTCACCAACGTGGTGGACCGCGTGTCTCAAGCGATGGGCGGCCCGGCTATGCCCAAGAACATCAAGCAGGCCATCGCCGACGGGCCCCGCAACCCCCTCGGCTCCTCCAACGGCCTGCAGGCCCCGCGGATGACCCGGCCGGGACCCGACGTCTTCCGGCGCATCGAAGAGCGGAAGAAGAAGGTCAAAGGTCACGGACGCCGCAAACGCCAGTCGGTGTCGGTGAAGGCAATGAAGAAGTTCAACAATCTCGGCAAGGAAGCCATGGTGTCCATGAAGAACACGCCCTTTACCGACGACCTGACGGCGATCCTCCTGGGGATCACGGAGTTCTTCTCGGGATTGAAGAACCTGGGAAGGACCCCGGTGTCCCGGATCAACGAGAAGACGGCGGCCTTCCAGAATGGTGCGCAAAAATTGGTGGAACGGGCGGAGAATCTCCCGAATTCCCTGTTTGGAACGATGCGCAGTAAGCGGGAGGTCAAGAATGACACTAAGACCGCCCCGAAGATCGAGTATGTCCCGGTGCCCTCCGCGATGGTCAACGGGAAGATTGTTCCCGTAGCGTTACCCGAAGAACTGGCCAATGTTATACCGAAACCGCCGGTTGAAAATATCCCGATTCCTTCGGCGATGGTCAACGGGAAGATCGTCCCGGTGGCTCTTCCGGAGGACTTGATGCAACCCAAAGTGCAGACGGTACCGGTGCCTTCCGCAATGGTCAACGGGAAAATCATCCCGGTTGCTTTTCCTGAGGAACTGACCAAACCGGAAGTGGAGAACATCCCGGTTCCGTCGGCTATGGTCAACGGGAAGATCGTTCCTGTTGCTCTTCCTGAGGAACTGACCCAGCCGAAGGTGGAAACCATCCCGGTTCCGTCGGCCGTAGTTAACGGAAAGATTGTCCCGGTTGCCATTCCCGAGGAACTGGCCAAACCGGAAGTGGAGACCGTCCCGGTGCCTTCCGCAATGGTCAATGGAAAAATCGTACCTGTTGCTATTCCCGAGGAGCTGAATAAAGCGGACATCGAAACCGTGCCCATCCCCTCCGCCATAGTTAACGGGAAGGTCGTTCCCGTGGCGATCCCAGAGGATATGGCCAAACCTGACTACGACGCCGTCCCGGTTCCCTCGGCCTTTGTCAACGGACGAATCGTCCCTGTAGCGCTCCCGGAAGAACTCACCAAACCGGATATGGAAATTGTCCCCGTTCCATCCGCCCTGGTTAATGGAAAGGTTGTCCCGGTGGCCCTTCCCGAGGAACTCACAAAACCCGAGATGGAGACCATCCCTATCCCCTCCGCCATGGTTAACGGACACATTGTCCCGGTGGCAATCCCCGAAGACATCGCGCAACCCTCCGAGAACATCCCCATCCCCTCCGCCATGATCAACGGGAACATCGTCCCGGTGGCTGTTCCCGAGGACATGGGACAGTCGCCGGAGATGCCTGTGCCGGTTCCTTCGGCTATGATCAACGGCCGCATCCTCCCGGTGGGTATTCCCAACGGGATGCAGCCCCCGGTGCAGAATATCCCGATTCCCTCGGCCATGGTCCACGGGCGGTTGGTACCGGTGGCGGTGCCGGCGGAGGACGCCGATGATTACGATCAGTACGAGGAGGTACCGGTTCCGTCGGCCATGGTCAATGGGCAGATGATCCCGGTGGGTCAGCCTCCCATGATGATGCCGCCGCCGTCGGGATTCCCGCTGCCCATGGGAATGGCGGGACGGTTGCCGAGTGATGATGATAATGATGTGCGAAAGGAGGTGGTCAATCATAGTCTGCGGGAGTTGGCCGTGGCGCATCAGGAGAACTGGTTTACGTATTTGAGGTCACTGAATGGCAGTACCACGGAGTGCCATGAGTGGGATTTTTGTCAGACGGCCCGGGCCAGTAATTTGTTCGAGACGTCCGTCGCCAGGAATGGCGCCAAACTTTTAAGGTAAGTATTTAAACTGGGCAGTAGTAACACAGTAAATTATACGCATTATCATTTTTTTGAATTTCTGATCTAAGTATTTCGAACGCTTCTTTATTGTAATCGTTGAAAACTGTTTAATTTTAAAAAATTACTATTTTATATAATTATAAAATATGCTGTGTACTATACATAAATACATAATTTTAGTTACAAATTACAAAGGACAGACTTAACTAAAATAAACTTATGACGGTGTCAGGTTTTTCAGCAATATGTAATGGGGCGCAGCTAACAGCCACATTCTCTTCTAAGCAGATAAAATAAATTCCAAAGCACCCAGCCAATCCAGCAAAAAATATATACTTGTAAAAACCTTCGGAATTATTTTCGCTATTAAAGAGCTGAGAATAAATTCCTTAATTTTTTTAACGAATTTTAAACCGAGTCGAAGCGACTACTTTAAGGAAGGCTTTCTCATATATAATTTGATGTAATTAAATGAGGAAGGTTAATGCGCTGCGGAGATGTGTAAAATAATTATTATGTACAAATTTCATTTCTTTACAGTTACGTCGTGGCGTATCTGCGTGACCGGCGTGACAAAGTTGGCCATCGTCTGGCCCAAGCCGTTGACTGCTGTTTATCGGACAACCCGCTGATGGGTGAACGATGCGAGAGTTATTACCATGAAAAATGCCTCAAGTCCGATCCGAAGTACGCCAAATCGAGAGACTAATGCTTTCTCACTTGACAAGCACACATCATGCTGTTTTTTTGTGTTCGCTTACCTGATCAATGATCACGGTGGTGATGTTGCGGAAGTAGAAGTGGGTCAATGCCGGCATGCTCATGACTGCGCCGCGTCTGTGTACTTCGTATCTGTAATTATGCAATGGGCGAAACGGCCGATTTGTCGGTGTCCTCTACGGCGAATCCGCCGTCCGTGTTTACCAGAAGGTTGCTTGTTTATTATTTTGGTTATGTTATTTGTTGCTCAGTTCCTTGTATTAATGATAAGAATGATGGTTTCTATTAAAACAGTTACGGATGGTCATATTAATTTTCCTACCAGGTTTTGAGTACAAACTCTCTCAAAGCGGTTCGAAAAGTTGTATTTGGATAGATAACTGAAACATATAGTGCTTTATTACGAGTACTTTCCAGTGAGACAATGCTTTACTAGGAAAGTTTAATTCATGGGAGCTAATTATCAGAAAATAAACCCGCCGTTGATTGGCTTTTTTACAATTTGATTTTTCAAATCCCTTAAATTTCTAATAATGTCCAATTTCGAATTTTTTACCAGGTTTAGTGAGATATATCAATTAGCCGTTGTAATATTAGTAGTAATCGCGAATCGTTGAAAACAAGCTGCGCCTTCCGTTTAAGTAGTTAAGAAAATTTATTATTTATACCGGGGTTTATCCTGCTTCGATTTGAAAACTGGCTGGTAGATATTTAATAATTATATCCTGTGATTTTAGTCCACCATACAGCGCATCAATTATAGCTGACAAATGGCATTTAGTATTAAGTCAATATTATCTGATAATAATTCTTCAACCGAAACCTCCTGTATGCGTACACACTACTATACCGGTATAAGTGCAGTAGCATGAATCCGTATGAGCGCGTAGTGCGACTGATCGATGCGCAGATAATTTATGACTAATATGAACAAGCTCTTGTGGCGCAACCGGTTAGCGCGTTCGGCTGTTAAGAAAATTTAATGGATACCGAAAGGTTGGTGGTTCGAATCCACCCAGGAGCGGAATTTTTTGCTTTTTTCCTTTATGCCAAAGGTTTTTTTACTAGTTTACGCTATATACAAACGCAACACAACTACGATATAACCAGAAAGTAACAAAAATAAATTTTTAAACGGATTTATACAAGAAAGAAGTCCTATCGTGCGCGTGATATATACTTAATGTGCGGTACAGAGTCCAAAAATATCCTGACCAGTGACTACGCGTCTACGACCACCGCTGACCATAATTTCATAAATACCGCTGTTTCCGTCAATTTGTGAATATTTCAAGGGTTTGTTTATACAGCCGCGTAATATGCCATCCGGGTACCATTTGGCTATTACCGCAGTTTATATGTTGTCTAGCGTAGTCTTGCTGGTCTGGTCATTTTCCGGCGCGGATCACCACGTGCGTATAATGTATGCCGGCTGCGCGTTCAAGTGGCTCACTGTTGACTGGATTAGCACATTCCAGTGGAGACTCAAGAGGAATACCGAATATTTGTAAATTCATATTTCAAGCCTTTAAAGCACAGCTGCATCGACGACACTTCAAGTGAAAATCATCGCGTAACAATATTTCGATACAATAACTATTATGTCCATTAATACGACACGTTTCGCTGGATTAACTGGATTGGTGTTAACCGCCGGGCTGTTGTGTATCATCACACCATACGGTAAAAATTAATAATTCAAGTGTATTTTGGTCCGAAACTACCGATCTGAGAATCTTGTTGAATATTCACTTTCTTTATAAATAAGGCAGTAAAATTTCGTGTTGATGTCTTCTATGGGTTTAATGTGTAGTATCGGCTACGACAGTCCCGGTAGCACTCGAGGATGACAACCTTGACTGTGTATTTGAGCGGGATTTTTGTGGATGGAAACCTTACATTGTTAACAGCACGTGGAGACGATCCAACACGTCAGATGGCGCTATCAACGGTATTCGACCACCGAACGGTAATTATTACTCACACGGTACTTTTAATTACTGCGTCGGTGCGTCCTAGGGCGCGCGTCGATAAAATATTTATTATGCCGTGCGTAACGATACGACTATAAGATACTAATCACTGACCACAATTTTAAAAATTGTGTAAGTTAATTATTGTGATGAATTTTTTTCGAACTTTTTAAAAACATCAAAAATGGTATTTTTTGTTTTCGACAAAAAACGATTTGCTATATGTCATCTCAGCTATAATTAAGATTTTTTATGAACATTGCCAAAGTCCGTCTACTGGGTAGTTGATGGGGACAATTTTTCTAATTCTTAGTTCACTAACCATTGCTAAAATATTCCGTTTATGGCTTGTTGGCAATCGTTTGCACCCACGTTTTGCTGCCCTCGTTTTTGTATTAGTCGTAATTTTTGTTGTTAGATTTTTAGCAAGCGTCCATACTGCTGTTATCGCATTTCCCAGTATCTGTCTCCTGGTAATAATATTGTTACGGTATAAAATTAACTTGCGGGCTTATTTTGCCTTTTCCGGCGTTTTCAAGTGCTTATTCGTACGCGCTCCTCAGCTTGCCAGCAACATATAATTTTGATTAGGTATTCAACTACCGCAAACCGTAAAATTACGTAGAAGTACTTACAAGACGATCCAAGCCGAAAATCGACTTTACGCTGATTTCTTTTCGTGAATGCAGGAACTGATTGGATGGCTTACGCTATCTCTACGAGTGAATCGTGGGCGGAACTGGAGTCCCCCGAGTTCACCCACACCGACCCGGCAAACCTGACCTTTGCCGTAGTACAGACCCGTTCGGACTTCGGGTCGCGCATCCACCAAGCACAGTTGTTTCTGCGCACGGTGAAAGAGACCGATACCCAGATGATCTGGTCGACGGTGTCGAGTTTCAAGTGGACCCGGCAGAGTGTCATAATACCACCCGCTATTAACATTAGGGTATCTACCGCTAATTATACAATATCTATTGACTGTTGAGCCGAATGGGAAATCTGAAAGTATTATGGTGCTTTTCTGCAGCTGCTCTTCCGCTTTCGTGTTGGCTTCGATCGCCAGATTGCCGCCATTGCCAATATTAACGTCAGAATTCTGCCGGGTAAACCGTGTCATTTTCCTACACAATTTTCCCTGGTTTCTCTCTAGCTGACAATCAAATCTCCAGGTTTGAGAACTACGATTTGCCACATGATCATAATTATTAGATTGTTTTCGCTCAGGTTATGTTATGAATTCAACTGAACCTTCAACTACGAAAGAATCGAAGCAACGACGCACACAAGTCGCAGTGGACTTGGACAAAGATGTTTCATGTAGTTTCGCCTTGGATGAATGTGGATGGGCGTACAGCGCGGATTCGGATGTTTCCTGGCGGCGAACGAAAGAAGCCGGTAGTCCGTTCTTGTCCGTCGAGGCGCCAAGGAATTCTTCAGGTAAGGAACTTTTGCAGTGAAATTGTGATCCTTTTGTTAACGCCTTTATTGCATTCTTTGGTGCTAATTTTACGACCTTTTTCCTCAAAGCGAAAGGTTGTGTTTACCTTCATATACTGTAGATGCTTCATATACGTTTTTAGATCCATACTTTCTTGAATTTCGTGGAGTGGAAAGCAACGAGATCGTTCGCTCTTACATCATCTCCGAGCCGATCCACAACCAGCGACCCCGCAACCTGTCCTTCTATTACACAAAACGCGGCGAAAACTATGCCGGTTCCGTATTCGAACTGCTGCTGGACCGCTTAGACGAGAATGTCCACAATATTACCATGAGGAACAGCAGTCATAAGGTCATCTGGTCGGCCCCCATCGAGACTGATTATCAGAAGCGCAAGTGGAAGCGCACCACGGTGCTCATTAACGATACGGGAACGATTTCGGTATGTGGTGTTGCTGCACTTTCAGCAAAAAGAATTAAAGCGGTTTATCGTGAATGGGAGTTTTTTGAAACAGAAGATTGATTTTACAGCTTCGCTTCATCTGCGCAGCCAACTATTACATCTTCTGCGGGATTGACGATGTTGTACTCCAGGATGAGATCGAGACTCCAAATTCGGCGACATCGGTTGTAGTGCAGTTTTTGACAATGCTCATTAGTGTGATTGTGCTGCTAGATCACGTCACTTTCTCGTAAAATCTTTAATCGGAGAATTGCAAGGTTCTCGGCAATAACTGTAGCATAACGTAATTCTCAAGGAAGTGTCAAATGTAATTTTAACCGTTTCCTTTGAAGTATGCACAACCGTGTTAAAGCGATGCGTCAGAGCGTTGCAGATTCAATTACTTGTTCGACGCTTTGAATCATCTCGTAATACAAGAATGAATTAGCAAACCAAAGTCATTTTGGAGGCAGTAGTTCCAGTTTCCGATCAATCTGTCTGTACTTTATACAGTGTACAGTCATGCTACGAGTACGCTCATGGCAATCAGGCCATAACAAGCAATCACAACATGATAAACTCCGTTTTAATACATACGTATCTTCACGCTTTACGCAAAGCGGAAACCAACAAAGGTCCCCGCCGGCAGCATTGCGTCACCCTTTCCAAAGCTTTAATTTGGTGGCTCCGTACTAGGTTTCTTCTGGGGTTGGTGCTTTGCATTCTTTCGATTCAGTTGATTGTTCCCCACCAACACTTTTGTTCTATCCAGTATGGCAAACTCTTTCCGTCGGCAGAACAGCTCCCGGCATCCTTTCCGAAAGGCACTGCTGACACCGTAATACAGCAGAAAATTGAACGAATAATTGATATTCATGGTCAGCGATGTGAAGCGCATGAAGAAGGCTTGTGTCGTGTCGGAGACCGGTGGATAACAGAACGGATGGCCGATGAGAATGTTCAGGAGGTTCCACACGAAGGTCGGGGACTGGGCAATAATGTAGAATACAGCGACTACCAGCAGCATCTGGATGGCGTAGCCGTCTCTGGCGCTGTCCGAGTCACTGCTGGACGAACTGGTCCGGGCGTGCAGAGCGCGAAACCGCCGCTGGATGAGCATGTGCGCCGCGACCGCCGAGTTCAACGCCAGAATTGTCATAAAACTCGCGATTGGGTGAATAATCTATAAATAGAGTGATTTGAAAATACGTTCGTACCTAAGCGATGCCATTGATCGTTTTCCTGCAGACGACGAGTAAGCATGCTCTTCCTAGTTTTCTTCGTTCAACGTAGTTCACCTGATAAAAATTTGTCAGATTCGCTTACCACAAAGTACTCGTACACTTGGTGCCATTGCATCTTGCTAACCGGCTCCAAGTGACTGAGAATATTCGGCTGCAAAACATGCAGTTACGGTATAAAGCTGGTTAACCAAAAGATGGCCAACTTGAGGCATGTACCGGACATCGTGGATCATCGTTATAGTAGAACCAGTAGTAGTCGTACAATGTGAACAAAGCCGACACCTTCCCCATCAAGAAAATGCTGCAGACGGTCATAATGGTTCTTCGGCGGCTGACAATCTGTCCATATTTTAAGGGCACGGCCACGGCTAGGAGACGCTCAATACTGAAGCCAATCAGCAACCTAGAAAGCGAGCGTTTCTATAAGTCTTACAATCACTGGTGTAATAGCTACGTTTACAACTTTATATGCATCCCACTGTTACGAGTATGGCTGGTTGAAGTACTGTTTGTATGGACAGTCATAATGTGATGCGGTGAGAAAGGAACAGTGTGTATGAATCATTCTCGTATTGAACTGTATAAGGACACAATGGAAAGGCGGTAGACAGCAAAAGTGTGGGGATTATCCTATGGAAAGTGAGTAGAGGAAGTTCAAGGAAGTGGCCTGGAAGTGTTAACCAATTATAAGTGTGTAAAGCGGATTTCAATCTCTCAAAAAACAATCTATGAATAAACCTGTCTGTCTGGTTTCTATCTTGTCAGTGAGTTTAAGGAGTGTTCTTTCATCTTTCATGTTATGTATCAAAAAATCACTGTTGAATGCTCGAGGGAGAAGAACTTCTGATGACTGATTTAGTATCATCTTGCATGGATAGCAGCTCTGGAATATCTTGACTGGAAAGTGGTTTCTGGAATATCTTCTTAGCCTTGATGTTGTTGCACTATTAGGTTGAATGAGTTTATATAAAGGTCATCGTGGTTAAGGTCGATTGGGTTAAGCGTCACCTTTGAGTTGTTATATATCCATAAAATCATAGCACCACAAACATCAACTAACACTTATTAGTTGGCCTGCGCTCAAGGTCTGACTCAGACTCTGACCGCTCAAACACTGACTCTGACTACTCAAAGTCTGACTCTGACTCCCTTATTACTTACACCACAAATCGCCGGTCTTATAGTATGGCTGCGTGCGGGTAGGATTAATGGCGACCCGCTTATTCCATGGATATTGTATCGTACTTGGGTCTTGGGTTGTATCGTATACTGTATCACAGTGCACAGAAATTAATTCTCATAGCCGGTCCTAGGCGGACCGGCGACCCCGGGCTCTAACAGCGCCGCTAACTGGACTGCAGCGTTTTGCAGGTGCGCCATTCGTGGTTCTAGCACCTTTGCTTCACTCTGCAGAAGTGACTGCTTGGATGCATTGACTGAAAACGCAGTGAATTCACGGTGTAGCAATAACGGACCTCATCTGTCTGATGCATTCGGCGTATTGTAGACCGGATCACGAAATTTGCTACTAATCGCTTATCATAATTTATAGAAATAAATAGAAATAAAATAGAAAATAAAATTTATAGAATAATATAATATAGAATAATATTTAATAAAATAGAATTTATAGAAATAAAATTCGTCGGAGTCCCCTTGGGACAGTGTCAAGTACTTACTGCAGCCCCTCGATCAAGTTGCACCAACGAGTCCGATTTACGGAAAGAGTCAAATACGCTGTTTAAACGCTGCCATTGTTCGACTGGGTGAACGGGATGTTCTACACTGGAAGATAGCGATCGGGGCTGCATGTGGTGCACTTGATCGAGGTGCATAGTAAATGTACATTTACTGCGTTTCCACTACCCATGTTGTTTCTGTGCTTACCAGTCAGAAGTATTAAGGAATGATTCCGTGACGAATGTCGAAGCCCCAGCAGCACTTTGGATAAATGATGGGATGAGCTGTGAACCGCCGGTTCCGGCCAGGACATCACCCAGTTGAAGAAACAATTGCCCCCACCTGCACAGTAATATGACAGGGTCGCGTGGTAAAATGGCATACGATAAGGTTGCAGTCTATTGTACTGCGCTAAACGAAGTTTTGGTTTACTTTATTAATAGTGTGCACGGTATGTACTGTGCTAGTTGTTCGTAATCACGGGATTTTCAACTTATTCCAACAGTAAACAAGAAAATTTCTGGTTTTCCAGTGGTAGTTTTCAAAAGAACATAATTTCTGGATGGATGATTCTGTTCGGCACCGGTACGCCGTGAATCTCACCGGTAACGAGTGAGGTGTACTAAATATTTATAAACCATAATTAGTACACATAAAAGTTTTTAATGGTACATTACTTCTCTGTCACCGCAGTTTCAGTTAAGAAAACAATTCTTACTGTATGTAGTAACAAAAAAGTAGTCCATACTCAGATGATTTGATTTTGATGCACCTTACTGAAATTTACCTTTTTGGTGAAACGCTGATTTAGTAACTGGTCAAGTTCTGCTGCATTGTGGTTAGCGATGGCATAACTAGCTGTGCAGAATTTTTGACGACCTTGAGCTAAGCCACACAAGTGCACTAACACTCTAACAGTATTGTCTCTTGCCTTCGTGCATGAACCGTCGCACGACTGCCGCATCGAACGTTGCCACTAGTGGTGTTTTGCGCTTTTCAAGGTTGCGACTTTGCGGTTTATTTGGTGCCCGGGCTAGCTGCTGGATTTCGAAAAATTTATTACTTTCAGTAGGCTTAAAATTTAAATTTTAAAAAAACTATTAAATTTCCCTTGCATATTAATCAAAACAGTCCTATGAAACAACGCTCATTTCACTTACATGACTCCCATGTCCGCAACGGCTAAGGCAATCAGATAGACATCAGCGGAGGATTTCTTATTGCGCCGCGACGCATGTTCCCGGCGCATGATAATAATGTTTAGAATATTTCCTACTGTGCACAGTGCCAACAAAATGGGATACATGACAAAAACCAGGTATTTCACCGGGTGTGCATTCACACTGGTCATGTTTGACGCGGTGCGGTTGCAAGAGTCCACCTGCAGATCCTGATTCGAGGCGATGATTTGGTCCGGTGACAAGTTGAACGCCTGTGCAATGCGCAAGAATTCATCGCATGTTGAAAAGTTGACTTGAAAAACCTCCTTGGTGGAGGTATAGTTTTCTTTAAAATCGTACGCAAGGTCACTGTAATCCATGATTTCGAGGATCGGTTAGCAAATGTCTGTGACCGAATACTGTGCGCTTTAAATTCAGTTTAAGGTGAGTTGCAAAGCAAGCATTAAAGTCAAAATCTGCAAAAATAATATGGAGTTGGGTGTTAATTTTACGATTCAATTGTGCCGCGGCCACTTCACATGTTCGTTGACCGGAAGTCGTCTGCGGTGTTTCCGTACCATAGTTCGATCTAGTATACTAGCCTGAGGATGTTTGGAAAGTCGTATACACAGTCTCACTTACTGTTTTACTGCAATGGCTGTAATGGTTGTGGAAGACTGGCTTTCACACAGTTCTCATAGGGTTTTCAACTGTATAAGTAATTCTGTTTCTAGAATTAGAAAGAAGCAACGGATAACCAGGAACTTGCAGGTTGAAGGCATGCTTTCGTGTTGTACGTACTACATATGTACCGCGCCTTCGCTGATCAAGCGGTCACTGGTGTACTGTACGTCAAAATAACTAGCTTCAATCTCTGGTAATTTTATCGGTTGTCAAATTTTCCCCTTCTTTGACCGGAAATACGAAATTGCTTAATTGTAAGCTAGTAAATAAAGCTATTGTTTCATTTAAAAGCTAGGTTTCTTGGCATTCGGAAAAGGCGAGAAGCCCGAAGATATTAATGAATAAGAGGTGTTTTTCATAATAACGTACAAATACATATATTATATGATAAAATCATAAAACGAACTCCGGTAACTGGGACACAACGATGTGCAGTAATGGTGCTCATGTTACAGCATGTATCGTACCACTACAGAAGTATAGATATTCCTTAATAAAGCTTAATTTAGTCAGCAATCAAAAACGAGTGTACAGATCAGGACAAAACTAGTTTTTCAAACGCGTTTTACAGCAAACCTAAGGTTAGTTGATTGAACAAGGAAAAGGCCGATTGTAAATTCTAGCAGCTAATTGAACATACTTGCATGGTACGTATATGAAAGCAATAAAATAGTAATCCTGCGCAGTCGTATTTGCCGGTCTCAGTGGTTAGCCGTCAGTGGCTTTGAGGTCTTTGGCGGGTAGACGAGGGACCGGGTGCATTATTAGTTTGCTTTTGGAACTGACCAAGCTTTTTGTTGGAAGTTTGTTGAGTATCCTTTTGCTGAACGGATGGTTTACCGCTACTCCCAGCGACCAGAGAGCTAACAGAAGGAGCATTGGCATTCTGGTTGGAAGTTTTTGCGATGGGAGATTTGTTTGGTGAAGAAGCCTGGTTTCCGGAAGGAGATTTGACATTTTGCTCTGAATTCGGTGAACCGGGCAGCTTGTCGGCACTTGGAAAACGAAACTAATAGGGAGATGCAAACACACATGACTTCCAGGCGCAGCAAGTGTCGATAAAGGAGTTACAACGGTGACTTACCGTCGAAACCGCAGTTATTGATTCTGCACTCGTTGTCATAGACAGGCTTTGGTTGGGAGCATTTTGGTTGGGTTTCTTCGGGGCGGCAACTGCGGTCAAAGGAGAAGTCTGATTCCCTGACAGGCCGATGTCACCAGAAACCGAATTCTGCGAGCTGGGAACGGGGATTTGAATGCGATACTAATAAGGAGAAAGCGAAAACATTTGACTAACGAAATAAAGAGAGCCGAGGAAATTATTTTGAGCTTTATGCCGGAATAAGGTGACTGCACAGTCTGCACTTACCGTTGTTGCTGCTGTTACTGGTTTCGCTGATTGCGTCACGGGTGAACATTTCCCCGTATTGTTAATGCTAGTTACCATGGGCGGATGGGTGCACTGGCAGTACAGGGGGCTCCCGCAGTCATCTGGTCCTTTGCACGGCAATCCGTCGATACAGACGCCGCTTACACCGTGAGCTGCAAAAATTGCTACATAAAAATGTGAAAGAAAATGATCAGTTGTCTTACTTGTAGTAATTGGGGTTGACGTTGTGGTATCAAAAGCCGTCGCTGCCGCAATATTTGCACTGAACAGAACTATAAGCGCAAATACATCGGTCAGACGTCCCATCATTATCAACAGAGAACTACCTAACTGTACTACAATTAGTTAAAAATTTAACTCAGGACTAAAGTTGCTAGCATACCTTGTTTCTTTTTAGTCGTGAGAAGCTTGTTTTTATTCCATTTTTTTGTCTGCCTAAGCGGTTGTTCTCAGGTGGTTCCTGTAAAATATCTTGCACACTCGAAAAAATTCCAGTATTTGGCTGGGCTGGTAACGCACTAACCATGCAAAACTCAACAGATTTTAAGCCTTTCAGAACAGATTTCCCGCAATCGTCCCTGGGAGGATCTTGAATTACTGCTGATAACCTAGCCTAACTAAAAGTATCCGGTAGCTTGCGCAGCAAACTGTGATCGGTATTCAGTGAAAATTCACGAAAAAGCACTGACGCAGAGGTACTCGTATTATTCCAATCGCATTTATCAAAACACTTCAGGACCGCATAACAGGGAACAGGGTATTGTATCACTATATGTATAAAGCGGTATGTGTTTCAAGTCCGATATAACAGGAATATACATATACTGCGGCGTGCTGCATTCACGACATAGCAAAGTAAGAAAAGATTTTGTGTTTTATAAAGTAAAAAAGGTGCTCCAAAAATAAAATTTTTTTGTAAAAGTATCCTACCATTTTTTCGGTTTAAAAAAATGAAAGTTTCTTAAGAAAATTCAAAATTCATTAGTTCAGAATTAGACAATAGACACTTTGTTTGCTGCCGGAAATAAAAAATATTTTTATTTTTAGAGTTTTCTAAAGCACTAGTTAACATTCGAATACACTTCTTCCGATGCCACTGTACGGACCGTTTATTTCCGCAATTAGCACAGCTGTACTGTTTATTTTCACAGTTAGCGCAGTTGTACAGGTACAGTCTACTTCCTGTGTACTTCCGGAACACTATATTGCTCACAGATGCCTCTACATTTTATGCAATGAAGTGAATAAACTAAGGAAGAACTACTCTAGTGCAGTGTACCACCACATCTGTACACACATATTTAAGTAAGGGATTCGTTAAACATTTGTGTTTTAATAAAATCTTGGAAGCACAAAAATGTGTACAATAGGAATTGACTTAAAAATGAAACAATTCGCGATAAAATTTAAACAAAAGTTACTAAAACGCTCATACACAGTGATTACACAAAAAGTCTTAATTTGGTACAGCATGTCATGTAGTATTTACAATGTTATTTCTTGTAAAGCTCAGCTTTTCTGCTCAGTAGAATAATGAACTGTACTTTAATACGTATCACGATACAAGTGCAAGCTAAGTACCAAAACCCCACAATCACCATGATAATAAGTATCATCACCACCTTGCATGGGTAGTGACCGTCCATTGCGCTTGAAATGAGACTAATAGCATTCCGATATACGTGCAAGCCATGAGTGCACATACGGGAAACCGCAAAATGTATGCGTTCTTTACACTAATCGCAAAAAATCAGACTGCATCACGAAAACGATAAAGGTATGACCCATCATAAATTTATCACTTCCTACTCGAGTAGTCGTATTCGCTGAGTCGGTTGTGATACCTAAGTTCACTCATTTAACGACGCAGGGCCTTATGTGCAGAAATCGGCACGAGTACAGTCTGTATACAAGGAAACAAGGACAATTCAGAAGCTTTGCGTAACTTGTTCCATATTTTATTGAAACTGCCTTCGCTTATGGCTTCAACGAAACCATGTAACCACTAAATAAAATACAGAAAGGTTCGCACTACCGATACTGAGACAGGTGATCATATCAGAGCACTAAAGAAATGGGCACACAAGGCTCCCAGTCTGCCGTATAAGTATGTTTTTTCAACACTCAGTATCATTTATCGAGTATTCTGTTTGATTAAAATTTACAGATGCGGATCCATTGGGGATTCCAACAGCGCAGTCAATCGGCAGAAAAAGGTCTTCTCTAAACATTTCGCTGTTTGCCCAACTAAACTGGAAAGCGTAGACCTCAAAGGTTTGAACGTGGTCACGCAACAAGGCAGTGTTCTCTTTCCACCAGCGGCGAAACCAGGCAAAGTCACATCCGCAGTGCAGTCGGAACAGATAGTCTAGGTGGCTTTGCTCGAAAACTGGTGTCGGTACCCAGCGAAATTGTGCATCACGGTGTTTCTGTATGCCTTTCTCCAACGCCACAATCCGCAGATCAGGTAGATCGCTAAATGCGTCTCTCTCTAACGTACGAATTGTAACATTAGTATAAACAATGCTTCGCAGTTTTTTGGATCGTTGGTAATCTTTCCTCCGGACGTCGAGCTCCGTGCAGTCTTGCAAGATATGCTCTAGCGCATTGAAGAAGTCAAATTCATATAACATGTACGTCGACCGGACGCTCACACATCCAAAGATTCCGAAACTTACAACCTGATTTCGAATTGACTGCAAATCCACAGCGGTAAGGTGAGATGCAGCATCCCCAGAAATCCAGATATCGATGGGTCGGGAGTAAAACTTTGTCGACCCTGCCGCCGTCAGTCGCGCATGCTCTGCCATTCCCTCGGGAGTTTCACAGCCCACGTCCACTCCTGCAACGCCATCATACCAAGATTGGCAACCGTAGACTGCAGCATTGAGCGGCAGGCAGCCCAAAGAGAATCGTAAATGGCACTCTTCAATAGTGCCCTTTACGGTTCCCATTACAGGGAATTTTTCCGGGTCGCCGCTGCTATTTTTGCATCCGGGGTTCCATTTTTCTGGATCTGAAAACAAGTGAGTCAACTTATAATTAATTAATATATATATATATATATATATATATATATATATATATATATATATATATATATATATATATATATATATATATATATAATGTTGTTCGGTTTTTGCAGTTTTGGGTGAGACGAAAAACATTTGAAAAAGAGGGAATGACATTCGTTGCGCCTCCGCGGGGACTAACGGTTCCTCTCATCATCTCATGATTCTTTTATGCGAATATCGCTTTTTCCCATAATTTCAAAAAAAATCAACTGAAAGCTTTGCCCGTTTGCGCATTCTTCCATAACTCAATCACCTCACTGCCTGTAGCAGTGAAATGGAGCATCATCCCACGTTTGTAACCGGCAAAACCGATCGTCGTAAATTTTGTCAGCTCACTTGTGGTACTGTACTCGGACATTTTTATATGCTGTGAAGTGCCCACGTTCCTGCCAGGCTATATTTGCGCAGGTTTTGCCAGCTTACGCGTGGCTTTCCCAAACGGTCTATCAAACCGCACATTAGTCATCATTCTGGTTTTAAGTAGTGTACGTACTACGTACGTTCTAGTACAAGATGTACAAGTACCACGTGAATCTGGATTATTACCCGTAGTTCCGGGCCCGGCTAATGCTCGGTAGCAACGGTATTGTCCTTTGTTATTATCAAGTTTATTGTTTCAGCGACTATTTCGTTAGCTGGCTTCCAGCAGGTTGATGCTAAACTACTTGTTACACCGTCGCGACATACAGGAAATTTATTTAACCTTCTGAAATGCCATTAGTTAGATTTTTACCGTGACTTACATCGCTCCTCATTGGCTGAAAAAATCGGTTGCGAGTTGTCCATAGTGTTGAATCCAGTGTGGAACGGATTCGTGGCGCAGTCAACCGGCAAGAAAACGCTCTCTTTAACAAAAACGCCGTTCTCCCATGCACCGTCAGTGGTTCGATATACTTCTCCCTCCGCAGCCTGACGCAATAGTCCGTTCACCTGCCACCAGTCTCGGAACCATTCGTACTCGCAACCGCAATGCAGTCGCGCCAGGTATTGTCGGACTCGATCATCAAAAACCCCCATTTCATGGAAAGCACTTTCTAAGGATAACAATCGCAACGCCGGAAGATCAGTGAATGTATCCACTTCCAGAAACTGCAAGGTTGTATTCCAAAATTCAATCAGTCTGAGTTTGCTGGATTGCCAGAAATCCGCTCGTCGCACGTCCAAGTTTCTGCATTGTGCCACTATGAAGTGTAACAGATTCGGCATACGTAATTGCGCCAACTTCTTTGTTGAGCGTGGTGTGATGCAGTTATTCAAGCCAAAGATAACTGTTTGCTTGCGTACAGGAGAAAGGTTAGCAAAGCTGATGTAAGCACCGTCTTCCAAACTGATTGCGACCGCTTTAATCGGTGGTTTAGACAAGGCTGTGGCTAACTGTAGGAGCTCTTTTGCGTTGACCTCAGGCTTACACATTATATTTAAACCTTGGTCAAGGGTGCAGTTATTGATGGAGTTATCGGTGAAATATCCGCAGTTGGCAGTGAATTGTAGCGCGCACTGATCCTGGGTCATTGGTTCCGTGGAAAACCGCGGAAACGGCACTGAGAACTCAAAAGGGTCCATTTGGGCTGCAACGACAAACGGTAAAGTGTACGTGGTCACTAGATCGGCGTGTGCGAAATAATTTAATTAGTTTTGCAGTTTGCAACGTCTTCAAGGGTCCAGATAACGACCCGAAATAGTTAGTTTTTGGCGTTGACTGAGGGCATCGGGCATATACCCCTCTTTTTCGCCCGCATATGAGCCAGCATCCAGGTATGCACAGTAGTTATAATGTCGCTGCAGCGTACGCCAAGGAAGACGTAATAAGATGCGTGTATTGACGGTATTTTAGGGCATACAATTCCACCATCTAGTGCTTTTTATATGGATAATGTTAATTATTTATGATTTGTGAACAAAATTTTCGCGCAGCGTAACAAAATATCTTCTAAAAACTGGATTGAAACCGTAATTAATATCACAGTGGGTAATTAATATGGCTAAACGTTACCTTCATCGTTGGCAGAACTACAGCGAAATAACTGCACCGCAGCAATAAAGTGCATTCCAGCTAATATCGGTTTCTTCATTTTGGATGTTCATACGAATATGATTTAAAACAGCAGATTTGATAACCACGAATCCTTTTGCAGTTCCTTGATAATTACGGACAGCTTTTGCCAAGCTATGGCTATAACATTTTTCTTTAATGGTAATGGGTGAAATCTTGCTAGGTAGCAAACGATCCCGGATCTCGCCTGCCGGCGAAATGTTATCCGCGAAATGCTTACTAACTTGCGGATATTGAATTTCGTAACACTTGGCATGTGCCCCATAAGTGTGAATCGCAAGATCCTTACCATCGGGCACATACTCGTATTAATGTTTACTGCATACTTTCACGTGCAGCTGTCTATAATTTCGCCGTACCGTTCCGATGAAAAAGGTTTTAAAACCCAAAACTGGTTATGTGGTTTTCAATGATGATGCATTCCGTGTTTCAGGCGAATTACATATATATATTTCTGTAACCATAATTAAAGAGGTGGGTGATTCATTTTGCAGTTGCACTGTATGTGATCCGATCTTGTCATCTTGACGCTTTCTTCTGAAATGAAGTGGTACGTTAAACCTTCCTGCTCGAGAGTTCCTAATAAAGTATAAGTAATATAACCAGCATTTTTTATTGGAAAGTTACTGCACATAGTAGCATTATTATTACCTCATTTCCCAGTGCAATGGATTTTGATAACGTGACGTTGAAGGATACTGACCAGGGCGCCGTCAACTGATAAAAATTCAGAAAATTTTCTTTTTTTGTTTAAAGACACCGTACAGTAACATTAAAGTAAGCATAAACAATTTTTTTCAACTGCCGTGGTCAACAGGGGGTTGCAAAAACAAAAACCGAACGAATACATTACATAGTGCTCCAAACTGCATATACCTACTTAAATTCTTGTGAAAATTCCGTACGAAACACAGCGGAAGTAATTGGGCGTTTGCGGGTAGAACGGGTCGGCGGCGCGGCGGCATATGCGAAATCGAAGGTGCAGGTGATGACCTCACCGGTTCGAGCTTCCGATATCCCCACTTCCACCCGACTGCCCCCATTTATTGCATTGAGTAACAGAACAGTTGCGAAAGCAATTACATCAAAGGCCACCATGTAGTGTGGGCGGGTGGTAAAAGAAGACCACAAGAGGGGTAAATCAGCGGACTGATAAAATAACAGCTAGTCAGCACGACGGATCAGAACAGAATGCGCAAAGTAATCGGGCAGTGTGCACGGCCGGCGGCAAGTGTCACACGCGTTCCCAAGGCATGACAAAGGAAGTAGGCCTGTAGGCTGAGCCAACGCGAAACAAAACAATACAGGGAATTTGCCACGAATTTAACTTCACTTAGCTAGCTAACTGTCCTTTAATGCAGTGCAGTAATCAGTACGAGTATAGCCCTTTTCCCAATAAGTTCGTTTGATTTTGGGGGCACTGCTGTAGCCATTGGCCTCCACATGTCTCCAAATGGCATCGACGTAACCGCAGCATGCATGCGGCGGGCAGTGCAATCGCTGCCGAACTGCAAAATTCAAAAATTGTTCGGTTTTGCTGTGCAGTTTTTGACAGTGTGACTCTGCTGCTAGATCGCTCCTGTTTTTTTTTCGTAAAAAGTTTAAGCGAGACTCGCAAGGTTCTCGGTAATAACTGTAGCACAACGTTATTCTCAAGACCGTAACTGCAACGTTTCAATGTAGTTGCAACCGCTTAAATTAATGCGGTGTTGAAGCGATGTAATGCGAAACATTTCAATTTGAATACATTTATTTCACCCGCGGTACAACATATTGTCTAATAATTGCAAACGTCGACATTTCTTTATAACATCAAAATTTCATTAAACTTTTCTGCTCCTTCCATCGTTCCAATAACCGATGCTGCGTTGCCGCGCTGTATCCCCAGTGACAATCTCTGGCGTAAAACTTCAGGAGAATGGGCTTCGCCTGTGTGTTGCTCTAGTCGTTTCTTCAGTGCTTTGATAATGGCGATAGCGGACGGTCCCCCATTATTTGAAAAGCTATCGCTGCGAAGATGTATCTGCCGCATAGGTACAGATAAAGCCGGGACTTCTTTTCTTCCGCTTCCACCGCTGCTGCACCTGCGTCTGCTGCCGTAGACCCGACGTGGGAAGGCACATTTGAATTGCTTGTTCGGCGCTTCTAGCCATGTTGGTTGGAAAATGGAGGGTCATCACTGCAACAACTGAAGCAGCTACCAGGATGGAGAAAGCACCCATGCCTGTCATTGGCTCAGTTTATTCCCTGTTTGAATTATCGCGTAATTTAAGAACGAGTCAGTAAATCGAAGTCATTTGGAAGCAGTAGTTCCAACTTCCGATAAATCCATCTGTACAGATAGTACAGTATACAGTCATGCTACGAGTACGCTCATGGCAAGCTGGTCAGAACAACTAGCAAGCAGTCACAACATATATATATACTGTAGTAAACTCCGTTGTACTTCTTACGTATCTTCGCGCTTTACGCACCGGGAACGTTTTAAAGGTCACCGCCGGTAGCACTGCGTCATCTTGTTCCAAGGCTTCAATTTAGAGACTCTGTAGTTAGTTTCTTTTGAGGCTGATGTCTTGCATTCTTTCGATTCAGCTGATTGTTTCCCACCACCACTTTATTTTTTATCCAGTATGGCAAACTCTTTCCGTCGGCAGAACAGCTCTCGGCATCCTTTGCGAAAGGCACTGCTGACACCATAATACAGCAGAAAATTGAAGGAATAGTTTATGTTCATGGTGTGAAGCGCATGAAGAAGGCTTGTGTCGTGTCGGAGACCGGTGGATAGCAGAAGGTATGGCCGATGAGAATGTTCAGGAGGTTACAACGAAGGTGGGTGACTGGGCAATAATGTAGAATACGGCGACCACCAGCAGCATCTGGATGACGTAGCCTTCTTTAGCGCTGTCCGAATCGCTGCTGGACGAACTGGTCCGGGCGTGGAGAGCGCGAAAACGGCGGTGCATTACCATTTGTGCGGCGACCGCCGAGTTCAGGGCGAGAATTGCAATAAACCTCGTGATTGGATGAATAACCTGCAAAAGAAATACTTACTTATAAATTCGTATTTGCAAATACGTTTCAACGTGCAGTTCTGAATGATGCCACGGCTATTTATCCTGCAGATGACGAGTAATCATACTTCCTGGTTATTTTCGTTCAACGTACAACAATTTAACTTTTATAAATTTGTCAGATTCGCTTACCACAAAGTATTCATAAACTTGGTGCCATTGCATCTTGCTAATTGGCTCCAAGTGACTGAGAATATTCGGCTGCAATAAATACAGTTGCCGTATACAACTGGTTAACCGAAAAATGACCAGTTTGTGACTGGCATGTACCGGACATCGTGGATCATCGTTGTAGTAAAACCAGTAGTAGTCATACAGTGTGAACAAAGCCGATACCATCCCCATCAAGAATATACTGCCGACGGTCATGATGGTTCTTCGGCGGCTGACAATCTGTCCATACTTTAAGGGCACGGCCACCGCTAGGAGACGCTCGATACTGAAGGTAATCAGCAACCTGGGAAACGAATGTTCGTTAAGGACGTTAGAAACATTTCATTCACCGTTTTAATTGCGTTGCTTAACACTTTATAGACAGCCCACAATTTGCCGGTATGTAAAGTACGCTTGCGTGCGGGTAAGGTGAACGGCGACTCGCGTACTCCGAATAATCACCAATCATAAACCTATCTATTCGGAAATAAAATTTTCGGAGATTCTGTGAGATAGGGTCAGGTACTGTAGCCAATCGATCAAGTTGCAGCAAAGAGTCTGGAAAAAGTCAAATGCGTCGTTTAAACGCTGCCGTTGTTCGATTTTTTTTACGGGATGCTCTTCACTGGACGATAGCGACGGAGGCTGCACGTGGTGCAACTTGATCGAGCGGCACAATGAATGACATTATTTTATTGCATTTCTGCTTCCGATGTCGATTCTGTGCATACCAGTCAGAAGTATTCAGGAATGATTCCGTGGCGAATGTCGAAGCCCCCGCAGCACTTTGAATAAATGATGGGACGAGCTGTGAGCCGCCGGTTCCGGCCATGACATCGCCCAGTTGAAGGAACAGCTGTCCCCACCTGCACAGTACTCGTAATATGACATGGGATCTATATTGCCACGAATGGGACACACCAGAGCCGGCAAACCAGAAATAACTGATCAAAACCAACCTTATATTCTGAACGCCCGTAGTCAAAAACCCGGCCAGATAGTATTCATCCTCTCCCGTTTCGAACGCCAAAGAGGGAGAGTTCCACTACCTTCACCATGCAGCTAAATTACTATTGTAATAATAAATAATATCGTGGCAATTTTTCGAGGCTATGTTGCCACGTAAACCAACTAAAATAAAATTAAAATTTAAGGTCTTTTCTACTTAATAAATCATTAGAATATATTTATTCAGTAGACCATTATAAAGGCAAGAATGCTTAAAAGACGTTGTCATCGAGGAGAATTTCTGTACGAGTGCTGGCCGAGCGGCTATCACTACACCACCACTACTACCCACTACTCCCCAAGTGTGCGAGTAACCGAGCTAAAGAACTGTCTAGCAGATCAGTGATTTTCTGTTCGATCCGTGATAGACCAAACTAAACGATGTGACCGGAGTCGGTCACCGGACCACCGCGACTGTCTTTTTAACGCATGGTAGGTTAGTGAGTCTGTCCAGTTAACAGAGCCCGCTAAGTCAATGAGTAACCGAATTATCACAACTCTCCAGTCAGTAACAGTGAGGTCAACCAAGTGACAGTGAGGTTCGAAAAGAGCGGGTAACCGAGCGACCGCTACTGTGCAATGACAGAGCCCATTAAGTAAACGAGTGACCAAGCTACCGGCACTGTCCAGTGTACCGAGTCCGTTAGGTGAGTGGGTAATCGAGCCCGTCAGGTGAACGAGTGACCGAGCTGCCTCTACTGTCCAGTACGCAGAGCCCGTTAGGTGAGCGGTAACCGAGCTACCGGCACTGTCCAGTGTACCAATCCCGTTAGGTGAACGAGTGACCGAACTGCCGGCACTGTCCAGTGCATAGAGCCTGTAAGGTGAAATGGTAATCGAGCGATCACTACTGTCCAGTGCACAGAACCTGTTAAGCGAATGAGTGACCGAGCTGCCACTACTATCCGTTGCATCGAGCCCGTTAAGTGCTACCACTATCGAGAACCATCAGGTTGAGGTTTAGAGAATTCTGAATGCATTTGAGAGAACTAAAAGTGGTAACATCAAATCACGAATAGGTTGTTGTATAAGATCCATGCATGCTATTGCGCTATTGCGTGTAACGGTACTGAGCGGGTGACTAAGCTACCGGTACTGTCCAGTGTACGGTACCCGATAGGTGAGTGGGTGACCAAGCAACCGGTACTGTCCTGCGCAAATAGCTCGTTAGGCAAACGAGCCAGCAGGTGACTGAGCTACCGGTACTGTCCAGTGCACAGAGCCCGTGAGGCGAACGAGTAACCTAGCTACCGGTACTGCCCAGTGTAAGGGACCCGTTAGGTGAGCGGGTGACCGAGCAACCGGTACTGTGCTGCGCAAATAGCCCGTTAGGCAAACGAGCTAGCAGGTGACTCAGATACCGGTACTGTCCAGTGCACATATCCCCTCAGGTGAAGGAGTGACTGAACTGCCGGTACCGTCCAGTTTACAAAGACCGTTAGGTGAACGGGAGACCAAGCTGGCACTACTGTCCAATGCACAGATCCCGTCAAATGAACGAGTGACCGAGCTTTCACTAACCAGATTCATCAGATTGAGGTTCACAGAATCATGAATTCAGTTGTGAGAATTTATGATGATTTGAGAGATCACGAACTGATTTAAACAATCATATGCAAATAAAATCCGTGTTTTTATATAAAAATTCGTTTTTTGCGCTTATACGATGAACCGATTATGTTTCGACGAAATATGTATTCTAATAAATATTCATTGAAAACTAAATAAAGTGGCCGTTGACATCAAGAAACGCGGAGGCGAAGCCGAGGCTGTTTCTTGTAATAACATAGGATACGGTAGAAGTGTGCTGCACCAAACGAAACTATACACATTATTAATTTGTACCGTATGTACTCGTACCGTAAAATATCAGTTGTTCGTAAACATTGCACTGTCAACTTATTCCAACAGCTAACTCGAGAGTTTTGCGTTTTCCACCGGGAGTCTCCAACGAACATTCGAAAGATGGTCCTGCATCACTACGCCGTAAATCTCATCGTCAAAGAGTGTGAGTATACTGAATATCTATAAACTATAAGGTATATCGTAGATAAAAGTTTAATGGCACGTTATTCTTTTCCAACGCAATTTCAGGTAAGCGAATAATTATTATGTAGTAACAAGAACTTACTATAGGTAGAGGACTGGGAAGCGACTCTGCAACCTCACACTATAGTAAGTACTTGGTAGTAACCATATTATAGTCCATACTGATTTGATCAGTCTTGCTGAAGTTACCTAACCAGGGCCCGGTCACCGCCGCCCCCTCAGAAAAATTTCATATTTTGCTTGAATACAGAGTAGATATTGGGAATACTTAAAAGAGTATTCTTATCGGTAATGGTCCAGTGGGCGTGGCCAAAAACAGATTTGACTGCCGTATGTATTGTTAGTGCACTGGCAACACATGCGCACTTATATATTATGGCCAATGTATTATGTACAGAGTATGTATTCTCATTTAACGGTGTTCATCGTACTGGTGAAATCTAAACCACACACGACCTTGAGCTAAACATGTACACGACCTTGAGCTAAACCACACAAGTGCAGTGACATTATTGTCTCTTGCCTTCGTGCACGAACCGTCGCACGACTTTTACCGCTTCGAACGGGGCCACTACCGGCCTTGTTGCACGCTTTTCAAGGTTGCGCAACTTTGCGGTTCGCTTGGTGCCGGGCTAGCTGCTGGATTTCGAGAAATTTATCACTTTCAGCAGGCTTAAAATTTAAGTTTAAAAAAAGTTTTAATTCTCCATTGCATGTACTCAAAACAGGTCCTACGAAACAATGCTCATTTCACTTACATGACTCCCATGTCCGCAACGGCTAAGGCAATCAGATACACATTAGCGGAGGATTTCTTATTGCGCCGCGACGCATGTTCCCGATAATAATATTCAGAATATTTCCTACTGTGCACAGCGCCAACAAAATGGGATACATGACAAAAACCGTGTATTTCACCGGGTGTGCATTCACACTGGTCATGTTCGACGCGGTGCGGTTGCAGGAGTCCACCTGCAAATCCTGATTCGAGGCGATGATTTGGTCCGGTGACAAGTTGAACGTCTGTGCAATGCGCAAGAATTCATCGCATGTTGAGAAATTTACTTAAAAAACCTCCTTGGTCGAGGTATAATTTTCTTTAAAATCGTACGCAAGGTCACTATAATCCATGATTTCGAGGACTGGTTAGCAAATGTCTGTGACCGAATACTGAGCGCTTTAAATTCAATTGAAGGTGAGTTGCAAAGGAAGCATTAAAGTCAAAATCTGCCAAAATAATATGGAGTTGGGTGATAATTTTACGATTCGATTGTGCCGCGGCCACTTCACGTGTTCGTTGACCGGAAGTCGTCTGCGGTGTTTTCGTATCGCAGTTCGCTCTAGTCTACTAGCCTGAGGATGTTTGGAAAGTCGTATACACAGTCTCACTTACTGTTTTACTGCAATGGCTGTAATGGTTGTGGAAGACTGGCTTTCACACAGTTCTCGTAGGGGTTTTCAACTGTATAAGTAACTATGACTGATGGTCTCTTGTGACTTTAAAATACGGTAACTGTATGTCCCCTCAACTTCTCTGTTTAAATTTTCGTATGCATAGTAAAGCGTGAAGACTCGCCTCCGAATTCAAATAAAAAAAATATCGTCGATCTGGCGCGACCATAGTAAACAATTTCAAAGCAAAACCGTGCTATTACAGTTTAGAAGTTTACAATAGAAGATAAAAACCGCAGTTGCGCTTTTTTAAAATTGAAATGGAGTTGCAATTGCGTAAATTGTGAATTATCATTGACAAGTGGACATTAAGGTAATAATGGTAATAATAATGATATTGTTTCTAGAATTAGAAAGAAGCAACGGATAACCAATAACTTGCAGGTTTGAAGGCATGCTTTCGTGTTGTATTGTACGTACTGCATATATACCGCTTCGCTGATCAAGCGGTCACCGGTGTAAGTCAAAATAACTAGCTTTAATCTCTGGTGATTTTATCGGTTGTCAAAATTTCCCCTTCTTCGGCAGGAAATACGAAATTGCTTAAGCTAGTAAATAAAGCTATTGTTTCGTTTAAAAGCTAGGTTTCTTGGCATTCGGAAAAAGCCAGAAGCCGAAGATATTAATGAATAAGAGGTGTTTTTCATAATAACGTACAAATATATTATATGATAAAATCATAAAACGAACTCCGGCAACTGGGACACAACGTTGTGCAGTAGTGGCGCTTATGTTAGCAGGATATATCGTACCACTACAGAAGTATTCTTTAATAAGGCTTAATTAGTCAGCATTCAAAAGCGTGTGTGCAGATCAGGACAAAACTAATTTTCCGAATGCGTTTTACAGCAAACCAAAGTTTAGTTAAATGAACAAGGATAAGGCCGATTGTAAATTCTAGCAGCTCAACTGAACATACTTGCATCGTATATGGAAGCAGTAAAACAGTAATCCTAATAACGGAATTTATTGTCCTTCGCTACGGAGCATTGCCCCCTTAAAGCTAAGACAGAGAAGATGGAAAACAAACAGAAATTTTCGCGCAAAAAGAAGGATGTTGTATCCAAGATCAAACGGATTCTACCGACATCACTTGCAGCCTGTACAGTCAGTTTCAGCTGAAATTTAACGAAACAACAACGACAGCACATATATTTCAAGCGGCAAACTGAGGGTGATTCTTAATCCACAGAGGATGCTTCTTAATCCACGTAAGTTTCATCCAATCCACGTCGTCGAGTGCCTTCTGGAAAGCACAGAGGGACTTGTAGGATTCTGGAGGTAAAGGAAGCTCATTCCACAAGGTCGCAAGTTGCTCCACGTGCGATCCATGGACAGCAGTCACGGTAGTTCCGCATACTGATGTTGGAGCCGGCATTATTGGGTGAGGATGGAGAGCCATATAAACGCAGTGACGAGTACTACCTGCAACAGATTGAAGCGCAGCAGCCGCACCGATAAACTTTACAAAACAAAAATTACCTGCGCAGTCGTATTTGCGCAGTCGTCTTGCGCAGTCGTATTTGCCGGTCTCGGTGGTTAGCCGTCAGTGTCTTTGAGGTCTTTGGCGGCTAGAAGAGGGAGCGGGCGCATTATTAGACAGGTTAATTTTTTCTTTTGGCTGATCGCTAAACGCTGTTAAAATTACAGTTGCGCAAAATTAAAAGCAAATGCGATGGTAGTTAAGTGTGCATCCGTCGCATCGCGCTTAGCGGAATACAGAGCACGTACGTATGTGCACCTCAACTCAACCCGGATATGCAGTGCTTTGCTAAGCGCAGGCCTTACGGTAACTTCGCAAGTTATCGTCGTGGCTGAAGCGGTCTTGCGCTAAACGTCACGAATTTGGAGAGGAGCCACAAATAACAGCAGTAAAACTTTAGAGCTAGTGAAAAATTAACCTCTATATTAGTTTGCTTTTGGAATATGCTAAGCTTTTTGTTGGAAGTTTGTTGAGTGCCGGTTTGCTGAACGGATGGTTTACCGTTACCCGCAGCGACCAGAGAGATACCAGAAGGAGTATTGGCATTCTGGTTGGAAGTTGCCGCGATGGGAGATTTGTTTAGTGAAGAACCCTGGTTTTCGGAATGGGCTTTGACAGTTTGCTCTGAATCCTGTGAACTAGGCAGTTTGTCGGCACTTGGAAAACGAAACCAAAAAAGAAAATGCAAATACACCTGACTGCGCAATGCAGCAAGTGTCGACAGAGGAGTTATAAGGGTGACATACCGTCGAAACCGCACTTATTGATTCTGCAGCCGTTGTCGTAGACAGGCTTTGGTTGTGAGCATTATGGTTGGGTTTCTTCGGGACGGCAGCTGCGGTCAAAGGAGAAGTCTGATTCCCTAACGGTCCTATGTCACCAAAGGCCGGTTTATGCGAGCTGAAACTGCGCTTGGAAGGCGATACTAATAAGGAGAAAGCGAAAACAGCTGACTAACGTAATAAGGAGCCAAGCAGATGAGTTTTGAGCTTTATGCCGGAAAAAGTGATAGCACAGTCTGAACTTACGTTTTCAACTGTGATGTTTATAATTCTGCCTGCTAACTAAACCAATAAAAGAAATACTCCACTTACCGTTGTTGCTGCTGTTACTGGTTTTGCCGACGGTGTCAGAGGTGAACATCTTCCCGTCTTGTTAACACTAGTTCGCATTGCCAGATGGGTGCATTGACAATACAAGGAGCCCCCGCACTCATTTGGTCCGCTGCATGCCGCATAATAATCCGTCGATGCAAACGCCACTTACACTCTGTACACCATGAGCTGCAAAAATTGCTACATAAAAATTTGAAAGAAAATGATCAGTTTTCCTACTTGTAATAACTGTGGTTGACGTTGTGGTGTCAAACGCCGTCGCTGTCGCAATATACACTGAACAGAACTATAAGCGCAAATACATCGGCTAGACGCTTCATCATTATCAACAGAGAACTTAACTGTATTGCAATTAGTTAAAAAATTTAATTCAGGACTAAAGGTGCTACCATACCTTGCCCTTTTTAGTCGTGAGAAGCTTGTTTTTATTCCATTTTTTTGTCTGCCTAAGCGGTTGTTTTCAGGTGGTTCCTGTAAACTGCCTTGCAGACTCGAAAAAATTCCCGGATTTTGCTGGACTGGTAATGTATTAACCGTGCGAAGCTTAATATTTTCCAAGCGTTTCAGAACAGATTTCCAATCCTCTCCAAAAGGATCTTCAATTACTGTTGATAACCTAGCTTTATTAAAAATACTTGTAGCTTGCGCAGAAAACTGTGATCGGTATTCAGTGAAAATTCACGAAAAGTACTGACGCCGAGGTATTTTTCCAATCGCATTTATCAAAACACTTCAGGACCGCAATAACAAAGTATCTGTCTGTGTAAAGCGGTACTGTATGTGTTTCAAGTCAGAAAGAACAGGAACATACTAGGGCGTGCTGCATTCACGACATAGCAAAGTAAAAAAATATTTAGTGTTTTGTAGAGGAAGAAAGATTGAAATGCTCCAGAAGATTGAAATTTTTGTGTCTAATTATTCTACAGTGTTTCCGTTTTAGAAGAAAAGAAAGCTTCTTAAGAAAATTCATGATTCATAAGATCAGACTAAGTAAGATCTTATGCGGCCGGAAATGAAAAATGTTTTTATTTATAGAATTTTCCCAAACAATAACTAACAATCCGATAAACTTCTTCTGATGATCACTGTACGTGCCGTTTATTTTCGCAGTTAGCACAGCTGTACAGTCTGTACTTCCGGAACACTACTGTATATTGCTCAAAGATGCCCGTACGTTTTATGCCATGAACTATAGAAGAACGAGAACATTGTACTGCACCATATTCGGGTACCAAAATCCCATAACCATAATGATAGTAATTATCGTCATCACCTTGTCATCAGGGTAGCGACCGTCACTGACCGATAGTCCATGGCGCTGGAGATGAGGAAAATAGCATTCCCACGTACGTGCAAGTCATGAGTGCACAGACGGAAAACCGCCAGAATTATGTGTTCTTAACACTAATCACAAAAAGTCAGACTGCATCACGAAAACGATAAAGGTATGACCATGTACCCACTAAACAAAATACAAGAATGTTCGCACTGCCGATACCGAGGCGCTGATCATATTAGAGCATTACAGAACTGGGCACACAAGTTCCCAGTTTGCCGTAGTATGTTCTTTCAACACTCAATATCATTTAGCGAGTATTCTGTTTGATTAAAATTTACAGAAGCGGATCCATTGGGGATTTCCACAGCGCAATCAATCGGCAGATAAATGTCTTCTCGGAACATCTCGCTGTTTGCCCAACCAAACTTGAAAGCGTAGACCTCAAAGGTTTGAACGTGGTCACGCAACAAGGCAGTGTTCTCGGTCCACCAGCGACGAAACCAGGCAAAATCACATCCACAATGCAGTCGGAACAGATAATTTCGGTGGCTTTGCTCGAAAACTGGTGTCGGTACCCAGCGAAATCGTGCATCACGGTGTCTTTGTATGCCTCTCTCCAACGCCACAATCCGCAAATCAGGTAGATCGCTAAATGCGTCTCTCTCTAACGTACGAATTGTAACATTAGTATAAAAAATGCTTCGAAGTTTTTTGGATCGTTGGTAATCTTTTCTCCTGACGTCTAGATCTACACAGTCTTGCAAGTTATGCTCTAGCACATTGAAGAAGTCAAATTCATATAACATGTACGTCGACCGGACGCTCACACATTCAAAGATTCCAAAAACTACAATCTGATTCCGAATTGACTGCAAATCTGCAGCGGTAAGGTGAAATGCGGCCTCCCCAGAAATGTAGAAATCGATGGGTCGTGAGTAAAACTTTGTCGACCCTGCCGCCGTCAGTCGCGCATGCTCTGCCATTCCCTCGGGAGTTTCACAGCCCACGTCCACTCCTGCAACGCCATCATACCAAGATTGGCAGCCGTATATTGCAGCATTTAGCGGCAAGCAGCCGATGGCGAATTGTAAATGGCACTCTTCGATTGTCGCCTCTACGGTTCCCATTACAGGGAATTTTTCCTGTGCCGCGCTGCTATTCTTGCATCCGGGATGCCACTTGTCTGGATCTAAAAACAAGTGAGTCAAGTTTGTCTGAATTTCAAAACATTCACCACCATGGTAGTTACGGTATGATGTTACGGGGGGCGCAAACCACAAGAAGATTTGTTTTAGAAGATCACACATATGCTAAGGCGTCTACTGCTCATTAGCAAAACCCATCTGATCAACGTTGAGGTGTGCATTATTGGTTTACTCGCATATTATGAATACTGTCTAACTGTTTTATTTCTTGCTAGAATTCTTCGTAGAGTTAATATTCTGTTGCCCCTGGAATGAATGAGTGAGTGAGTGAACTGACTTTTAACAAGTCGGATTTGATGTTAAAAGTTGTGGAAAAGTGGAAAATTTTATGTGTTATCGCTGCACTGCCTGGAGCAGTGAAATGGACCATTTCACATTACGAATTGTCATCATCATACCATATTCAGCTTTGTTGTTGCCATATTTAGCGATTAATTCTTTAGCTCGCTTCGCAGCGAGCGGGTTTATAATTAAGTGCTTGTTACACCGTCGGTACATAGATGACACTTTACTAACCCCCTGGAATGCCTTTAGACTTTAGTTACCCAGATCTTGACCGTGACTTACACCGCTCCTCATTGGCTGAAAAAATCGGTTGTGAGTTGTCCATAGTGTTGAATCCAGTATGGAACGGCTTCGTGGCGCAGTCAACCGGCAAGAAAACTTTTTCTTTAGCAAAACCGAAATTATCCCATAAACTAAAAGATGTGTGATATATTTCTCCTTCCGCAGCCTGACGCAATAGTCCGTTCACTTGCCACCAGTCTCGGAACCATTCGTACTCGCAACCGCAATGCAGTCGCGCCAGGTAATCCCGGACTCGATCATCAAAAGCCTCCATTTCACTGAAACCGCTTTCTAGTGACAGCAATCGCAACGCCGGAAGATCGGTGAAGGTATCCACTTCCAGAAACTGTAGCGTCGTGTTACGGAACTCAATCAGTCGCAGTTTGCTGGACTGCCAGAAATCCGCTCGTCGCACGTCTAAATTGGTGCAGTGGGCCGCCATGAAGTGTAGCAAACTCGGCATGCGTAAATGCGCCAATTTCTTTGTGGAACGTGGGGTGATGCAGTTGTACAAGCCAAAGATAATAGTTTGCTTGCGCACAGGAGAAAGATTAGCAAAGCTGACGTAATCTCCGTCGAATAAACCAATGGAAACCGCTTTAATCGGCGGTTTAGATAAAGCATTGGCTAACTGTTGGAGCTCTTGTGCGTCGACTTCAGGTTTGCACAATAAATATAAACCTTGGTCCAGGGTGCAGTTGTCAATGTAATTATCGATGTTATACCCATTCCAGCCGCAGTTGGCAGTGAACTGTAGCGCGCACTGATCCCGGGTCATTGGTTCCGTGGAAAACTGTGGAAATGGCACGGAGAACTCAAAAGGGTCCATTTGGGCTGGAATGATAACCGGTAGTTACGGTACAGTACAGTACATGGTACTTACTATTAGATTGATGTGGAGTCGGTATGGACTGCTTAATAACTCGTAACTGAAGTTGGCAGCTCAAGTAGTCTTATTTGTTACTCAACATCGACCGCGAAATAACTTAATTAAAACATTCACTGTCTATTTAGCAGGGACTATCTGTCCCTGCTTTTTGGCATACGAGGCAGTTCGCCGGGTGGGAGTTTTGAAATGTCTGCTTTAACTTCCGATCCAGTATATAGGGGGAAATCGATAGCATACTATACACCTTCCCTATACTCCTCCAGTCATCCGTATGGATTGCCACGTTATGGCTGAACAGAGAGTTTTAAAAGCACTGCATTTATACCTGCACACTGATGCAGGTACATGTACCGTGTAAGGCGGTAGTGATAATCAACAAAGTGCTGCAGTCAGTGCAGTGATTTGCATTTTGCTGTGCGTCGCGCAGGCAGAATCCTGGAAGCGTGAACAAATCTGGTTCAGAAAGGCAGATTTAACACTTAGATTGATTCCCGTAATTTATTCTTCATTTTTCAACCAACGTTGCGCAGAAGAAGCCACTTTTTCGCCTGAAAATCGAAAATCAAAAGGATGGAAGATTTCGAAAACTTTCAAAATGTGAGCCAAATCACGGTGCCACTCCGGGCGGTGCCACCTGCGTCACGCGCCGGAAGTCCATAAAACTCGTTTTTTTTAACGTTTAACTCTGAGGTCTTACAAGTTAGTGAAGCTTCATGTAAAAAACAGGAAAGAGATTTTCCAGGAATACAGGGCAGTTTGAAGGTAATCACTCATGCGCATTTCGAGATACGCTTGCTAAAGCGACTTTACAGCAATCAATGTGCAGGTATAAATGTGGCGCTTTTAAAAACCCTGTTTAGCCATGACGTGGAAATCCATACGGATGACTGGAGGAGGACAGGGAAGGTGTATAGTATGCTTTCGATTTCCCCCTATACGCTTTACTTAGAGGTTGCAAACCGTACCCGGTAGTCCGGGACTGCCGTATACGGTACGGTCAAACTGTAAGGCACGAACGAACAACCTACGGTAAACGGGAACCATAAGTAACCGTAAGTTAACAACCTGGTTCCTACATAATCGAACCGTGTATGGTACTTACGTTCAATCCGTTATTGTTACCGTAATCATAGAAGCGTAGGCTAAAACCGTACGTAACCGTATTGAAATTCAGTACGGTGTGCCACCTCTAAATTACGCATCTGGTTACGTACGTACATTAACGCTAACAGTTACTTACCTTTCTCATCGCCAGAACTGCAGTGGAATAACTGCCCCACAACAATGACGCAAAGTCCGGCTAACAACGGTTTCTTCATCTTGCAGTTGGAAGTTCGATATGCTCTAGACAGTCGATATAGATCATTAAGTTAAACAAATGCCGATCCTTCTTTGACAGAATCGTGACAAATATGGATAGCTGTTTTAAAGCTGTGGCTGTGACATTTTTGTTAATCGGCAGTATCTTGCCAGGTAACAAACGATTATATATTTCGGAAAATATTTCGCCTGCCGGCGAAATGATATCAGCGAAATACTTATGGATACTTAGTAATATCCGGCACTGGTTGCTCAACAAATCTGAATCGCAAGATTCTTATAATCATGTAAATATTGATGATTACTGCATGTTTTCACGTGAAGCTGTCTATAATTTTGCCGTACGGTTTCGGTAAAAACGGTTCGGCACAAAAAAAACTGGTTTATATGTTCTCTGATGCTGACAATTGGTTTCGGGCGAAATAATACACATTTTGTAAACATTATTTGCGAAAGCGGTAGGTGATTCACGGTTTAAATGTATCCGTTAATGGCGCATATCGCTTCTTTCTGAAAATTATTTTATACGTTTTTTTCTCTCTTTTTTCGTTAATGTGACACGCCGTTCTTAGACGTGACCAGACTTATCCTGGATGTTACTGTGCCTACTAGAGTCCGTAAATCGTCACAATTTTGGCAGCGAAACGAAAAATTTTGTCGTACTGAGCAAACGTAACGAAACTTAACTGCACGCTTCCTGTCCCATAAAATAACGAACCTTGACGAATTTATAAAATATTTGAGCGCAACTTAACGATAACTTTCGATATTTTTCCGTAAAAAAAACTGAACGCAACGAAATCGCAAAATACAAATCACAGTAGTAAGCGTTCCTGGGATTAATTTTATTTATCTGAATTTTCTATGTCGTTCCACATCAAAAATAGTAGATCAGATCATCAAGCTTCTATGAAAATTGCAGCTTGCACTTTTGCAGTTCACTAGTGCCGTTATGATTTGCAGTGCTGTGAAGCTATAAACAACATGTGCTTGCGAAACACTAGTGCAGTGTCTAGAACTGGGAGTTTCGCAAAGCGTCAGATTCACTGTGTACAATAGGTTGCAGCTTCCAGTGTGCGCTTATGAAGGAGACCCTGTTCAGGGCGCCCAAAACACTGAATTATTTGTCCAGGCGCAGAGACGCACGCACGAGTGCGGCTGGCGTACAATTGGAAAATAATTTATTTTATTTTCTAAATTCCACATCGGTATCTTTTTGACGAAGAGAAAGCGACTCCAAAATTTCAATATAACTTCGCGAAGCGAGAATACATTTTCTTATAACGAAACTTAACGAAGCGGTGCTCAGAAGTCCGTAAAACATGCGCGGGGCTTGACGATTCGTTTCGTTAACGTTCGTTAAGCTTCGTCAAAATGACGATTTACGGACTCTAGTGCCTACTACAATATCTCATTGAATAGTGTTGTTATGTATATCCTTCATGTTGCAGTTTGTTTAAGGGATTTGGACCGGATCATAGCACTAAATTCGTGTACATGGACGGGAATATTCGCTTTCGCGCAACCGGATGTTGAGCGCAAAAACAGCTTTCACGCCTATGTATAAAAATCATTTGGCTACCCAATACCATAAAGCAATGCAAAAAAGTGTTTGTGAGTGAGCGGCAGCGAATATTCCCGCCGATGCAACGAATTTAGTGCTATGTACCGGACCAAATCCCTTAACAACTGGTGTCGAATGCCCAGACCGCCCCGTTGCACAAGACAATAAATCTACAGTAATTTACGTAGCATTTACGTAGTCATAGCATTAGCACTACCTAAATCTCCAGTGCCACGAATTTTGATAATGTGACACTAAACGGCACCGAATACGAAGTACAGGTATACAGTTACACCGAGACATACAATTTCACGGCACAGACCTGTGAAAAGTTGCGACGCGTCCTGGCCGAATGGTCCAACCACACCAGTTTGGCTCCGGAGTAAAGAGTAGAGTCGAAGAAATTATCCACGCTGCCAGGGACTTTCTTCTTCAATACAGCAGTGGCGTTAGAGCTTTTCTTAAAATTGATTTCACAAACGCCTTTAACTGCGTGCCACGAGAGGAAGTATTTAGCATAAGTGCTGACGTCATCCCGGAATATCACGCCTTTACAAAAATGTGTTACGTTTCATTCTCTTCGCTGTTCTTGAGAGAAACAGTTATTTTCTCTCAGTCTGGCATGCAGCAAGGGGATCCTTTTGGGCCAGTGTTGTTTTGTTTGGTACTGCAGTTCGTCGTCGACATACTGAACTCTTACCTGAACGCGTGGTACATGAGTGATGGGACGCTAGGAGCAATACCATCGGAAACGATCCGAAACTTCCAGTTGCTAAATCTCGAAGCCAAAAAGATCGGTCTGGAAGTCAATATTGCGAAGTGTGAAGTGTTCTTGTGCGAGGGCACCGAAGCACAGCGTTCATCGGCCGCTAAACGAGTTCACCGGTTTACTCCCTGGAATAGCTATAATGAACTAAATTTGCTCCGATCCCCTCTTCTACCAACCGCCGTAATCTCGATGATCAAGGAAAAGATCAGCTAGGTGGGATTTATGTGCGGCCGCTTTCAGTTAATCCCTAAACACCAAGCGCTTTTTCTGTTGAAAAATTGCCTGGGAGTGCCAGAAAAAGGGCACATCGTGCGCTCCTCCCTCGCACGGATATTTCCACAGGAGCTGTACAGACTGGACCAGGTATTTCCCGAAGCAGTGGAGACCGTCACCAATGTAAGGATGGACCACCATGTTGGCTCCAGGCCTCCCTTCCGGTCCGTTTCGGTGGTTTGGTGATCATACGCACAGAGAAGCTTGCTCCCTCTGCCTACTTGGCATCGGCTTGTTCGTTGCGCCAACTGATTTCCGGAATGTGCCCGACACTGGCGGTAACGGACGTTACCATCGCCACGCGCACCTGGAAGTTAAAGGCTGGCACCGACGATCTCCCGGTGAAAGTTTTCCGACACGTCCAGAAAGCCGGGGACACTCCTGGTACCCTTCAGACATTTTCGAGGCTGACCGCTCTGTGAACTTCACAGGAGCAAATCGCGCATCTAAAGGCGGTATCCGTCTCCGAATCTGGCGTGTGAATCCATGCGTTACCGGCTTCATGCCTCGGTAATCTGTTGGAGGACAACGCTTCTCGCATAAGTGTTGCGCTGCGTCTGGGAGCACCGATTTTTACTCCACACCTCTACGTTTGTGGTGGGCTGGTCGATGAGTTAGGCCGGCATGGACTTCGCTGTAAGCGGTCAGCCGGAGGACTACCACGACAAGACGGAATCAGCGCGCAATTTGCCCGAGGACTGAAGTCAGCCGGCTTTCCTTCAAGAATGGAACCAAAAGGAATGTCCGCGAAAGATAACAAAAGGGCAGATGTTATCACTCGTGCACCGTGGGCGCGCGGAAAACCGCTGGCCGTTGATGTTACGTGCGTAGACACACTGGCGACTTCGTATATCGACCGTACTTCCATTAACGCCGGCGCATCAGCCGAACTTGCGGAAAGGTAGAAACTAACGAAACACGCTTGGCTGCAACCATAATACGATTTTGTTACTACAGCCTTCGAAATTTACAGACCTTGGGGAGACGGAACTAAAAAGCTAGTGGAGAAGGTTGGAAACGGTATAGTGACTTGCACTGGCCAGAAGCGGGCGAAAGAGTTTTTTTAAGCTACAAGTATCTATGCAAATGCAACGGGGAAGCGCGATTTGTATAATGGGTACGCTCCCCTATTAGGATAGCATAGAGGAAGTTTTTCTGTTATAAAATTAATGACGTTTTGTTTAGTACTAATTTTGTACTTGTACTGCGATACTTATTAAAGGGCTAATGTCTATACTGACTTTGTGTTGCCTGTTTGTGCGTGCGGTGCTGCAGAAGCCGCTTACAATCTGTATGACTATTCTTTTACATCATGGATGATCCAAGATGCCGGGTAGGAAACACTGCTGCCAGAAGTTACCTTTGCTTGCAGTGACCCGTTTGTATTTTTAGGCCACGTTTCTACAAGCCGCAATTACACAAGATTGTTGGCGTTTGGTTCATGAATATTTCTCTGTAGTTACTATAAAATAAAGTTCTTATGATGTGGAATTCAGCCATGGAATTTCTCATACTTTGATATCTTCGCTAGGAAATGCTTTTGCATTTTTTGGCGTTTCTTATGCACACAAATTCAGATGGAAAAAGCTTTTGTAGTGTCGAAAATATCGAAGTATGTGTTCATTATGCATCATTCCGAAGAAAAGAATTAGATCTCCGAATATCTGTAATTTTCAAATTATTTTGCCGGTGTTGAATTTCACATTTATCGTGACCCTCAACCGCATTGTTGCTGTCTGCTTGTGTCATTAGCGGAAGTTCCGCGCCCTGTGCGTACAAAACAGCTCCACTAACGCGGATGTGCTTGCCGGTAAAGACTGCTCGACCAGCCAGATGCTGTTGGCCGCGGCGTCGCTCATGATCGTCCTCAACGTGTGGACATATCCGCTCTGCTATGTAAACTCCGCTCACGGAAAACCAGTACGCCATCATGATACGCCTCAGTGACATAGCTTTTATTGCCTATTATGCCCTTTTTTTCCCGCTGTATTATGGCAACAGTACTAAGTAGTGCCTTCCGTAAGGGATGCCGGCAACTGTGGCAATCGCAAACGTTTCGGTGTCTGGACGGCGGAGCGGCGCGCCCACGCCCACCGCACTTCCGGGTGCATTTGATACGCAGCGGGGCGTTATGAGCGGATTGGAAGGCAAATAACCGGTGCAGAAACGATCACTGGTGTCGTTCAGTTCCAGTACGGTGATGTTGCTCCGTAAAAAATCCTCCAGGGGAAGTATTAACAGCAGCGACAAGTGTTGCTGCAGTGAACACAACGGCCGACTTGCAAAAAATAACTGAAAAATTTATGTGGTGCTTTTAAATCAAAGCGGATGAGGGGGAAAAAGTGATCGTACTTTTCTACGGTATTGGTTGTGTGACGCACATGCGGCTGGCTTTTTCTGTTGTAAATAACGTCTGAAAGGAAATAAAAAGAGCGAATAGTAGCATCGGCTATTTAAATACCTTTTGGCATCTTAAAATTTAATGACTTCGGCCACATGCGCTCATTTCCATATACGGTAACACAGTTTATGTGCCTGTCAGAGGCGTACGACTGCGCCTGGTGCGTACGGTCCACATAAGACGTACTTGCACCCATTGCATGCCGTTATCGCCTCTCTCGCTGTACGTACGTGTGCAGCTGCACTGCACTTATCCGCTGAAGCGGATATACGC